CGTAGCTTGGATCCAGCTGATGAGCCTGCCGGGTTCGATGGGGATCGGGCCCAATTGGAAGTAGCTCCAACTAACGTTCCAACAGACCGACCTCTTCACGCTGGGCTCAACGCACATGGCCCTGCTGCACAACTCGATCCTGCGAGGCTACAACTCCATTTACCAACAGGCCCCCTACATCCAGGAAGCAGACAAGGCAGACTTTATCGGGTACTCCCAGACCTGGTTCAAATTTGTCAAGTCGCACCACGATGACGAGGAAGAGTCGCTCTTCACAAAGGTCGAGGATCTCCTCGAGGACAAGAATGTCTTTGCCGAGACGCATAAGGAGCACGGTACGTACCTTGATATCCATCACACCGATTCGAGATGATCAACTGACACAAGACGGACAGAATCTTTCCTCGGTGGCCTTGCCGAGTTCAACAAATACCTTAACTCCCTATCCTCGCCGTCCGACTTCTCCGGTGCCAAGCTACTCGAGATCATGAATAGCTTCCAAGAACCGTTCGAGAACCACTTCCACAGCGAGATCACCACCATTGCCGGCATGGCGGAGCACCCGAACGCGCCCAAGGAGGGAACACCGGAGGCGGCCAACGCGAGCCTGACGTTCAAGACGTGGGGCAAGAGCACCGTCACTAAGGCGGGCACGGCGGATGTGGTACCGTTCTTCCTGCTGAACCTGGACCGGACGACGGAGGACGGATTGTGGGCGAATTGGCCGCCCATGCCGGCGCCGATCAAGTGGGGATTGATCAATATCGCGGGCGCTTGGCACTGGGGGTGGTGGAAGTTTGCCAGCTGCGATGCGGCAGGGCAGCCAAGGGAATTGTACGCGCTGGAGTCCAAGACGGAGGATAAAGCCAAGGCTGAGCTATGATTGAAGTTCTTTGAAGTGAAGACGAAAATTTTTGTGGTTTGCTGGGACGACAAGCTGGCGTTTCGAGGTGTTTGGGCTACGCGTATCCATGGGAAGTACTTGTAAGATAATGCTCATGGCGGGCAGAAAAAGAGCTAGCTCCAATGGGTAAATTACTGGATGCCCGCTGAAATCCGTCGCCCACAATGGTACCAGGGCCCAGGTCCAAATGTGCCGCGGATAAAGTTGAGCGGGGAGCTGTTCGGCGACAGCGTCATTCGTCGGCAGCAAACCGTGAGATCGGCGGCGGGAATCGAGGCATGGGAGCCGCAGTCTGAAGAGGCGGAAGAGCGAAGCTAGAGCATAGCGGAGATTGGGAGCCTGACGCTAAAACTGAAGTTGCAGCAGGCTTCCCTGTAGGATTCATCTCTCCGGCCTTGGCCCTGCGGTCGCAGCTCTGAAGCCTCTGACATCTTGACCGATATTCTTTTCGTGGAAGTTTAGACAGAGACATGCAGTGAAAGCAGCAGGCAGGCCAAGAAGCGAACACGATGTGGCTGGTGATGAGGCGGCCAACAGGCAGCGAACGGGTTGTAGCGAGCAATTTAGAGAGGCGAGGCGAGCTGCAATGCGACGCAACCCCAACGGCAGGCCGATATTGCAGAAGCAGACGCACGGCGCCGGGGCGGCGGAAGCCTCGTCTTGTGGCCCAATAGACGGCGAAGTCGAATTGGGGCTCTTTTTGGCTCTTCGCAACCTCAGATCGCGCATGTTACACCTGGGTATGTCTGGTTGGATCGGTTGGATGGGTTGGAATTATCGCAGACTGCAGCTTCTTGCCTGAGCCATCGGCGCAAACGACGTAGCAACACATGAGGGGATTGCATCGGCGTCGGGAATCTGGAGTCTAGAATCGACAATCTTTCGCAAATGTTCTCAGAATAGCGCATGTCAGGCCAGGGGTGTCGGCCATTTTCCTTGGCCAAGTCCACCGCATCGCATCGGCCGAGGGCCTTGGAAGTAGCCGCTGTAAATGCTGACTTGCAAGTGAGCAGCCATGTCCCGAATTGCAGTCTGATGCCGTGACACAAAAGTTCAAAATCTGATAGAGCCATGGTTGTATCTAGCGAGGTTCGACGAGCTGATGGTCGTGCAAGCGAAACGCGGTGAGTGGGGGGCGTACAGGGCGTCTAGAGAGGCTCATCTTCACCGTCATTCCTGTGAAGCTGGGTGATAGGTGCCTCGTGAGCCGACGTCGGGATGTGCGACGGGGCGGGCATGGTGACCTTCTCGTCTTCGATGATCAACCCGACGGGTGACAGGGCTGAGCCCAAGGTGCAGCTTGTTCATAGCGTTACCGCGGGGAATCTCAAGAAATCTCTAGAACCAAGTTGTTGCTCCGTTTGGCGCAATTGGTAAGTTATTTTGAGCCTCGGGGTGCATCTGCCACGCAGTGGCCGAATGTGACCTGCCTGTTGCAACTTTGATGGAGGTACGAAGAAGTTAGAACGGGGGACAGGTTTGTACAGTCTCCGCCGAGTACCTACTTCGTACTGCGTTCGAGTAAGACATGGGTCGATAGGTGAGAGGACTGTGTGATGGGGAATACACGGTGCGGTGAACATGAAGAATCGAAAGTCGAGAATCGAGCCTTGCAGTCAAGCGGGTGTCGTGCGGGAAGTTTGTGGGAAGCAGCCCGGGGGTCTTTCGATGTTGCAATTGGGCGTAAACTTGCTCAAAAACTCTCAGGATGCTTGAGGCAGGAAGCGATAGCGTTGTCTTGGCAGCAGGAAAGAGCAGGAAAAGAGCAGGCAAGAGCGCAATTTTGCCCCCAGTTTCCCCGTGCGATTTTCTTACATGCGCCTTCCTGAACATACGATAAGGCAGGTCACTCCAACAGCGACCTTCGTTGGCTGCTTCCTTGCACGTTCGTGTCCTGCAGTACGTACCTCGTTGTACCTCATGTAACACAGGCCATACAGCAAGCGCGAACATTGAACATGAAGGATCAACTGCTTTCTTTGGCACTGCAGGCAAGGAAGGGAGGCCCTATGTTTATGTCCCCGGAAAGACCAGGCTTGCCCGTCAAGGTACCTACTATGTATGGATAGAGAAAGAATGGTACGTGCCTCAGAGTTCAAGTACAGGACCTCGTCAAGTGGAACCTCATCAGATAATCATCGACACATCCTCGTCGCTGCATTTACACCGATGCCCCTCACCAGCCACAGTCCAACCGGGACCGTCAATCAACTAACCATTATCGTCTACGGTCTCACGACTCGACTTTTCTACTTCTCTACCATGGATGTCTATCGTGTTTCCTCTGCCCACTAACCCGCCGAATCTTACTTCTGGACCCTTGTTTGTCTCTCGGGAAGGAATCTAGCGCAAACCAGTCCTTGTAACTCCCTCCATCCCATGGAAATCTAGCTCAAAGTGGGTCTCTTGGCAAAGGTCGTTCTTCCCTTCGCGGCAAAGAAGAGAGAAGATCGATTGGATACCCTGCTGGCTCTGCCCTTATATAACAATGTCGAGACATATCCCCATTACTCAAACTCTATTCCGTCTTTTCTTCTCCAGCTTCGCTCTACTCTGACTTCTTCCGGGCCGCCCCTGCTCCTTCGATCGATCGCCGTTTACGAGTATCACGACATCAGTACTGAGTGTTATCACAGCCCTACTAGAACACCACAGATCGTCCTCAGTAGCATTTGAAGAGAAACCGACGAGATGGACGGCATGTCAATGGCCACCACCACCACTGCCATGGCTGCTACTGGCACCATGAGCATGGCTGCTACCACCAGTACCAAGGCTGCCATGTCTGGCATGGGAAGCAGCACCGGCTGCAAGATTTCTGTACGTTACAGTCATCACCAACTTCACTCTGGTATCCATGGCGCCGACTAACCGCTTCTTAGATGTTGTGGAACTGGAACGTCAAGGACAGCTGCTTCATCAGCAGCCAGTGTACGAACTCCCCCACCTGTACCGACAACACCCAACCACTAACACCCCAGCAGGGAAGATCACCTCCAACGGCATGTTTGCCGGCTCATGTATCGGAGTTATTCTCCTGGTCATGGTCCTCGAGGCTCTCCGCCGCGCCACCAAGGAGTATGACAGATACCTCATCAAGGCCCACAAGCAGCAATACGCCAACGCCGGTGCCGTCTCCCCGAGCTCCGCTAGCGCCGACGACCACGGCAAGGGCCCGTCCGGCTCCGCCGCCGCTTTAGCCGCCAACGTCGTCCCGCCTTTCCGTCCCAACGTCCTGCAGCAGGCCGTCCGCGCCCTCATCCACATGTGCCAATTTGCAGTTGCCTACTTTGTCATGCTGTACGTCCCTTTGACTTTGCTTTAGCCCAAGAGAATTGCACTGACACCTTCTCTAGTCTTGCCATGTACTACAACGGTTACCTCATCATCTGCATCTTCATCGGTTCCTACATTGGCGCCTTCCTGTTCCAATGGGAGACTATCTACGACGGACCCACCACTGCTGCCAGCGAGGCTACCGTCTGCTGCGGTTGAACACGACTAGACATACTTGATACATCGACTCGAGGTTGACGGGAGACGACACACCACGTCGTTGGGGAGGAATGATAATACTATACCCACGCAGCGATCCAGTTGCACTACTGTTGAATCATAATCCAGCGCTAGTAATAGAAGCACGTTTCCAATTGCCTGACACCACGAAACCGATCTTTCTGCCTCCAATCTGCCCTGACGCCTACGACCAAAGACCTCAGAAGGGTTGTTCAACTTGTCTGCAATTCTTTTGCCTGTTAATCCGGTACTTTGATACTGGACACTAGCGCTGGGATCGTCAACCAGCCTACTAAACCGCAATATAGTTGCATTTGGCCGCATTATGCATATAAACCGCCTCTCCCCGCAAGGCAGATGCAAAAGGTTCGAGTAATCTTTGATGTAATTCACAGCCCTTCTTATTGCCGAAGTTTTGGGTCACTAGAGGGGGCATATGTCCTTCGTCTTGTCATTGCGAAGGATACCCCGCCGGATTTAAATGATCCGTCCATTTCCTCGGAAAGGGACGGCTTCAGCCATGATACGACTTGATCGGACACGCCATCTCGTCAGTATGTGCTCAACCAAAGACATCTTTGTTGTCCTGATCTAATCTACTCCTTAAATGCGCATAAGTTCCAGTCTTGACTCATCCTGTCTACGAATCTACATTATTTGAACGTCAAAACCACGAGCGGTCTTAATCAACGACGACCACCAAAACCACCAGGATGAACACCACCGGACTTCACACCAGAGAGCTCAGCCCCGGCTTCGGGATTGAAGCACACAGTTTTCCACTTCACCCAACCTCACTCGAGCAAAGCGCCCGCCTAATCGAAGACCTCGTCAAGGAAGTATGTTCCCCCTCCCTCCACCTCCCACTCGACATGCCCTAACGAAACCCAACTACACCAGTACGGCTTCCTCGTCATACGCAAAACCAACCTAACAGACGAAACCCACATTGCCCTAGCCCGGCACCTTGGCGACCTAGACGATGTCAAACCCTACAACAAGGCAGGCCGAGCCAACCGCCTCCAATACGACGAGCTCTTTGACGTAGGCAACATCGAGGCAGATGGATCGGTCGTCGACCCCATATCTCCACGCGCCCAGGCTGGATTAGGTAATGCCCTATTTCACGTTGATTCGAGCTTTAATCCACGAAGGGCGGGTTATTCTCTCCTTCTAGCTCATGAGTTGCCTCCAAGGGGTACGGGTGGAAGTACGGAGTTTTGCGATACGAGAGCTGCATGGGATGATCTTGAGGAGGAGATGAAGGTGAAGTTGATTGAGAAGGACTACGTTGCGTGTCATTCTATCCTGCATTCCAAGAAACTTGCCGCCCCGGAGCACTTTGCAAACATCGAACCCGCAGATTATCCCATGGGACGACACGAACTCGTCCAAACCCACGAGCTCTCCGGGCGGATGAACCTCTACCTCGCAGCACACATCCACCACATCGAGAACCTCGCCCCCGCAGCATCAAAGGCTCTGTTCGAGAAGCTCTTTGAACACGCCACGCAGGAAGAGTACCGCGTCACGGTGGAGTGGGAGGATGTTGGGGATTTAGTTGTTTGGGATAATACGTGCACGATGCATCGTGCCATGGGCGGGGAGTTTGCGTATCGATTTAGGAGGGATATGAGGAGGGCTACTGTTCATGATGGGAGTAGCCTGGCGTGGGGGTTGAATGAGAGGACGGGGGTGAGGCAGGGGTTGCCGTGATGGATGGGGCGTTGACGTTGGCTTCCATGGGGTGCCAAGTATTCGGATTATGTTTGCTAGGCCATGTCGTACACGAGAATTGAAGTCTTTTTTAAGTTTCTTGTTTAAAGAAACAACTATCCTTGCCACTTGATGGAATGAACCTCATGCCGGATTTGCCAATGAAACCCCTGTCATCTTGACCGTTACCGATGGCCCGTTTCTCGGTGGCAGGTCACCTACGCATTTACCGCAGTGGGCAGAGAGGCAGTCGGCAAACTTCGCGATGTCATCAGGCTCTTTGTCTACTAGGTAGGTGCCTTGATTCCATCCTTTGTTCACGATTTTACCAAACCGCTTCGCTAGTGGTAGGCAAACGATTCCCCATACCACCTTTCGACGCAAACACATCCATCCTCTCACTTCGGACTTATGGTATTATTAAATCTTCGAGTCTTGATTAGATGGCCATTCGTCATGAACCGGCGCCTGATGAACACTGGTCAGAGGCTGAAGGGAAAGCTGGGACTCGAGAGCAATCAAGATAAAAGCTCGCCAATGATTTGAGAGGCTGATAGCCGGGCTGGCGGTAATCTGAACCATCTGTTTAAAGTGACAAAGACGTGTTTTCCATCGCAATATGGTGAGTTCTATCACTACGCTCGCTATACGTAAGTCTAGGCAGAAATCAAAGAAAGTACGGATAACAGTTCTCTGAACAGCTTCATCTTGGCCGCCCAGGTGACGGTCTACGAAGAAAGAAAACTGAAAACTATCGTGTGATTTAGATCTCTGTGAAAAAATCTTATTCAACCGAATCAGTCAAATTTGAAATATTTTAAAGGTGAGATTGTCCATGTTGGAAGTGAAAATGATCTTGATCACATCATCAACAGAACCGGTCAATCTACGGACCGCTCGTTTAAGGTAGCTTCAAAACCTGCCTTACCAGCTCTCCTATATCACAATTCAATCCGTCCATCTATCTTGAGGTAAATAGATACTGTATAGTTTCACCTGCTCAGGAATTCGGAGGCCGTTACACATACTGATACTGTTGCATCAAGGACATCATGTCTACAAACGGGCTTACCAACGGGCTTACCAACGGACATTCCCACTCAAGCGGAGATTCGACCCCAGACGAGACAGACACGAACATGGAAGGATTCTCGGATAGGTACCTGTTTCCTTGTCGTTTTGTAGATTGCGTATATCACGAGGACAAAGACCCTGCCACACATTTCGAAAATGACCCTTTTTGGGTGGAGCATGAAGATAGTGTCGGATTGGAAGTCCAATTCGGCCGCGAGTAGGGGCAGAGCATGGGCCACCTCGAGGGGGTACACTTAGACCTCGACTACCCACCCAACCTCCGGTTGGAATCTCCCTTCTACTCCTCACGCAGAATCAATCAATACAGAGATATTGATACTTCGTCACCCCCAGGACCCTACGGTTCGAACCAAATTCCCTGTGAGAGGAATACCAACAGATAGGCATAAGAAGTGCTCTTACTTGTGGATTTGCACCGAAGAATTCGAAACTAAGGGACTTGCGGAACTTCATGAAAGGATGCACCACGAGAGGTTTGACCAGTGGTTTAAATGTGCCTGGTGCTCTAGAAGTTAGAGGTCTACAAATGAGTGGAGAAAGTGTGAAGTATCACACCACGCGGCCCGTGTTGAGTCCGGCTCTCACTGGGTGTGTATGGAAGGCCCTGATGAAAGCCCGTGCAAAACAGGCTTCAAGAGTCAATAACTTGATCAGTTCGGGAGACATCTATCGACGACACACAACGTACCCCAAGACCAAGTCTCAACAATTGTCGAAAATTCTGAGAGTAAGCCGAATGGAAGCGGATTCTTTTGTCTAGGTTGTGGCAAGGTTCGCAAGATCGACGATCCGGAATTTTCAGATTACCCCGAGGTTCATGGGCATTGGAATTCGCGGCGTTTGGATCATCACCTAAAGCATGTGACGTCCGTGGGACTTGTTTGGCCACAGCCCAGTCAGGGAGGGCCTAGATGAGGCGAGGAGGCTGGTGACGTTTGGGATTAGGCGGTTGTGCCAGAAAATTGGCTACTAGTACTGAGTTGGAGCAGCAAAGGGTATATACGATGATCTAGCTTCTAGTTCAATATATTTATGTACAAGAAAGTACTTGAAGAACAAATCATCGTGATCATCTTTCTTGTACAAAGATTATCTTAGCGTACGTAAGTACAACAATCACGAAGCTTTGATTTGAGACTGGAAGGCTCGCCTATCATGCAACACAAGAGTAAACACATTGACACCTATTGGAAGCTCATTGATGCGTCGGGAATGACCCATAGCATTCAAACTGGGTTCTCAAACGTACTAGGTAGTCTCAAAGGCGATCCTCTGGGTCACCTGGCTCAAGTGACAAAGGCGTGTTTACCGCTGGAGCATTGCAAACGTCATCACATCCGCGGAAGAAGTCAAAATAGGCGAATAGGACTGTCATTACCTAGATAGTTTACCTTTACAGGGAAGATCCAGCTGGTCATCGGCCACTTCTCTCAGATAACTCAAAGAGTCGTCTAGCTTAACCTTTGCTCAATAGTCCTCTACGGTCGATCCGAGTCTATGATGCATCTCACGGTGCACCACGTTTCTGGTGGCGGTCAGTATCAAAAAGAGAACAGTGTGTATTTTCCATCCATTCTCATCAGATTAAATCGAAGTATTTCTCTCAAACATGAACATCACTTTGATGCGTATAACTCAATGAGACATAATGAATGGCCCACGGTCTCACAGCCAAATCCATTTACAAGTACTAGGATGTAACAATCAAGAAGACCGGGAGTACAAGATCTGGCTCCACTTAGGGATTCATTTTAGGTGATATCTATCGCAATACGAGTATATCAAGATTCATAGTATCCGGGCTCGAAGTGAGAATAGCATCCATCACTCAGGACATTCTACGAATCTTGCAGTCAACCTACAAATCACAACGTTGACTTTCTACTCCCGCTAAACCACAAGTTGAACCACAAATCAACCTAAGGTAGCTATTATTTGGGTTGGCTCACCAGAATCGTATACGAGTTCGGCACATGCTAACAGTGTTGTAACAAAAGCACCATGTCTTCCTCAAACAGTGGCAGGCCCCCTGTGCTCCAGAACCCTGATATGGGGGTTGTACTCCAGCTTGTGTGCTATTATAAAGATTGCAACGACCATTTCGATGATGACGCGGACCGATATGCGCACGAACAAACGCATCTTACGTGCACGCATTGCGACCAAGCATTCGAAAGTGTGGCGGATCGGGTTGATCACGAAACAGCGCATCTTACGTGCTACTATGGATACTGTGGCTTACAATTCGAGACTGAGGAGCTCCGGAAGGAGCACGAAGAAAGTGAAGAAAGTGGACATTTTTCTGGCAATTTCCGGTGTACCATCTGCGGAAAAGCTTGGCCGGATGCAATCCAGTGGAGAGTGTGTGAAGCATCACACAATCCTAGACGGCCCGAGATTTACTGGGTGTGCTCGGAGGCATCGGTCATTGATGCAAAGCCGTGCAACACATCCTTCACCAGTGAGCAACGCGACAGGTTCGTGACACACTTGAGTTCACGGCATGGCCACCGATTACACACGCCGGATCGATTATCAGGCCACATTCTCGAGAAGTTTTGTTTTAAACATGCTGGATTCTGGTGCGGATGTTGTGGCAAGGATCTCAAATACGACTCTTCAAATATAAAAAGAGACCTTAAGGTCCACAAAATAGGCCAGTCACTGCGCTTGGATCACATACAAAAGCATGTGTTGGAAAATGGTGCCATCGGGTGGCATTGGCCTATTCCGGGAGTGTGAGAGTGAAGTAATTGATAGAGTAGAGATCAGCGATCCTGCCCGACGATGGGCCGCTGAATGAAAGGAGTAAGACATGTTTTTTTTTTGTGATTTAGTTGCAGGTCAGATATCTTTGCTTTAGGAGAGAAAGTCAAGAAAGCAATGAGAGCAGTAATTTGTAGTATTTGCCCCATGTCTCATTGCATTTGGCATCCTTTCCATGACTCGTGTCGTTGAATTCGAGCTTGGGCAGTTAGTTTCAGAAAGGCAGCAATCGGGGTTTTCTATTCAAAGTAACAAAAACGCACTTGTTTACCGCCGGGACAAGGTAAACACCACTATTCCGCCGCACTGTAAGTCGATATTGACAAAGAAGACTCAAAGTTTGTGGCAATCCCCTGCTCGAGTTCGCCTACCGCATCCTTTGTTAAAAAAGCAGCGATCCTTGCCGGCCAATGGAAAGGATTTCGGTTTCAAGCTTGACCAATGAAATCCCTGGCCATTGCCAATGGCCATTCTTCAATGCAGAATGCCGAGACTTACCGCATTGCCAAATTGGCCTCACAATTGCAGAGGGCTCTTTGTCACCTCAACCAACTATTCAGTATCCCAGCGAGTGACTTCATGAGGAGTTAGCAAACGCCGCCCAATATCAAGATTCGCCACAGAACACCTTTATCATGTCACTTCAAATAGTACAACGATGGGCCATGACGAGCATCATGGAACCTGGCAGTGAAGAATGTCCATTGATTGTGCAATGCGGTAATGTAGCACTAAACGCATTCACACCTGCCCAAAGGTCAATTGAATGACCATGAATGGATCTTAGCATCTATGAAGAACTACTGAGAAGTTGTGTCAATGGCGGTGTTCGGGGTCATCTGCCGAAAATGATAATTCACAAAACAATGTCTACCGCCGCAGCGTGGTAAACGCTACCATGCAGCAAGTCAACACGGAAGTTTTGCATCGTGATTCCCCAGATGTACTCACATTGACAGAGTTGATCTAGATGGCGATCAACCTCTTCTTTTAGGGAATTCAAAGGGTTGACTCATCTGGCCTTCTCTCTAAGATGCATTAATCTCATGCACGATACACAACCTTTCTGGTGGCGGTCAACACCAAGAATGAAGCGCGCTTTTCCATTTGAATCTTACCAGATGATATAGAAGCTTTTGGTTGATTGAACGAGGAAGATTGACTTGATTCATCTATTGTCACTCGGGCATGCTAAATACTTCACCGCCCATAATGCGCAGTAAACACTCCACGAGAATGGTGGAATGAGAACTGCCGAGAGCACGAGATCTTGATCTATCTCAAGGTATCAGATTATTAGTATAAGATGGTTAAGGGTATCCCGCTTCGAAGTGAGAACAAGACACATCACCACATCGGATCGAGACATTCTACAGACCTTGCATTTGACGTGTGATTCGTGAATTTGCCGTTCAACTCTTTCGACTAGAACTACCAATCTTGACAGTCTATCTCAAGGTAGCTATCACTTTGCGTCTCTTGCTAATCTACCTTAGTATACTAGGTATGTGCTTATCATACATGTGCTGACGATGTTATTACAAAAGCATCATGTCCGCAAACAGGACCGCGTATACGAACGGACATGGAGTCAATGGAAATCGGAACCATCGGTTCCATAATGTCAAAATTCTACTTTCCGTTGAAAATAGGCGCTCTGTATTCAGATAATGCAAAGAACTCGAGATATTGAAAAAAGTCCGAGGTCTAAATAACCTCAATTGGCTGTGAAGCCCAACCTATAGATGATCCCCGACATCGATGCCGAGAAGGCAAGACGTCAGTGACGTATTTCCATCCTTGCAAGACCTTGGAAGGTCTACATTACCGGTACAGAGGGGATCTAGAGCGTTCGAAAGGGTCGATGGTTATTCATGGCTATAGACTGCTCGTGTGGAAAAAGGAGAAGAAACGTCTATTCAAGTTTAGCCGCATATTGAATGCTCTTCGTAAAAGGTGTTCTTCATGGAGTCCAATAATGAAGTTAAAAAGTAACATTTCCATTATCCCTTCTACGGGTGTTCCATTTTGGGTGCTTCAAAGTTGACACTTGTCCAAAATGATCACTCATAGCATAATAGACAAGGATTCATGTCTGGCACACAGAAAGAGCATTGGAACTTTGTAGAATTTTAGATGTGAGACCGTCACATGATGTGCCAGGAACGATGATTCTAACGTCACGTTGAATAGGTAGTTGTTCAGTGTCACAAAAAGTGGACCACTCCTTATGGGCAGCATTAACCTCACCTATATCTCGTGACATTCAGGCAATCAACGAAAGAAATCGGAAAGACCTCGTAATCATCGGTCCTCGCGATTCATTCATGCCAACTTGTTCAACCACACATTCAGCTCCCGAAGGATCATGGGACTTAAGATCTGCTAAGCGTGGGCCACCTGATGAATGCATTTCGCGGCGCGCCTCGTTACCGGTGGGTATTCGAGCTTCTGGACGTGTAGGTCAGACACTGCGACATATTTGTAATTTGAGACTAAAATAAAACAGATTTTCAAGAAAGTATCACCCATATTGCCCGATCACTCCGGCACCCTTCTTGACCCAGCCGGGCTTAAAGCAGCTACAGAAACGTGACTACTTCCTACTGGCAGTCTTATTGACGGTTGCGTCAAGAGACTCGCCAGAACACGCAATCGTTCACCATTATTGTTGGAACCACGTGCAGAGCCTACTCCTCCAAGTGCTTCTGTCTCATCCCTGGACTCAGACCCCGCGAACAGTCGAGGGCCTGCTACTCTTATCTGAGTGGTTGCCTCACATCGAAACAAAAGGCTCCGCCTCGGCGGTCCAGAAGGATCATCTCAGTGAAGGAAGAACAACTTGGTCCATCGTTGACCTTGCCGTGCGCTTGGGCTACTCGTTAAGACTAGACCGTGCCGGATTCCGTGGCCCTGGTTCGGGAGACTCCGTGGATGAAAGACAGGAGCAGCATCGTCTCATTTGGATGTGTGAGTTTAGCTTCTTAGTTCATAATAGAGGATAGGATGTTCGTGCTGACCAACTTCTCGATTGTAGTCACATACTTGGCGGACAGGCAGATCTCAGTCCGACTGGGACAGTCTCTGGTCCCGTGGTCCAGCCCTGTCTTCCGATTTCACGGCCAAGGACTTCCCAAGTCTAAAGCCTGTAGCTGGATCGAGTACCAACGGCTACGCATCAATTCTACATGCGCACTTGGATCTGATGCAGGTACTCCACAACGCTCACTCGATACTGTATTCAGCTAATGAGAGGACGCAATCGATGATTCAGGAGGGCGACTACCCGCGCTACTTGGACGATCTCATTTAGGCAGCAATGGGATGGAGTACGAATTGGGGAGATCTCCAAGTATCTCCGAAGCTGAAGTCTACGCTCCGTCTTTCGCATGAATATCTTTGCTTATACATCAATGCATTCTCGTTTCATGCCGTAGTGACCCGAGAGGCTCAACCAGGAACCTCAAGGTCCTCAGCGGAACGACCGACGGCGACCCCGTTCCAGTAACAGACAGGGTTCAGATCTTTTCTCTAACGGTCTCATGGCCTCCCCCGACGCAAGATACATTTCAAGTGCCATCACTGCAGCACGAAATCTGCTTAGTCTCACCACGGAGCTAGATCCCCGAATGATCATGTGTTACCTTCCATCACGGTACCACCTGTTAGTCTCCGTTCATTCTCTTGACTCTCCACGTATGGAGCTGTCTGCTGACTCAAGCCGGCAGCTACGGACTCTATGCTGCAGTATTTCTATATAAAGCCCTTATTCAGGGGCTATCCGAGGCCAGGCTCAGCGGAACCAAGTGGGAGACCTGGCACAGGCCTTCATATTGACCTTGGACCAAGTGGCCTCGACTGAGCCGCATATCTGCCAGGGATATAGTGTCCTACTGAAGGAGCTTTGGCAGCAAGGATGTGACCCGCAGGTCGAACTTGGCCGAGAAGTCCGACGTGACAAAGGAACTCAGAAGCATCATTCGAGTGAAGTGGAAGACACCATATTTGTTGATCCGTCGACGGGGAACAACGAGGGAGGTTCTCAGACTCCGCTGCGCTGCGTAGATCAAGTGAACCAGCCTCCCGTGATGTGTGGATCGAACTCGACGGAGGTCGGTATGGGCACTCAGGACCTCCTGTCCTTCGAGAACTACCTGTTCAACTCCATGTGGCCCGAGTTGGCCAACTCAGAGCATCACAGGGTCTTCTATGACTTCGAAGGGGGACTACTGGGTTTTGATTTGAATCCCTCAAATGGATTCGAAACCCTATAGATAAATTCACTGAGGGACACTTTACCGCCCAGCCAGCATTGTGCTCGAGTTCAGACAAGACAGCAACAGATGCTACATGAGTCTTCTGATTATAAAAAACTTCAATTTTACCCAATCATAAACTACTTAGACAGCAACTTCCAACCTGAAAGTCTTCTTTCAATGGGCGTAAAATAACGTGGCCTCCGAATTGCTTGCCCTAATCCTCCTGTTTTCCCTAACAAGCATCCACTTCATCAACCAGGCGCCAGCAGCACATGCTACGCAGAATGCTGCGCTACTGGCCATCGGAATCACGTATCTCGGGGCGTCTGACGTGGGCCACAAGTACTGGTCGAGTAGTTAGCAAACAAGCCGTCTCGGAACACGTAGAAGTCAAGTTGAAAGGGGGGCAAATTGGAAGTGGCGACTTACAGGTGTCCAAATAAAGCTGATACTAGCGCTGGTATTGACAATAGCCAGCGCCGAAGCCTTCTTCTCTCTCGTCTGTCCGCACGTACTGCCAACCCAACCAAGAAGGCTTTCCCCGAAACATTGTCAGCTTCACTAAGGTAGAATCACGGAAATATCTTCAGAGACTCGAGGGAAGGTTCTACTCACATCGAGTTCACGCCGTACGTGCCAACAGTAAACACCGTCATGGCAAAGTACCTAGCGCCCGTATTCATCGTCACGCAAGCCAAGATGAACCCAAACGCAGCAACAGCCTTTGAAATGGTAATATGCCACGTCCTCTCGTTGAACCGACCCGAGCTCCACGCCCAGACGATGGATAGTATGCCGGCAATGAGGTAGGGTGGGCACGTCAGGACCAGCGTAATCGTCGTGTTGAAATTGAGCGTTTGGACAATCGCTTCGCACGCAAATTAGTCAGTGGCTGTCAACAGAATCGAGAGGGAGAGAACTGAGGAGGAAACTCACTGGGGAAGAAATTCTTGAACCCATTCGTCGCAAGATGGCAATGCTGCATCCAAATAAACACCCACACCTTCGGATCAACAATGGCCTCGCGCAGACCACCCCAGGTACTACTCTGCATCTTCGCGCCAACAGTATCCCTCTCAATCCTATCATGCGCAAGCTGTCGTTCCTCAGGCGTAAGCCACCTCGTCGTAAGAGGCTCGTCGGGGAGCGTGAAGCAAGCAATCATAGCAATCACAAACGTCACCGCGCCCTGCAGAATAAACAACCACCGCCACCCCTCGAGACCATTTAGTCCCTCCATACCGTGAAACACACCCGCGGCAATCAACCCCGCAAACGCAGTCGCCAGAATATTCCCAGAATACAGCACACTTATCCTCGTCGCGAGTTCCTTTCTGGTGTAAAAGATGGACAAGATGTACAGCGCGCCGGGGTAATACGGCGCCTCGACGACACCGAGGAAGAAGCGCGTGAGGATGAGGCCCCTGTAATCTTTTACGACGGCGGTGAGGGCGGATACCACGGCCCAGGCCATCATGAAGCCGCCCATATACCAGGAGGGACGCACGCGGGTGAGGATCATGTTGCTGGGGATCTGGCCGAGGATGTAGCCGACGAAGAGGATGGAGACGCTGGTGGAGTATTCGACGCTGCTGAGGCCGAGTTGTTTTTCGAGGCCGTTGAGGCGGGCTAGGGCTATTGCGTTGCGGTCGAGGTAGCTGGGTGGTGTTAGTTAGTTGGCTTTGAGAGTTGTTGTTGGGGGCGGTGGAGAGAACATACTTGAGCCAGTACATCAACCAAAGGGTTGGCTTCATGGACAGTTAGATCAAGTTCAGACAAGTAGCTTGAGTCTCGTGAGTCATACCATCACCCAGAGATCCAACTTCCTCACAAGCTTGATCTCCGTAGGATCAGTCTTGGCCGCAGCTCCAGAGTAGTCAACCGCCGCAGCAGGCCTCTTCTCGTCGTCCAAGACATGAGAATGCTCCTGGTGAAGAACCTTCTGCTTCTCAATGTCGGTTGGTGATTGCGCCGGAAGGCCATTGGCCACAGTTTCCGTGTGCGTCGCCATCCTGACGATGCTGTTATCGTTGCTACTAATCCTCAACAAGAAGAAGAATGAGTTTGCGAGCGACAACGGTAAATAAGTTGAACAGTTGAGTCAATGAATCGGGGGTCACATCCAGAAACCTGGTCAAGGGTAACCAAGGCTGTATATGTACAATAATCTCGTACAACAAAACCTCAACCCCCCCTCGGGCCCTCTTCCCCGCAACAACCCCGGATTTGGCATCCTTGGCTCCGCGATATCTGGTGGGGGCGCCGTAACATAGTGACAGGGTGGTAATCCATAGCCTTGGACCCAAAGTGACGGCGCCCACATTGTAAAGTGGTAGGTCGTGGAAGCGTAAAGCGGCAAAAGCACAACTCGGCCAGCGGCGCCGAAAGCCGACAAGACCCATAAGTAGTATGGAGAGCGGCCACATCCCCGCGCGCGGTATCCCACACGCCACAAAGGATTCATGGTCTTCCACTGCCCAGCCGCCGTCCTCTCTCCAACTCCAGATTTCCGCCTTGGCATTTGTTCGCTCAGTTCCCCGCTGGATGGTGGTATTGGGGAAGGTTGAGGTGAGCCAGACATGGCTCTTCTTACTCGTTCCTCTGAAGACTGAGCCAATCAGACAATACGTTATTGGAGAGTCTCGTATGTGTTGGTTCTCGGTAAAGTGTTGAGAGGCTGGGAGAGAAGAGTTGTGGGGGAGTTTTCGGCCTCGGCGGCGGCGCCGATGCGTCGGTCGGTGGTGCCGCTCTGTCGTGAACGTACATCACCGTGATCAGCTGGGAAACTCCAACGGACGTCTATGCATTCTTGCTTGATACTTTGATTGGCGTCACTCTGATTTGCCCCTTATGATCTCGATGGATCATGCAGGGTGTTGCAGACGGATGACATCCGTTCGAGGTCTTGGCTCGGTGCTGAGTCCGCAATCGGCGGTTGCTGTTGTCTGGCTCCAGAAGATGGATCGCATTTACATTTGGCATTCCGAAGATATCCGTCGGCACATGTAGATCAGACGGCTGTAGAAGTCTCGTATGAAAATACCGCGTACCGCGTTGAAGTCTAATCTTCTATTTCCTTTGATCTGCTGCCTCTCCTCACTTTGCTCCTCTCGCTATCTCGTTCTTTTTCCCTGCCCTCCTTCCCCCCTTCCTTCAACAGCCACAAGTCCAACCATGATCGATAAACCCTCCCTCAGAATCGGAAATGTCTCCGGCGCAACAGGCGACCACCCGCACGCCATGGCGCGCATGCTGCGCTCCGGCAACGTCCAAGTCATCACGGGCGACTGGCTCTCCGAGATGAACATCGCCTGGAACGCAATCACCAAACGCGACGTCGACCCGAACCTCGGCTACGAGAACGGCTTCTACGAACAGCTCGAAGAATGCATCGACGACATCATGACCAAGGACGTTCGCGTCGTGACGAACGCGGGAGCGCTCAACACCGTTGCGTTATTCGACAAGATCAAGGAGCTGTGTAAGAGGAAGGGATGCCCCGAGAGCGTAGTTGCCGCTGTTCTGGGGGATGATGTCTCGGGGTTACTCCAAGATACATCGAAGAGAGGGGATCTAACGTTCCCAAACTTGGATCATCCGGAGACGACTCTCGATGACTGGGGTTTCGAGCCGTGTTGTGGCAATGCGTACATCGGATGCTGGGGAATCGTGGAGGCTCTCAGAGCAGGCGCGCGCATCGTAGTCTGTGGACGATGTACCGACGCTTCGCCAGTAATGGGCGCTGCGGCGTGGTACTACGGCTGGAGAGAGGACCAACACCAGGAACTGGCTGGTGCCCTGCTCGCGGCGCACTTGATCGAGTGCGGTCCGTACGTCGTGGGCGCCAACTTCTCCGGCTTCAAAGATTTCCTTCCAGAGCTGATCGATCTCGCGTTCCCTGTTGCTGAGATTGATCGTGACGGCGAGTGCGTTATCAGCAAGACTGCCGAGGGCGGCGGCCATGTTACGCGACAGACCGTCACGGCACAGCTGCTATATGAGCTGCAGGGCCACCTCTACCTCAATCCTGACGTGGTTGCCGACTTATCCAACGTCCGCGTCGAGGAGCAAAAGGATTCTGGGGAAGATCGTGTCAGAGTATGGGGTGCTAAAGGCCTTCCGCCTCCACCAACCACGAAAGTCATGTTCGCTGCCGAAGGCGGATACCAAGCTGAGGCGACATTCTATATCAACGGACTTGACGTGAACGAGAAAGTGGCCGTGATGAAGAACCAGCTGGGACATCTCTTCAAGGACAGCAACTTCAGCAGGCTGAGTATCGAGCAGTACGGCACAGAAGCCCAGAACCCCAGCTCTCAGCAGGCCGGCACCGTGCATCTTCGTGTCTTTGCGCAAGCGCGCAGGAAGGAGGATATTGCAGCCGTCAACTTCAAGGTTCCCATTTATGCTGTGAGAATGCAGAGTTACCCCGGCTACCACATGTCGCTAGATTTCCGGACCATGGATCCAAAGCCGTTCATGGAGATATTCCCGGCGCTGATACCTCAATCGGCTATCGACCACCAAGTGCTTCTGGGCTCAGGAGAGCTGATCTCCATTGCTCCGCCTCAGAGCACAGCGGTATACAAGGTTGAAAGGCCGTCCGCCGACACGTTTGAACAGATCGACATCATCTCCCTGGGTCCGACAGAGTTCGCGCCCTTGGGCAGCATTGTCCACGCTCGTTCTGGAGACAAGGCCGATAACTCGAACGTGGGCTTCTTCGTTCGCAACGAAGATGAGTACCCCTGGCTGCGGACTATCTTGACCGTGGGTCGGCTTAAGCAGCTGCTGGGTGACGATTGGTACAAGAATAATCCAGAGCGGAGGGTCGAACGGGTTGAGTTTCCCGGGATCAATGCTGTGCATTTGTGAGTCGAGCTTCTTCTCTTTTGCTGTGTCGGTGTTGGCTAATGATTGTGTCAGCCGGATACTGGACAACTTGAATGGAGGAATTGCATCCTCCGATAGGATAGATGGCTTGGGCAAGGGAATTGCGGAGTACTTACGGAGTCGATACGTCGAGGTGCCACGAACATTCTTGAAACGTGGTCGGATTTGAGGTGTAGTGATAGCTTGTACCAATAATGGAAGAACGTATTTGTTCTCAAAATTCCTTAATACTAAAAGTAGCGACTCGGAATTTCTCCCATTCCGAACAGCCAATCTTGGGAAAGCTGAGCAATGGCGTCGCTGTGGTACTGGTCGTAGCAGATATTCTGCAGGTCCCCGAAGCAATCTCGTAGAGTCTCGTCGACGGTCATATTCGTGCCGGGGCCGTGACCGTACATGGCGTCATTCAGGCTCATGTCCATAGCCTGGGACAGATGCTCTGTGTCGCCTGTAGGTTGGTTATTATATGTCGGCTCATTTGATGATGAGGCATGTCCAGTTTGGGCTTCGACAATATCAGCGACAACGGCGTCACTGAGTCGGTCAAATACTTCCGAGCAATTGCGTGCCATAGCCCATCTCTCAGATACCGCCACTAGCACCTTTGAGCAAGCCCGGGTATCGTTCACCACCTGGCTAATCGTAGGAGTTGCTCGCAGTGTGGCTCTGGGCGTGTTTGCGTTGGCAGGGTTCCGGCTTTGGATATGCTGGAGGTGATTCCTCAGTGCATAGATGTAGGAGAGTCCTGCGATGAAAATGGAGTGAAGCGTTACCCAAGAGTAGTTGATCTTCCTCGAGCGATGTAGGTTGGCATACAGCTTGATAGCCTCCTGTGATGAATCGAACATGTGCTGTAGCACGATGCTGTTGCCGGTTGCATCGCAAAGAGTGGGAGATGGGCGGAACAGCATCAGGATCCCGTTGTGGTATAGGAGATTGTACCATTCAGCTGAGCGAAAACTAGATCTGCTAGCTGGCGAGATGAGCAGCGCGTCTGCGGGAATCAGCGGTAGATTCCTGGTCCCCTCACGCCATGATTGGAGCTCTTCGACAAGGGCACTTCGGCTATCTTCGTAGGTGACGGGGTCTCGGGTTGTGTTGGCACTGCGGTGGAGGACGTTGAGAATCTTGCCGCAAATCAGTCGGTACCTGACAATGTGGACGAAGATTGCGGTCCCTAGATGCCACTCTGGCGTCATGAAGGGAGCCGTCGACAAAGAAGTTGGAAGTGGAACGGGGCTGCCGGGCATATCAAAGGGCGGGAGCTCGACGTCGATGTCCTCAAGCTGGATGGCCAGCGGTCGCCCCAGAATGAGACTGGCAATTCGATCCATAGACACCACACTCCAAAAACACCTCCTCTTGATTTCAACGTCTTCGTGCCTGCCCTCCGCATCCGTCTCATCACCGGGTCGTGGCTGAGGGACGGTATACGTCGACGCTTTGTGCAACCCAAGCTCGAAACATGTCCTCGCCGCAACGCCAATCAAGTGCCAGACACTGGTACTCGTGTCGTGTGAAGTCGTACTCATCCTGTACTGACAGATCAGTAGCAAAGCCTGAAGGGCAGTGATGCCGCCACGAGAGAGCACATCGCCCAAGCGCGTCATGGCTCGGGTGTAGTGGACCTCGGAATCCCAGAACCCGTTCCAGTTCAGCTTGTAGACTTGTGCTGTCCCGATGGCGAGAGTCATGTCGACGAGAAAGCTGTCGATGGGACTCGCGTTTCCCGAGGTTCCTACGTCATACACGGCATCTAATGCCCGGTCCAGTGCTCTCGGTGAGAGAAACGGGTAGCAAAGCCGGTCATGACTGGAGTATGCGTCAAGTATCTCTACCGTCATGCTCCTCGGTGGCAGACTCGAAGCTCCACTGGGCACAAGGCTTCCCGTACGTCCATGATGACGCGATGTTGAGCTGGAGTGCTGGCCAACGGTATGGCTGGGTGCCCCTGCAAATTGGCTATGAGACTGTAGCAGATTGGCGAGGAACAAACCGCTCGTCGAGCCGACAAAGTCTCGACCGCCTCCAGCGCTAAGTGACAAGTGAATGACCTGGCTAGCAATCTCGCCGCTCCCAGCAGTTGGTGCTTCGGACTCGTCAGTCTGCAGCCCCAGGCTTGACGTCGTAGTCGGAGTTGCAAGTCTCTCATCCTCGGTGCCTGGTTGGTGTTGCTGCTGCTGCTGGGCATCGACCAGTCTCCCAGTCAGATTGTCGTTTTCAGCCTGCAGATCTCGGATATGCTGCTCAAGCCTCTCGACATCCTGGCGGCGGAGTTGTATCTGATGTTCCCTCGCGGCATATGTGCACTGGACGTTGATTCGCGAGCAAGGGGCGCATGACGGCCGGGTGCGGTCGCATTTGACCTTTCGGCGGTGGCAGCGCTGGCATGCGCCGGTCCGGCTGACTGAACCGGAGGGCATTGAGTTCGATATCTGTTCAGTGACTCAGGGAGTGGCCGACACTTCAGGTGTCAGCATCAAGCAAGTTTGACATGGTGTTGCAGTTGGATATGAATGAAGGATGCCAAGAACATGTGAGGGATCCAACGAGGTGGGAAATCTGGGGTAATTAGAACGTCTCCGCTCTCCGGGGTTCCTCAACCAGCCACCCCGCGCCTCCGCTTTCTACGCCGGTGGATCCCTAGATGCTCTCATCGGTTCTTGACAGCTACAATCACCGCCGGATACACGTAGGGATGGTTGTTCTCACACACATGAAGACTGTCGAGCATTATCGTTCAAGGCAAACTCATTATCTACGAAGCAACTATCAAAATGAATGCGCGCCAAGTAACCCGATCCTCTGCTTCGACACCACAACATAACCCATCTTGATATACTCCTATTACCAAATGCTAGATAGTGTACACTAGTGCGTCATACTATTGACAAATCATGTCTTCTCACACCTAGATGAAAAGCTTGCTGCCATGATACTTGGTCTTCTTCGAGTACGTCGAGGCAGTAGCCGCCTTGGTACGCTCGGGGAAGCCCTTGAAGGACACGGCGTAGGTGGCGACAGAGTGAGAAACCAGCTAAGACGTTTGTCAGTATTGTGAATGAGTTTTGGGATGTCACGAAACTCACCTTGGTGTTAAGCTCCCAAGCAGTCAAGTTCACGTTGCCGACATCGTCGCACAACTGGTGGTAGCACGGGTCGTACCAGTCGCCGGCCTTGCCGCCGAACAGCTTGGCCTCCTCCTTGGTCTTGATGCCCTCAGCACCGGTAGCAATACCACCACCGGGAATGCCGTTGCGGATGAAAGCATCGTAATCACTGCGACCATCGAACGGAATGAAGGTGTAAGCAAGGCTGTGAGCCTTGTACCAGTCCACGTAGAGGTCACGCAGCTCCTCGGAGCCAGTGGGGTTGACGGCGTTCGTGGCGTTGTATACCTGGTAAGCGTAGTTGGGGCTGCCAAGCATGTCGTAGTCCATGAAGAGACGGATCTTCTGGTTCTCCTCCTCGGGCAAGACATCAACGTAGTAGTCTGAGCCAAGAAGGCCCTCTTCCTCACCGGCCCACCAGGCGAAGCGAACGCAGTTGTTGACGCTGAACTTGGTCAGCTGAGTGGCGATCTCCAGAAGACTCAAGCTGCCGGAGCCGTCATCGTTGATGCCGGGTCCCTCGGCAACACTGTCACTGTGTCCACCGAGCATTACGCAGTTGTCCTGGTCACCCTCGATGGTCTGGGCGAGGATGTTGGTGGTCTCGATGGTGTTGACAACGGCATCGATGTAGGCAATAGCATCAACGGATTCGCCCTTGCCGAGCTTCTCAAGAATGGGCTTAGCATCGTCACCACCCAGACCAAAGGTGGCAATGTGGTCGGGAGAAGGCGTTCCAAGTGTGCCGTGCACAGTCTCGGTCTCGTAGTTGTACACGACAGCTGCGATAGCGCCAGCCTTGCCGGCCTGCTCACTCTTGGCTCCGAACGCACAGGTGCCGCGGCGGATAAACGCGATGTTGCCCTTCACCTTGGAAGGGTAGTCGGAGGCGTCGCATCCGTTGTTCTCGACGAAGATGAGGTCACCGTACACGGGCTCCTTGTCCTTCGTGGGCGGGGTCAGGGCCATAGGAGAGGCCGACTTTGGCACATCGTTTCCGATAACGAGGCGCGACTCGAAGACATTGCCCGAGACGGCGGGGAAGGTCTGGTTCCAGATCTTGTAGTAGTCGCCCAGCTTCGCGAGCTCGAAGTAGATGTACTCCAAAGTTCCGAGATGACCTATGCAACAGGTAAGCACGAAGAGTGGTAAGTTGCTGGGAGAACGGCCGTACCATCGCTGCCAATGACGCGCGTGGGGTGGTTGTACTCTTCTTCTCCCAGCTTCGCGATATCGTAGAGGTCCTTGGCGCGCGCAAGGAGGTTGTCGGCGCTGATGGTGTCCTGAAGGGCCTCGGTCTCGACCAAGGGCTTCTTGGAAGACGACGACGCGGTGGACGGGGATGTTGCGACGATAGGCGCCTCGTCGGCAATCATCGGTGCCTGTTGTTCAGGTACCTGCATCTGCATCTGCAGGGCGGACACACCACCAAGCAGGGCCAAACCGGCCAATTGTAGTCGACGAGCTCCAGTCATGATGTTCAATACCTCAGTTCGGAACTTGAGTTGCAAAAATGAGGTTGAGACGAGGTTGGGAAGCTGTGTCACAGACCTGGGGGGGTCAGAGCTGGGTCTCAGTCGGGACTCGGGAGCTGTTGCGATAGACGACCGATATCGCGAATCGGTTAGTCATGTTGCCGAGGCCCACCATTCGTCATAGCTCTTATCTTATCGAGTTCGGCTGACATAATCTGGCTGAGCGATAAGACATCAACGCCCAGCGTTGGCACGGGGTCTTTTGATTCTGGAAACGGCCCTGGCTTAGCACTCCCTCGCTTCGCTGGGCGATTACGTTGTTAGCGCAGATTGCAGCTGTCAAGGTGGCCCCGAGACTCCGTCACCCCTGCTTTATAGCAAATCCAAGGGGTCAAGCGGCCCCCGTATGCGCATGTTTTCATAGGGGGGCACTGGGGGCCACGGGGTTGAAGATCAGGACACAGTGGACCGGGGGGGAAGCTCCAGGCAATTCAGGAGCTCCGCCCCCCCAAAGCACCTCTCCAAAGGGCAAAGGGCCCGCAGGTGCCTGTCTCTCGGTGCTGCTGCTCACCACCGGGCACTTTTACACTTCTTTCGGGTCCCGCGTTTCCCAGGGCGCAGACTTAGGACGAAGACGAAGCACGATCCGTCTCCCTTCTCTGTCCCTCTTCTTATGTTCTGTCTTCTTGAACCATCCCGTCTGCATCTTTTCCCCGGTGCAGAGCCGCCATGGTATTGTGCCAGACATCATCAACGTCCGCTGTCCAGAATGGGTGATATAGGAGCCACGGGAGTTTGGCCAAGAGGTGTGTACTATTCCACGATATCCGGCGGCGAGGGGAAGATTCCCTCATGTGAAGCTGGACATGTCGATGTAGCTTTTTCGCTGACTCTTGTCTCGTCCCGAAGATGCCGCTTCCTGGGCCTCGATACCGACTGAATTCCTCCTTGCCGAACTATCCAAGCGACATGGACCTCCAGTCACGAATGCAGAAGCTGCTGCGGCAGAGGCAACGAAGCCACAATGCGGTTCATCAAGAAAGGAGTCCTACGATACCGCGCTACACATTGGCGCGCTGATCTTGATATTGGCGCTGAGTACAATCTGTAAGCGACACCTTGCGCTGGACCATCCTTCGCGAGACCATGATGGCCTGCAATGGAACGCTCGGGAGGAGCTTCCGCCCAAGTTCTTGGTACATTATCATCTGAAGGAGCCCAGGCTAATTAATGAATGGTAGCATGCGGAATCCCATTACTCCCCCGAAGAACATCTAAAGGCCGGCCCCAAAGCATAATCCTATTCTATTGCCAGCACTTCGGCACCGGCGTCCTCCTCGCAACGTCCTTCGTCCACCTCCTCCCAACCGCCTTCACCTCACTCACCGACCCATGTCTCCCGTTCGTCTTCAACAAAGGCTACCCCCAGATGGCAGGTTTGATCGCCATGGTGGCAGCACTTTCCGTCGTCGCGCTCGAGTCCTATCTAGCCACCCGCGGGGCCGGTCACTCCCACTCCCATTCACACGAGTACGAGTACTGGGATGATGAAGAGGGCAGCGGTCACTCGCCAGCAAACGCCCATGCCGCGGGAAGCTTGGCGTCGCACAGACACGGCTCTCACCGGCCGGAAGATATCAACCTCGATAACATGGATTCTACTCAGGGGCTGATGGCGGGCGCATCGCCTTTGCCGAGTTCGACACCGACCCGTGCGAAAGCGAATGATAGCCTTGCCAACGGTCGAGATAGCTTTGATGACGACGACGACGAATCGGACATTGACCTCGATGTCAATGAGCTGGATCCAACCCCCACCCATGAGCCCAGACGCCGAAGCTCACCTGGCATTCGCCCGAAAATTACAGTCACCCCCGGCGCACCCCAGATCGTCACCGAAGAGGAGCAGAGCAAGCTCCTCCGTCAGTGTCTGCTACTGGAAGGAGGGATTCTCTTCCACAGCGTGTTCATCGGCATGGCTATTTCGGTCGCGACAGGCCCAACCTTTATCGTGTTCCTCATTGCCATCAGCTTCCACCAGACATTCGAGGGGCTCGCTCTGGGTAGCCGAATCGCCGCCATCCAACTGCCCCGGTCATCGGTCCGGCCATGGCTCATGGTTCTCGCTTTCGGAGGCACAACGCCGCTCGGTCAGCTCATTGGCCTCATCGTGCATAATCTGTACGATCCCATGAGCCAGACCGGGTTACTGATGGTTGGGTTCATGAACGCCATCTCGGCTGGGTTGCTTCTCTTTGCTGGACTGGTCCAGCTACTAGCCGAAGACTTCCTCTCTGAGAAGAGCTACAAGATTCTGAAGGGACGGAAACGGCTGAATGCCTACATGGCGGTGATTGGCGGAGCATCACTCATGGCCATTGTGGGAGCGTTTGCCTAGAACAGATGGGCGTACCACAGCGAGATATTATTACAAGAAACAGCTCTGCTAATACATATATGTTAAGCGAACCATCCTCATTGGACGTCCCGAGACCCATCATATGGACCAACCGATGCCAACCTACTACAGTACCGGCACATGAACACAAAACAGGAAAGGGATGGAAGGGAAGCAAAAGAGATCATGCCCCAAGACTCAGAAAAAGCAAAAGATTAACCCGAAGAGAGGCTTTACCAATCGCGGTGAGGATTTGAGCCTCACGCGGGGGTCGAACCCGCAACCTTGAGATTAAGAGTCTCACGCTCTACCGATTGAGCTAGCAAGGCGAGTTATTAAAAGCTGATCCGACGGACCTGCTCGCTGTTACAGAGTGCAGCGTTTGAGTGGTACAAGTAGGGTCGGAGCCGCGATGTGAAGAGATTTTTCCAACTTTTCTGGCGGTAAAGTGGGGCGGGGAGCGGTGCTCCGGTTTTATGTGTGGTCCGTGGTCCCGGGACTGGTTCCGTCTTTGACTCCCTTCCAGGACCATTGTGTGCTTGAGGAGCCTCGATGGTTGGAGATATTTTCCGGAAGAGGAATGTCATCTTTTTCACAAGTTTTTCTCCAAGTCACACGGCATGATCCCTATAATATTCCATTGACCAGTAGTTTCTCAAGGCGGTAGCGGTACTCGTCAGGACTAACACAGCCTCCATGCTTGTACTGGAGATTAAGAGAGTAGGAAGTATTCTATCAACGCAACAGCTGACTAAAACCGCTTGTTGGAGACGGCTAGTAAGCTAAGGTAGTTGTAGAATGAGTAATGTTTGGCACATTCACCATGACCTAGCTGTCCCGATTAATTAAGGCGATATTTAACATGTTCTAAATCCACGTAAATGTCAAGATCAACTAGTTCAGGATGCTTCCAATCTAGACGTGAGCTCTTTCAAAGATATGTTTGCATACAAGATTCACGCCACGCATTGAGTACTGAACTCAAAACTGGTGCGAGGCAAGGAGTTGGGCACTGGGATAATTAATTTCGCCATACTGAAAACGTGTTCTGTTATTCGAAGCAATGTCGATCACTAACCTTCATCATAAATGCTTATGGCATGGCATGTCGGAGCTTTCTTAGCCTAAAACAAATGCATGCGGTCAAAAAGTGAAGAGGAATATCCATCAGTTCATTTCGAGATGGCTGAAAATGAAGCACGAAGTTCATGTCAGGAGAACGGTGTCCAAAAGTGTCCATGGACGATTCTCAGACATCATAACCCCGACCAACGTCCTCTTACACCTCGTAGACCTTAGAATAGTCAGCTATCAAAGTGAGATAATCGGCGAGGTTTCTTCAACTGACATTACAGTTCTTGTTTGGCTGTGCCACAGGATCATCCGAGGCACAGTCTGACATGTCGTCTCAACCTGGAGGGTTCTTAGGAGTGACTCACTCGGAGAACTACCTGCATAAAGGCCCGGACGGCATGACCTCTGGCCCAAAATCCCAATCGTCTCTCAAGCTTCCACCAAAGACATCACGAGTCTGAAAGAATATGACTGTATTGCCTTTAACGAGATATAGCAAGCTTGACCAACATACTTAGGTAGAGAGTGTTGTTCAAGAAGACTCCACCAAGCATGACCGGTACGTACCATTCCTCAGCAGGCCGAATCCCAGCGCAATTGCAGCGCGCCCGCAGTTCATCCGGCACCAATGCAAGGCTGATTTGATGTGCCGCCAGGTGCGTAGTAGGTTCCTTTCACTCTGAGAGGCGGGGCAGTTTATTTTTTTCCTTGGGCTGCCCGCAGTGCTGATCGACCTCTGATGCAGCTCCAAAAACCAATCCCACCATCGTCGCCGACCCAAGTCAACCGCACCCACCTCACCCGCACCGTGGGCGAAGCGCCTCTCTGGGCGTCCGCTCCGACCCGACTCTTCTCTTTCCTGTTGACACTTCAAACATCATAGCTGCGAATGCGATTCAATTGAAGACCTTGACTCTCGATCTCGAATTTGCAGCCTAATTTTCATTCCTTGTTTCACCTTATAATACTTTGCCGGCGCAAACCGACGACCCCTCGATCGCGCGAAACCCAACTTTGGAGAACGACCCCGGACGACAAAAAAATCCCCCAGGCACAAACTCCCCCACCACCAACGATCGATCTCTCATCACCACCAATTCCCCCGCGACACCACGATACAGCTGGCCTTGAACCGATCCCTCAGACTTTCCAACCCCGTTGCGCATACTGTACCTCCTACAAACGACCGCATACCACAAGCGCGATAGGCCGCCGCCGCAGACAGCCGCAATGGCTCCCGCACCCCCAGAGGCGGACTCGCCCTCGGCGGCAACGACCTCGAGCACCGACTCCAAGCTAGAGGTGTGGAAGGACATGCTCTACGAGAAATTCCAAAAGGCTGGCGACGAGAACGACCTCTTCACCCAATACGACCTCCTCGACTTTGACGTGATCCCGAACCGCGACACCGTCACCCTCTTGAAATGCCTCCAGAGCCTCACAAACGACCGCCTCCTCATCGCCGTCTCCTCCCAGACCGGCCTCGCCTGGCGATGGCGCTCCGTCGAAGATGCGGAAAAGTGAGTACACAACCCTCGTCTCCAATTTGGCCTGCTGTCAGCCATGCTAACCAATCCCCCCCTTCCTCCAGATATAAACTCTGCACAACAGACGAACAGCGCATGGTGTACGGCGCAATAGACGAAGCAGGCGGCGACGGAATCTGGTCCAAATCAATCCAGAACCGCCTCAACATGCACGACTCGGTCCTCAAAACAGCCCTCAAACAGCTCCAGGGAAAGGGCCTCATCGCCCCCTTCAAAAACGTGGAACACCCCAACAAGCGCATGTTCATCAAGGCCTCCATGCGGCCCTCGGAACGCGCCACCGGCGGGCCCTGGTTCACCGACTCTTCATTCGACGAGGCCTTCATAGAGGAAGTCCAGCGCGTCATCTTTGACTACGTTAAGCGTAAGAGCACCTACCACAGTACCGGCTCCTCTTCTTCGTCCGCCGCAGCCCGCACCGCTGTGCCCAAAAAGGGCGTCCTCAAGGGCGGCCCACCGGATCACAAGGGCAAGAAGCGCAGCGCAGGAGAAATGTCAGGCACAAACGAAGCAGAGAAACAATCCCCTCCCGCAGTCCAACCCCCCAAGCGAGAACCAACTTGCCTGCCCCTCCCCGCCGGCTTCAAAGAATACCCCACCACGCGCGAGATCGCGCGCTTCGTCTCTCAGTCCGGTATCACCAGCGACACGATCCTCGGCGAAGAAGACATGCAGAAGCTCATTGACGTGCTCATCTTTGACGGCCTCATCGAGCCCATCCGCGTCTCGGGCCGGCTGGGCTACAGAGTCTGCCGCGCCCCACGACAGAGCAAGATGCCGTGGGCGGGCCGCCAGGACGACGAGGGCGCGCCGGAGCCGTTTGTCAATGGGTATACTGAGGCTCCTTGCGGCCGGTGTCCCGTGTTTGAGCTTTGTGAGGAGGGCGGTCCCGTCAGCGCGAGCAATTGCGTCTATTTTCAGCGGTGGTTAGGTTTGGAATGAGGTCCATGAGACTTCGGTTTCGCAAGACACAAGAGGGAAGAGCCTTGCTGAAAAGACTGGGGTTCTGTCTAGGAGTCATCAAAAAAGACGGTCTTTTGTTTCGGTTTGGGTCTGATTGATTCACATCATGGGAAGCATTGCATTGGCGTTGGCACGAATTATCACAAAAGGAGAGGACATGGGCGGGACGGTTTGCCATGGGGGCCGGGGGTAGAGTTTCCATCCTTCCCAAGCGGAATTTAGCTTCAATGGCGGCCAGCCATTGGCTGTAATTATACCAATGACATGTTTGACCCCACCACGCTCAAGTTGTTTGAATGCATTGACAGTTGCATTGATAGGTCCATTGTTGGAATATTCTGGTAAATTTAGGTCTATGGTGTCTCCTTTGGTTGTGAGCAAGAGGTTTGCCACATGATCCTTTGATGCTCGGTTCACCAGGTCATCAAGGCAACACGTCACTTATGGAGGCAATGGAAAAAAGAGTGGCAGTAACTTTTTGTCTTGGCAGACTATATAGCAGCAGCAAAGCTGATTGCCGCCAAGCTGCGTGATGGCGCAATTCCCAAGTCCCTACCAAATCGTCCTCCCTTTCGCGTCAAGGTGTCTCTCGCGACATTTCAGAAGCAGGACCTAACGTACAAAGAACCGAGCGAGAAGCACTTTACAACGCACCAGAGGCGACGATGGTGGGGCGCTTGCCGTACTTGACGGCACCGCTGGAGGAGCCGGTAGCCTCGAGAGCCTTGACGATGTTGAGGCCGTCCTGGTTAGCAACCTCGCCGAAGACGACGTGGCGGCCGTTGAGCCACGAGGTGACGACGGTGGTGACGAAGAACTGGGAGCCGTTGCTGGTGGAAGATTAGCTACTGGGTTTGGAAGAATGGTGGCCGAAGAGGAGAGCTTACGTGTTGGGGCCGGCGTTGGCCATGGAAAGCAGACCGGGCTTGTCGTGCTTCAACGAGAAGTTCTCGTCGGCGAACTTCTCGCCGTAGATGGACTTGCCACCGGTGCCGTTGCCACGGGTGAAGTCACCACCCTGGAGCATGAAGTCAGGGATGATGCGGTGGAAGGAAGAGCCCTGGTAGCCGAAGCCCTTCTCGCCGGTGCAGAGAGCCTTGAAGTTGGCGGCGGTCTTGGGGACAACATCATCGAAAAGGTTGAAGACGATGCGGCCGTTCTGCTCTGTACGAGGGAAGCATGGTCAGCGAAGCTCTGATTGCGGTCAAGATGGCCAGGTAGGTAGAAAGACTGCGGCATGCCGAAGCTGGGCGGACAGCAGAGTTCAAGTCTTTTGGAGTCGAGGTGGTGATTTCCATGCCCTCTAGAGCTGTGGACATAGGCATAATGATGCTAGGAACATCCAAGACAACCGTGATGATGATTGTTCTGATGCAATTCAATGGGTGAGTGAAAAAAACTTACGCTGGACGGTAGAGGTGGGACGTCCGGAGCCGTCGAGGACGGGACCTTCCCACTCAATGTCGAAGTAACTGAACAGAAGGTTAGTTATTGCGTCATGAGAGCACCACGATGGCGATGGTCTTGAGGAAGACCGAGGGGAGTAACAACTTACACTTGGGATCTAGACATGATGTTGGATGCTGAGAAGAATCGAACGGATGGCTTGGTAGATGCAGGAATCACAGTTCGGAGAGGTTGAATGAAGGCAGAAGGTCGACAAAAGGGCGAGGGTGAAACGGAGGAGCAGAAGGTATGGCGGGGTAGGAGGGGTCGCAAAAGGGTTGGTCTCATTTTTTCAACAGCTGGGTGGAGGGGTTTATTGTTAGCGCAAGAGCTCTCCGCTGCGGGTGCCGAAGGGGCGAATTAAAAGTCAAGAAATGAAGAAAAGAGGGGTGAAAAGTCACGTGGAGTGAGCTGCTGCTGAGGTCACTGACGGACCGGGAAGTACCTGACTGACCCAAGTACCTGACCCAGGTACGTAGCCGGTACAAGGCGCAAGTACCGCCGAGAAGGTCAAGGTGACGGAAGGAGGGATTGGGTTGGGGCGTAATGGGAGGGAAGGAGGGAGGCGATGCGGCGGGGAGGGGCAGGCGCCAGGGAAAGTTGCAACAACTGGGAAGAAGCAGGAAGGAAAGAAGAGCAGTGCACTGGGCAAAATGAGGGGCAAAGGGATCTTCTTCCCGGCTTTCTCTGCTTGGTTTTTTGGTTCGGTTTCGCCTCAGCCCGCCAGTTCAGAACTTCAGTCCAGTCCAGCCCAGCTAGGCCAGCCCAATTGCTTGTGCTGCTGGTGCTCGCTCAACTTCCATCCAGCCAGAAGCCAGAGGGCGAAAGCCAATGTCAAAGAGATGAGTGGGATGACTTCATCAACCATTCAACCCCGCCTTGCGCCTAGCTCGACAGGCAAACCAGATAGGGAGAGCAAAACAGCAACGAGAGGTTAAGCTCAACCATTCCAGTTACCCGGCCAGCCGGCATCGTTGGGGACGAAGGACGGTTCTCAATCAACAGCCAAGTACTTAGGGAAAACGTTCCACGGCGGCAGTGCTTGGGCTGAAGACGGTGTGCTAGGGGATGACGGCTTGTACCTCCACCGGCCTGCCAGCTTCACAGTGGTACCTGGATGAACTCCCTCACTCACAAGCTCAAAGAGAGGTGAATGCCTCCGAGCAGGGCAGCGAACAGAAGAGCCATTGGTAACCTAAGGTGCGGCACGGGCAGGACAGACGAATGCACGTCAAAACCCCGAGGCCGCTGGCTATTGGAGCGACAATGGAGGCACCCTGGGGAGGGGGACAACGACAGCAAGCTGGCACAGCCGGATGGAGTCGTTCGTCTGGCTGTCGGCCACGGCCAAGTCACCGTCCCCCACTGGCCCATGTTGTCCCTTGACAACCCTTCGGAAGCTCGTGGAATCTTGCGGAGCGGGGGGATGGTAGCTTCGATAGACAAGTGGATGGTACGACAGCGGCGACGGCGGTCCGGCGGTGGACGAGTGACGTGACGTGACGTGACAAGCCGGGAAGGAAAGGCAACGCATCGGCCATCGACGGGCATCAAAACACCCAACAGCCGAAGACTAATGAAGCCGTCCAGTTTCCGGGATGAAGAATGACACCATCCACAGCCGAGGCGTCACCGGGGGGGCTGGTGCTCTCGACGCCGTCGCCAGTGTTGCCATACAAGACAAGTCCAGTCCAGGCCTGTGCTCGTGCGTGGAGCTATGCTCAAGATGCCAGGTGGGCTCCATGGGCTCATGTGCGAGCATATCAAGCTGCAGAGGCTGGATGGCAAAGCTCTCCCGTCCATTCTGACAGCCCAATTGGCCTGCATGGGAACCGCATTGGCCGCACGACCAGCTCTGGTAGCTCCGACGACCTTCATGTCAAGGTAGGTAAGGTAAGGTGGGATGAATGGGCAGCTTTGGTAAGGGGGAGGGAAACTTGTGCTGGATGCAGAGAGAAATGGATGTGAATTGGAGTATGACGAAAGGAACTGGTTCTACACACCTCAAAGAAAGAGCAGGATTACACAGTCTACGTGTTGGTACAGGTACAGAGTAAAAGAAGTGAGATGAAGTTTTGTTGATACACGAAGGTCGATGAAAGTCGCTGATGGGAGAAGAATTTAATCTTTGCAGTCTTCCCAGGAGAAAAAAGTTTTGGTGAGGTCAGGGACTTCCCAAAGGGGGCGGATGGTCACGGCACGGCACGAGAGCAACCTGAGGAACATACCCACGGTCCAGGGAGGGAATTGGAGCACGGGCGCCCTCAATTGGAGATGGACAGCTGTCGGCTTGGAGCTCAAGGCCTTCCATTGCCTTTTTCTATTGAGTCTGCTGGAAACCCAAGGCAAGACTGAAATGTCTACAACAACCTGAGATCATTCATATTCCAGGGATACGCCTAGCTGAAACTTGAACAGCATCAATCAATTGGTGGTTTCTGAGAACATCTCATCCAGAAACAGTAGCTGTCCCGAATCAAGCTGTGAGCTGATCGAAGCGTACCTGAGGTACATCGCGGTACGTACCGACGACCAGGGAAGCTCTTGATCATGGAATTGGAAGTTGCTGCTCCTCCGTTGGCGGCGGCTGCCCGCTGACGCTTTCTTTCGATGGAAGGCTCACCACGTGACTTCGTACCGTCCTTCCCCACATTTCCTTTCACTCAGACTGAGCCAATCTTATATCATCCCAGCGGTACGTACCCCCCTGCCGCCGCACTGCCCGAGACCGATTGACCTTGGGCCTGAAAGTTCCAGGGTGGCCAGGTCGCTGGATTGCGCTTCTCTTTGAAACGTCGACAAAGAATCACAGGAGCATCGAGTCTTCGTGTTTACCACCTTTACCTGTGCCTTTGGGCTTCTCGCTGCTTGTCGTCCATCGAATTCCTCCCCATCGTCACCCTCTCGAAACCGCCAAAATGGATTGGAACAACCTCAAGGACACGGTCTCCAACATGACCCTGTACGACGTCAAGGCCGGCGTCAGAAAGGTCCAGAATGGTAATCACCAAGTGTCCAGTCCAGTCCCTTGTCGGTCGCATGCTAATTGCGCGTAGCCGTGATGAATTACACAGAAATGGAGTCAAAGGTTCGTCCATTGGATATCCAGTCCAACGCAGACTCCAGTCCGTCTAACAGGTGCTAGGTCCGAGAGGCGACCAACAACGAACCATGGGGCGCGTCCTCATCGCTGATGCAGGAGATTGCCAACGGCACATTCAACTAGTAACCTCCCCCAAATCGGACCGTACGAATCAATGGCGCTGACGTAGTTCCAGTGCGACTCTTAACGAGATCATGCCTATGATTTACCGTCGATTCACAGAAAAGTCCGCCGAAGAGTGGCGGCAAATCTACAAGGCTCTTCAGCTTCTCGAGTTCCTTATCAAGCACGGTTCCGAACGAGTCATCGACGATGCCCGTGGTCACATTACACTCCTCAAGATGCTTCGCCAGTTCCACTTTATCGATCAGAACGGAAAGGATCAAGGAATCAACGTTCGCAACCGTGCCAAGGAATTGGCCGAACTCCTAGGCGACGTCGAGCGGATCCGAACGGAGCGCAAGAAGGCGCGGGCAACCAAGAACAAGTACACTGGTGTCGAGGGTGGAATGAGTATGGGAGGCGGTTTCTCGAGCGGGAGCGGCAGTCGCTATGGAGGATTCGGCAGCGAGCAGGGAGGCTACGGTGGCTACTCCGGAGGCGTCTATGGTGACGGTGGTGGATTCGGCGGAGAGGAGAGCAACGACTACGGCAAAACACAGTCTCACGGCGGCAAGTTTGAAGAGTACGACGAGGGTGAGGATGACGTTCGTCCAGCTGCCAGCTCCTCATCGTCTCGATCCAAGAGACCAGAGCGGGCTGTCGCTGCCGCTCCCAAGGCCGAGCCACCCAAGAAGAAGGAGCCCGAAGTTGACCTCTTCTCCTTCGACGATCCTGCGCCATCTTCTATGCCAGCCCCCGTTGCCCCATCTAACGGGTCCGGTTTCGCCTCTCTGTCTGCTGCTCCGGCCGCCGCCAACGACGACGATGACTTTGACGACTTTCAATCCGCGCCCTCGGCTCCCGCAGCAGCCACTCCCATGTCCCCTCCCGTCATGACAGCCAACTCTGCCACAACTTTCGCCGCTCCCCAGCCGGTCTCGGCACCTCAACAGGCCAACATCGGCAACATGGTCAGCATGTCTTCCATGTCGCCCGCCCCGAGCGCCAACTACTCAGCTTTCAGCACCCCTGCTGTCGCCTCTCCCGCGGCACAGATCAAGCCTAGTGGATACCAGCCTTCAGGGCCCAACTACTTCGGCTCCGTTCAGACCGCGGTTCCGCAGGCTACTGGTGGCTCTTTCGCTTCTACTCCTGGTGCTGCGGCGGCGGCAAAGCCAGCTTCGGCTGCTGCTAAGCCGGCCGCTGCCGGCGGTGACGCCTTCGGTGCCCTATGGTCACAGGCCAGCTACGGTGTGAAGAAGACAAGCACACCCACCACTGGCCCGGCCTTGGGTCAGCTTGCGAAGGAGAAGAGCAGCGCTGGAATTTGGGGCGCCCCTGCCGCGGCGTCGACACCGAAGCCCGCAGGAAACTCCTCCACCGGCGGAAACCACGGCCTGGACGACTTGCTTGGTTAAGCCTACAATAATGATACAAAGACGCGGAGACGAAGATCTGGAGTGGAAAAGACGGGGATCGCCCAACCTTACAGCATCACCGGCCAAGCAGCAAAGCAAGAAAGAGGCCGCCGCGGTGATGGTAAGGCGAGACGACGTGTGTTGATAAGCTTTTCTACCTAGGCGTATCGGCAGGCAAAAGAAGACTGCAACACATGAACCATATACTGAAATTTCAAGCGAACCACATTCAATACTTGTGTCCTCATGGATCTTTCCACCTCGTGCAATGTGACATCATACTCACAGGCTTGACAGCTGTCTTCACGCGTGTGGGCTTCGTTGCGAGTCGACCATCATGTCTGTGCATGCCCTGATCGTCGGGCGATTATATTTGCAGGGCTCATAGCCCTCTGCGGCCGATAGAGCGACTTCATGCGCCCACAATTCGAAGCAAGCCGTCATTATTGTGAAGGGACGACTCAACAAGGTCTAGACCGTGTCGAGCACTCTATCGCGAACTCTCGATTGCAAGGACCTAACTGATGCCAAGTCGATCAACAGCGAACCGACCGTCCGCGGGCCAACCACCGTCGTCCCGCGGCTGTGGGAGGCTCAAGAGGCTCAAGGATCAGTGCATAGATGCTCGCGCATACAGAACGCGTCAAACCAACAATGGCCCAGGAACAGGCCCAGTATGGGCCTCAACAAAGAAACTCCATGAAGCCAAGATATGCGGCCTGGGCCAGCAACCGCCAGACCTGGTTTCAGGTCCGGTACCTGCATGTCTTTGGGGCCTGGGCTAGCTCGTATGAACAGGCGCCTCAGCCTCCGCCATCGTCGTCCCACAGCGGCCGCGTTTAGTGGTCTATTCGATGAACAATTCAAGATGGAGAAAAGGCATGGATACCCACCAGGTCAAGGCCAAGGTCGAAGCTAGGTGAGTACGCCGGGATGAAGCAGATCCAATCATGTCCATCTAGCCTGGTTCAAAACAGGCGCGCAGCCATCCAATACCAGGACCTGGCTCGATGACATGCCATTGGACGCGCCTATTTTCCTCTCCACTCGCTTTATGAGAGATGCCAGAAAAGAAAAAGCCCGACGCTGCAGGTCTAAGAGCCTCCAATTTCCCGGAGCCGTATGGCCCCGTCGTAAATTCGTAACCGCGTCGCTTGTCCAACCTCTCCGGAACTCCACCGCCGTTAAGCGCCGCACCGCAACCCCGGCCGTTGATGATGATTGGTCCAACCCAGCGGCTCATCATACCTAGCCCAACGTCGTGCCGTCCAAAATGCGGGAGCCTCCAAGGGTCTAGGGCGAACCACTCGCTCACTGCTTTGCACAGAGGTACGGCAACTGACGTATCTCATGCAGGAACCGTAAGGTACCTTGTCGTATCTTGACGTTCATGGGCTTGGTGAGGATCAAGAGGTCCAGAACGCGAGAGCTCGAATTAGCAACACAACAACAATGCAAGGCAACCTGAGGTACCATTTGCAGGCAAGATGAACCGCAGGGCTGGTTATTGGGCTGTATGAAGATGTTGCTTTTTTGTAGAATCAAGATGTATAAAGACGATTGAGCTCATCCGTTTCTCGGTCTCGAGTTTCTTCCTGTTCCTCATCAACATCACAAACACAAGTCTTTACAACAATCTTCCGTCTTTTCCTTTTTTATTTTCTCTCTCTTTTCCTGATTTCCTAGGTCAATTTCCTTGGTCAAGTTTGGGTCTCATCTCTCTCTATCTCTCATCTATCTCGGTCAACATTCGATTTTCATTTCGCATCTTTCGAATTTCCTTTTTAGGTCACGACAAAAAACGGGAACGAAACGAAACACACGATCTTGAACGAACTTACTTTCTCTCCATCGATTCTTCGAGAACCTCAACATCTTTCTCTCTTTTTTTCCACAGAGTCTCGTGTCTATCCACGTCCAACTTTTACTTTTACATTCTCCGAGCCATCAAAAAGTCGCTAAACCAAGCGACTTTCCGCAATCTCTTCCAAAATTCCTTCCTCAACCTCCTCCCCGACCGCCAGCATCCCCTTCCCGCCCCGGAAATTCCCCGTCCGCACGGCGCTCCACTTCCACGCCCCGCGCCCGAAGCTTACTCTCGTCACCCCCGTCTCTCTGGCCCGCGACTTCGCCGCCCGGAAGCACAGCATCTACACAATGGGTTCCGCTCCTCGTCTCGGCGCCCTCGGGCACACCTTCACCTTCATGCGCGCCATGCAATTCGTTTCGTTGGTGTCCATCATCGGCATGGTCGCCAACTTTATTTCGGAGATTAATGCTGCTGATGTGCAGTCCCCTTCGGTCTTGATTGGTACGCTCGTTATTGTAAGTCGGCACTCCACAGATCCTTTCATGGAGATTTGTAAAGACAAGTAGATTGGAAGAACGATAGCTAACATCCCCCAAAAGTCCTGCATCGCAACCCTCTACATCTCAATCACCTACATCCTCTACTACGACAACATGCTCCCCCTCCTCCTCGCCGCAGGAGCAGATACCTTCCTCCTCATCGCCGTCATCGTCGTCGCATGCCTCCTAGGCAAACCCTTATCCTACCTCGACTGCGCCGCCCTGCCCAAGTCATCGGGTAGCACCGCCAACTTCATGGCCTCCGCTCTGGCCAACATCAACACCGGTTCCGCGCTCAACTACTTTATTTGGGTCGGCGCCGACCAGGGCACGTGTTATGCTATCAAGGCCGTCTGGGGTCTTTCGATTGCGCTGTGTGTGCTCTTTGCGTTTAGTGCCGTGACGGCGGTTTGTCTCTGGCGCAGGGTCAAGGTTGCGCCTGCGGTGAAGGATATTGAGGGTTGAGGGTGCGCCCGTGGTAGGGTGGCAGTCGGTGGTGCCGGTGGTGGTGGCTACGCTCCTTCTTTCCCGCCTCCTCCTACGAGGGAAGTACGGGGTTGCTACTTTGGCAATACCAAGAAGAGCCTGGGCACCGCTACTATGTTGGCGCGGGAGAAGCGTTGGGACAGCGACATCTCGTCCGGGTCAGACTCGGATGATGCCCATGTTGCTGTTCCCCCTCCCGTCTCTCAACCCGCCCGGACGACCGCGTGGTTCCCGCCGCCGCCGCCGATGCCGATGTCGACGCAACGACAGATGCCCCCTACCACGGCCCAAGTGCAGCACAAGCGCGTGCAGATTGTCGAGCAGAGACAGCCCGTTCACGCGATGCCTGTTTTACCCGAGTTGATTGTCTCCCCTGCACCGCCGCTGACTCCAGAGGCAAGATCGCCAATGACGCCGATGACGCCGGTGGAGCACCTTGTTCATTCTCGCAAGGGTCTTGGTCGTGGGAAATCGAAGCGCAAGACGATTATGGAGTTTATTGACGGGTGGTGGGATTTGGGGCTGTTGGAGCAGCAGAAGAGGGCTGCTTCTAGGAGGAAGTGAGCTCCCCTCTGGCCTGGGGGTTTCCTTTTTTGGTTATGGGGTTTGGTTTCGTGAGGCTCTGCTGGTAATAGAGATTGTGTTCCAGGGCTTGGGATTCTTGGGATTCTGGAAAGACGTCGCTTTGGTCGACGGGGGTAATGTCTACTGGATAGATTCGGTTTTTTCTGTTCTTGTTCGGGGAAAAAGAAAAAAAAAACCAATGGCGTTGGCTTTTAGGTAGTCGGATTGGGACCACTGATAATAAAAGAAAAATAACTGGGATGGGCGAGTTACTTTTTTGGTGATATCGTGTGATCGAACCCTGGCAGTAAGACCGCTTTCCCCTGTGATTAGTCGTCGAAGCATTGATTACCAAAAGCTGAACCGTTTTACCAGAGACGAAGCCCAGATGACAAGTTTCCAAGCTTCAAGAAGTCCGAGACCTCTCAAGTCAAGAGCACAGCATGCCCAAGAACCTTGAAACAAGCCGTAATATCCCAGCTCTCGTCAATGGTCTCCCTCTTGGCCCACACATTCTCCATAACCCCCAACGCAGCCTTGATAGACCCAAACACTTCGAGCGCACCCATCTTACCCACCATCTCGCGAAACATGTGCTCCTGGCACGGATCCGCCAAACATCCAATCACGCAAAACGGCCAGACGACGGTGCGTAGACACACGGGGCTATGCAGCGAGTTGAGCAGGTCAATCGTGATGGCCACGCTGGAGGCTGTTTCCGGACAGGAGGGTTGCCATCCCGACACGACGGTCGAGAGGTATGTTAGTGCGGCGTAGGCCCATATTTTGGTGTGTAGGCGCGCTGCGTCGCTCGCATCGCGCGTTTGCTGGGATTGGTAGAACGTCAGCGGATCAGGCGGGAGTCTTGTAGTATCGACGTGCGTAGGGTGCGGCGGCGGCGCGGAAGCATCCTCGGCGTCCATGGCGGAGCAGGAGCCCGTTCGACAGGCCATTTCTTCGGCGCAGTTGGGGGAGCCCATTAGCTGCGGGCAGGCGTTGTCCATGCAGGCTATCCCCTCGCGGAGGGCGAGCTCGAGGCAGCCTGCGCGGGAGACGAGGTGCGTCATGGAGAGGGAGCCCGCGCGGCGGGTTTCTTTTTTCCAGGCGTCGAGGGAGGCGATTTCACCAATGATTTGGAGGACCCAGGATTGGCAGCCAAAGTACTCTTCTAGTCGGAGGCGGGGCTCGACTTCGGCGCAGGCGGTGGAGGGTTCTTTGCGCGGGGAGAGGAGGTGGCGGTGGTAGCGTTGGAGGCGAGGCGGGCGCTCGAGGGCGGTGGCGGAGATGATGTCGAAGTAGAAGAGGGATGCGGTGAAGAAGCGGAGGGCGGCTTGGTCGGAGGACCAGGGTTTGTGGGATCCGGGAGGGAAGGAGACGCCTTGGAGGAGGGGGATGGCCATGCTGTTCATTGTTGAGTCCCAGCGGTCTGGGCTGGGGAGGATTTGTTGGAAGATGATTGTTGCGGCGTCGAGGTGCATGTGCCAGTGGTCCGTTGTGGCCAAGGTCACGTCAAAGATGAGGAGCTGGACGATGCTCTCGAGGACGTGGCAGCTTTGCTGGAGTTGGTCTTGCGGGTCGCGGGGGACGCCACCGGGGCCGGGCTCGTTGATGCGGGTCATGTCGGCGCGGAGCTCGCGGAGGGCGAGGTGCATTTGGTGGCGGAGGCTGGCGACGGATTTCATGTGGCAGGGGGCGTGTTCGACTTGGGCGGAGTCGAGGACGACGCCGAAGAAGTGGGAGGAGAGGCTGAGGGCGGTGTGGTAGAGGGCCTTGTTGTGGTTCAGGACGTTGAGGAGCCAGCCGCGGCCGCCTTCGAGGAGGGCGGGTTTGTAGAAGGGGAAGAGGAAGGGGAAGACGTAGTCGAGGTAGATCATGATGAAGCTTAGGTTGGAGTCGTCGGCGAAGGGCGGGGATGAGGTTTGGGCGGAGGTGCCCATGCCTGTGCCGGCGGCGAAGTCGGGTTGTTGTTGTTGTTGTTGTTGTGTGGCGGATACTGGGCTGGAGTGGTTGTTCCATTCCGGGGTGTGTTGGCGCATCTGATTCGGTGATGCGCCGGGGACGATTTCATGAATAGACGACTTGACCGAGTCCATCTGAAAGGGCGGACTAGACGATGAGTCGCCGGGGGTGTCGTTCACGGTGGACGGACTATTGGAGTCGTTGGCCTTTGATGAGCCGTCGTCGGCACTCAGGGCCGGCACGGGAGGAACATGATCGCCATCCTCGGATCCGCCGCCTCCTCCGCCGCCAACTCCGCCTCCTCCCTCCACGTCGAGGCCCTGTAGGTACTTTCGCTCGCGGCGGTTATTGGCCTGGATCTTGACCTGCTTCTTGAGCTGGTCGGCCATCTCTTTTTGACGCTCGCCGCCGTCCATCCAGTCCGGTTTCGTCTCGCTATAGAAGCAGTTGATCTCGAGCTGGGCGCACCCTTCGCAGACGGGCCGAGCCTCGTCGCACTTTTTGCGGCGCAGGCGACAGGTCCAGCAGCCCTCGGAACTGCGGATCTTGGCCGAGGACGACATGCTGTTTTTGAAGCGCGACCGGATGTTGGAGAAGGAGGACATGTGGGGGAGGTCCTTGTTGCGGGAAAACATGGTGGGCTATGGTGTTTGCTGCTTCGCGCATGCAAACAAGCGATAATTTTAAATGTGTTGAAAAGGGAGACAAAGAGACTGGGGGGGGGGGGGGGGGGGTATCAAATGGGCGATCTCATTCAAAGATGATGAGGTGAGCTCGCGAGCGGTCCTTGTTGGGGTCGGTCGCTGCCCCGTCCAGTCAGTCAACTGCGCGTGCGTGTATCTCGTTCGGATTACGATTACTCGAGGATGTCACCGTACGAATACAGAAACAAGAAAAAAAGAAGCACCAGAAGTCGGAAGTCGGACGCGCAAGTGACCGATGGGGCAGTGAGAGTGCTCAGTGAGTGAGTGAGTGAGTGAGTGAGTGAGTGAGCGAGCGGATGAAATGAGTGGTGAATTGCTGAGTGAGCCGTGGGTGTCGCTGGCTGCAGCCAACAATCGATTTGTCATCCACTTAAAAGGCGCGCCCGGCAGATTCCACCATCTTTTTTGGGTGCTTTAGGTGGTGGCAGTGACTGAGAGAGGAGTGGTGTGTGGTATGGAGGGGGAATTTACCAAGGAACAGACCGACCTGGGAGGGTCATGGAACTTGAAGAGAACCAAGGGTGAAGGGGGGAAAATTAAGGTAAAGGATCAAGGGTCAAGGGGAACCCCCCGGGGGTGAGCGGATCCGAGGCCGGTCTGCGGTCTGCCCTCCTCCCTGACCTTACCTTGCGGCTTTACGCACCACCCGGTGAGGCAGGTGAAGGCGAACTCCTCACCTCTGCTCACCTCTCATTGGCGACTTTCCCCCTCTTTTGTCTCTCATACAAGTACTCTCGCAGTCTTAATTAATACTGCGTATTGCAAAAGGGGGCCTCCCAGATGATACCGGGCCCACTTGCCTGCGGCGATCCAACGTTCAAATCACCCCTTTTGCTCCTCTTTTGCTCCTCTCGATTAACGAGCAGATCAATCCTCTCAATCCATGACTATACGGAGGAGTACTTCATATCAAGACAGATCTGTATTCATACGAGCCACTCGTATCATGAGCTATAGCTTAAGACGCGTCACTCCAGGCACTAGGCAAACTCACTTTTGGTTCAACCATACTCACACACGTCTCATCCAGCTCATAATTAACCCGGCCAAGAGTCCAGACCAAGAACGGAGTATCCTAACACCGCCATCCATTCGTTCATCGAGCCACGATAGTACCATTCAAAAGCCCTGCTAATTTCACCTCCAAAAAAACTCTCCTTAACCCATGAATTAACTCCACTTCCCGACAGAGTTTTGACAGAGAATTATCAGATGACACTTTGCACGCCCCATCTGATAAAACCACGAGAATGCCATCCAGTAATACCACCTAGCACCACCCGGTACCTGACGACCCAGTAACCACCCAGTACAACCCCGAACATCAGTTTCAGCCCTAGCAGTCAAACCTGCCCAGCATGGACATAAGCAGACGCAGACGCGTAACGCCTATTTCATCTTAGTATGAACCTCTTATGGAAATCGCAAACACTAGGTTTCACGATTCATGATCTTCCGTCGCTTACGCACAGCAGTATGCGAAAATCTGACGCTCAGAGGTGGGCTACACTTGTCAGTGCTACCAAAGCTAAACCGCCGCGTTACCGGTACATCGCAGCCTATCCTTGACCCTTGCACGGTGCCGACACTATGCTCTAGAGACGCTCTAACGACGACTGAAGAGGCAATGATACCTCTGTCCGTAGTCTCAACTTGAAGTCAATTCCCGTGTTAGCTAAGTGGGATTAAAATGCTTCCCAAAAGCTTCAAAATTGGCAAAAGAAGCATCTCTAAGTTCTCAGTCAATCACGTCATAGGTTTAAATCGTCTGAAGTTGCGACTTCCCTCCGAAACACAGATAACTCGGAACTAGGCGAGAGGAGTTGAGCAACTCCTATCTCCCCGCCTGTCACTCCACCATCAAACTGTTCCTTATCAGGACCGTCAAAGAAGAGGTCCTTCCAATGACTGAGAAGTCGGGGATATTCAAAAAAGAGTCATAGTTGCGATTCCGCAACCGGTGGGATAGTTATAAAGTTGTCCTCGCATTTGAAGACAACCCCAAAGGAAGCGACTCAGACACGTAGATGGTGGCAGCTGAATCGCCAACTTGGCCACACATGCTTAGGCTCTAGGACAATAAAGCCACAATTCTTGAGTGCGGATAACTGGGTTATCCTGTTGAAAATAAGATTCTTCACTAATATTGATACATCTTCAATTACCAAACAGAAGGAAATATAAGGAGAAAGGATATTGGTTGGAAAAACTACAAGGATTTCGTTACGAAACAAAACAATGCCTCGGGGGCAGGAAACTGGGAAGAGAAAATCGGAAAAGGCAACATGGCCGGAACAAGTACTTTAGCAAGAAAAGTGCTGTGAGCACTTGGAAGAGAAAATTGATAGCAAACAATGAAGACAATCGACAACAAGGTCGTCCGTGCATTCCAGGAAATCTCGTCACCTCCCCAGGCTCTGGTTCGCAACACTTCAATACCCAGAATTCCAAAGATACCCGGGATCAGATTTGGCTTTCGACACGATTGCTTCAAGCTGTTCGCAAAGCCCCTTCGCGTCAGTCCGGTCGGTTGGATCGATCTTGATGAGATTGTCCTTGATGATGCCCAGAAGCTTCCCAAGTGCGGTGTTGGGGGCACTTTGTGGCATTCGTCTAAGCGTCTGGATCACCTGGGAGACCTCTGGATGCACAATGGCGTTGTCTTTGTGGATTCTGTAAAAGCCTGACGGTACAGCGCCATCTGCATGTGCCCAGGTTGACTTCCTTGCGTTGCCGAAGCTCTCAACGGCATCCCAGTCCTGTATGAGCCAGACGACGAACTCCAGAAAGATGCATCCAATTGACCAAATGTCGTACTTGCGGGATCTGGGGTCTTTTGATGTGACTGCTTCAGGGGCTTCGTAGGAAGGTGATGTTGCCCTGGTGAGTGTTGGTCCTTCCCTTACAAGAGTTATGCCTAGATGAATACGTGAGATGCCGAAGTCGGTGATCTTCAGGATACCCACATCACCCTCTTCTTTGCCTTCCATGAAGTGAAGAATGTTTCCAGGCTTACGATCACCGTGTCTGCAGTTGCCAGCATCGCCTAGCTCTGCATGAAGAGCATAGAGAGCCTTCGCGAGGCCTAGCATCTGATCTAGGCTCCAAAGGGCCAGCTTAGATGTCCGCGTCGCACCTCCATGTGTTTGCCAGAATTGGTCCAGGTCCCCTCCCTCGGCCCAAGGGGAAATGATGTAGTCCCTGTTTCCTTGTGAGAATGCTGCGAGACTCTGCGCGATGTGCTTGGTGCTGGGGAGCGTGCGAAGAGTACTGAGATTCGACCGTTCTTGATCAAAATCTTTTCTGAATCTGAACTCCTTGATCGCAACATCCATACAAGGAGATTGTGCCCGATAGCCTCGACACGTTAGCACAGAACCAGAAGTGCTGCCACTTGAGTTATCTCGCATCTTGGATCCTGTCTGATGAGAGGATTGTATCTTTGCCCTCCAGATCACGTTTGCCGCATTGTGAATAAGTGATTCCGCTTCGATTAGAGGCAATGGGTTCAAGGGGTGAAGCTTCTGGTACTCCCCCATACTACCGAAGACAGGTGCCATCACCAGCCACTGCTTGTTGACGAAGTTTTCCGCCTGGTATCCATGTGCCCATTTCTTAGGAGGAACGAAATGCTTCTTGGGGTCGAGACCAGACTGCAGACAATCACCACCTCCTTCCGTCTTCGTCCTTTCTAGAGGCAGATCTTGGTCGGTGAACCCAGCTTCGTGCAACTTTTTGATATCCCAAGGAATCCCAAGACACAAGAGTATCACAAATACCAACTTTAGATTGTTGGAAAAAACGACATCTACTATGCTTTTGGTTGGCAATGATAAGAATTTAAACTTCTTTAGTGCTGCTCTGATGCTTTGACGCGTGACAATGGCGTCCAAGACATGTCACGGGACGTATTTGCGGACGTTATTAAGCGCATCACTCTCTCGAGAGTCGATTAACGTCTGTTGTAGGGGCTCAGGCGCCATTTCCGGCCGTTTCCATGTACGGCATGTAGTGATAGGATTACAATAGCGAGCATAAGCCGGGCCTTTCAACTGTCAGCGATTCTGGTGGCAGCTTGCTGTTGGGGAGACCATAAATTTGGATTACCTTATTCTGTGGCACGTCGGCTCGATGCTGTACCTGAGTTGTTCCACAAGTTAGGACAGACTTGTACCTATGTGAAGTTTGAGTACAGAATGCAGATGATTGATCGACAGTACGACGTATCATACATATTTTTGTCTCAAGGCAATAAGTAGCAACACCTTACACCTGCAATATCAGTTCTTCATGTGGAGTCGAGAGAGAGAGAGAGGCGGCTTGACCAAAGACGACTTAGAATCTTAGATAAATCTGAGGACATGAGGAACCCTTTGGTCCGCGGTCCGACCACTTCAGACTCATCTCGAGCAGAGCCGCAACCCCGCAGCTTCAAAGAGGCTGAGGGCTGTGAAGGCTGCCTCACTTGGAACTGCCTCACTGCAATTGCTTGATTGAATAGCGGGGGTGGTAAGGGTGATGGAAAACGAGGCATCCAGACTAGTATCTGCAAGGACACGCACGTGATGTGATATGATAGCTGTCTATTGGAATTGTCCAAGATAGGGAGGTCGATGCCAAGAGAGGCTGGTTCACCGGCAGTCCGAATGTGTTCGTAGGGGTTGCATCCTGCAGGCTGATCCAACGGCATTCGCACCAATATCCAAGGACCTTGCGTTTTGTGCCGCCAATGATCTAGCGCAGGACCTCGGATAATGGGCATGGGGTCCAACCAACATTATATCCGGCTGCTTACATGCATCTGCATCAATGACCGAGAAGACACACATTCTCTCAAAGCTCCATTGAACCAAGGCGACCAAAACAGCCTTTTACATTAGGCTCTTTTCCCCGCTGGGGTAGCAAACAGAGCATGAGCGCCTCAGCAACGTCACTTGCTTCTATCAGACTCAAGTTGGAGGACGCAGAAGTCGAAATGTGCAACGAATGGGACGATAGAATCTACACTTGGGTTCCAAACTCGTCTATTAGCGAAATCTTTCAGGACCAGGATGAGATTCTCAAGGCAATTCTAGAGGGGGGTGGTGTGATGAGGAATGGCATGAAAGGCTTCATGTTCAAAGACGCAAAGACCCTCGTATCTCTCCTCATCCGCTTTGGACACATCAAGTGGTTGAACATCTTCCAGAGTAACAAATTCGGAAATACATGCTTCCCTATCAAGTTCCGGCAAGTCAAGACCAGTAACTCTTGGACGTGGACCATAACATCTTCCAGATCGGACAAGATGTTCAGCTTCGAGGTCACCGCAAAAGAAACCAACGGTATTAGCAGACAAGACAAGGAATCATTTACACATCTTTACTACCTAGACCAGTGGAAATGTTTTGTTCCAGTATTTTGCCCCTAATGGCCCAGCCCACCACGTCTTCGATCCCCGCTGTTCCATGCCCTTCCTGGAAGAGTTCAGTTCGAGTCAGACCAACTTCAGCATTGTTAGACATTTTGTCATACATAAAAGCCATCTCGAGTTCCCATGGGATGATCAGACTGTAAGACTGTGTATAACTCATCCAGAACAATGCTGACCATAAGGACATTAGGGCGCAGTAGTCGACGACAACGACAATCCTCACGTCGCTGTTAAAGAACTACTACTGTCTGTGCAAGGTCTCAACGCAAACAAGTTTCAAGAGCTCGCAAGGAACAAGGCAAATATCCTTATACGCCTCCGAGGCCAGAACCATCCACACTTCATTCGAGCAATTGCGAGCTACATCCAAGGCAGTCGGCACTTCTTCATTTTCCCTTGGGCCAGAGGTGGGGGAACCTGCGTGATTTCTGGAAGAAACAACCTAGCTTGAATGCTATTTCGGATGACATCAGTACTCAAGACTGGAATAGCTACTTGAAATGGGTTTTCGAGCTCGGAGCAGCTCTTAGGTCTCGCCAGCGCCCTCGAGAACCCTCATCACCCAAGAGACAATCTACAGCAGTCTTGCCGCCACGGCGACCTGAAGCCAGAGAACATCCGATGTTTCAGCAAAGTTGAAATCGGCACGAGAAAGATTCCAACTGGTCTACAACTTGTGGTTACTGACGCTGGCCATGCGAAAGTGCACGAGAAAGCCACTGGGTCCCGTTACCATGCAACAGAAACAGCCAAAGGCACGGCCATGTACTCGCCCCCAGAAGCCGAGATGAACAAAACCCAACATCGAACAAGACGGTACGACATTTGGTCCCTCGGCTGTCTATCTTGCATCCCTCGTATGGCTGATGTATGACTATACGATACGTTGTCGAACTTCCATAATGATATCGGATCAGGAGAACCCTTCTACATGACAAATCCATCTACCGACACCAAAGATGCGGTGAAAGAATGGATCAAAGCTATCAAGAATGATCCACGCTGCGCCCCCGTCGAGAAGACTGCTGTCGGGCGTCTAGTCAGTTTCATTGAAGAGAGACTGCTGATAGTTCGAGTTACAACCCGTCAAGCATCATTTAACCTCAAGGTGGACCCGCCAAAGCACCGAGCGACAGCAGAAAAGATCCCCCCTGCGCAGTGACGCTCCTGTCCAGATGATGGTCACGAGACCTACGCTGGATGCAGCTGGATTCTTGAAGAACTCTGAAGCAGCCGACGCAGTGGATGTATATGAGGAAATGCAAAAGACATTCGATGCCGGCAAGAAGGGCCAGGATTTTACATGGATGAAGAAGGATGGAACAGCAGGAGCCGCTTCGCGCAGACCGCCTACCATCACATCCACAGTCTTGCTCCTGGCGGCAACCACAGAACTCCCAGATCGAAGAAATCCGCTGAGAGACTGACAGGCGTGCGTCTAAATTAAGTCATAGAGTCTTGGGTGCCTTCTTGCTAACAGTTTTCAGATAAGTGAAGTAAGTGATCGAAAGCATCGACTCGAAAGTAGGAGGCAGTAGTGACTGACGTAATATGTGTTGGGCATCAATAGAAAGTAAGTCTATCCCCCATCGTTTTTCAGTTAGTTCGTTACAGAAGAAGCCTCCCACGTAGGGAGAACAGCTGATACGCTTTGCTAACACAAGTGCAGTATGTCAGTGGCCCTTTCAATGTGACAGTGTGACACGATCACAAGCGATGGAAGCTGACAAGAGGTCGATTGCGATGACACAGACGGTATTGTATGACCAGATCCTGCTGTGAAATGCGGCTAATGATATTTTTCTTTGGTTTATACAGTTTGTAAGTGAAAGACAACCCATGGTTAACTAGGAATCTATTGCTAACCTCAGGTCGTTCGGCTGGTCGAACAGACTGTAAGTCATCTCATCTATATGATTTCCTATGCCATGCATTCGATTCCCGCTCTGCGATATTCATATCAGACAACCAAGAAATAAAATACTTACTCGTATTAATGTAGCCTGTACGTGTTTCTGTCGAATGATGCATTGAGCACCTACAAATTCTCATGACATCATCTGCAGCTTGACAATGTTTGGACCTACGGCGCAGATGACGAACCCGCTACAGCCATTGTACTGGATGAAAAGGAGAAGCGTATGACGCTCGAAGACTCCAATCTCTGCGATAGATGCTCAGACCTCAAGATCTGGTCCGAAACTTGCGAGTTTCTAGACACGCTCACCGGCCTGGAGAGTCGATTAAAGTCATGCGATCTTTGTCGACTTTTGCATCATGCAATGTTTAGACGAGCAGCCCGACGAAGCGAAAATATCAGATTCATGCGATCTGGCTCGTATCTGACGTTTGGGCAGAGGAATTGGAGTCCCATCTTGTCGCTCTGCCATTCAACTGGTGAGGATGAACTTTATAGACGCTTGATCTCGGCTGCTGGGTGGCGCATCGCATTGACGCTTGTAATGTAGATTCAGAAGCTCTCACTCTCAACAAAGTCGAGCTCGGTTTTCCATTCAGGCTTGTGCCCGGAGACGAGACTCATATCCGCGTCCTCAATGAATGGGTCAGGAGCTGCGACAATGCTCATCACTTACCAGAGGGTCGAAACTTCATCCCTAACAGGCTGCTACTGGTAGGCGACGAAACTACCACATGTGTTCGACTGGTATCAAACCTTGCAGAAGAGAACAAGCTCGTGAATTACGTTGCCTTATCTCATCGATGGGGGCGAGCCTCACCAGTCGAACACAAGTTTACCACGACTACCACGGACAACATCGACTTGATCACAGCCCTGGCAGGGGTTGATGATGATTCTTTGCCTTAAACCTTCCAGGACGCGGTGATCATCACGAGAAAACTTGGAGTGAAGTATTTGTGGCTAGACTCTCTCTGCATCCTTCAGAGTAATGGTCAGGAGCACGATGCTGACTCAAAAGAAGACTGGGAAAGAGAGTCAAAGCTCATGGAAGAGATCTTCGGCTCCGCCTATCTAACCATTGCGGCTAGTTGCGCAAACCATCGATTCGAAGGGTTTCTAAACCCGCGGACTCCGCGACAATTCGTCACAATGACGGCCGATGCCGGTGTGCAGTTTCACGTATGCGAGATTATTGACAACTTTGAGGCAGATGTAGAGCATGGCGAACTGAATCAGAGAGGCTGGGTACTGCAGGAGCGTGCCCTTTCACGGAGAACCTTACACTTCACAAGCACCCAGACGTACTGGGAATGCGGAGAAGGGATAAGATGCGAGACGTTTACCAAAACAGCAAAGTAAGAGTCGACCCATATTCCAGGCAGTTTATTCAACGGCTGATTGTGAATCTAGTCGGAAGGCAGCGTTCCTGGGAGACTCTAATTTCCCCCACTCTGTCGAATCCTTCAAACAAGGGAGACAACTTCAGCATTGTCATGACCTTTACGAGCGTTACTCGTCTCTAGGGCTGTCGTACGCGACCGACAAACCAAGAGCTATTTCAGGTCTCGAAAAGAGACTGATGACGGCCTTAAAGTCAACCGGGGGTTACGGAGTCTTCCAGTCAAACTTCCACAGGGATCTTTTGTGGCAGCGTCGGAACATGGGAACAACACTCCAGCGCATAACATTCCCTCCCAAAGAAGAGGTTCCCTCATGGTCATGGATGGCATTTGATGGAGAAACTCGATATATGGATGTTGCTTTTGGCGACATCGACAGAGCGAAGATTTTATCACCTTTTGAACAGTCCTCCGATGGCAATCCAACAGGCTGGACGCGTTCCTCAAAGTATACGCAGTTCAAGGCCCGAGTCAACAGACTGATTGGGGACAACCCATCGCGAATAATCTTGGATGAACCAGACCGGGTTCTGCCTGCACCGCTGATGTGTGTCATTGTTGGTTCAAGCAAGCAGCACAAGGGTGGTCCACTGCGACACTATGCTCTTATTGTAACACCCGTTGACGGCTCAGAAGGAGGCAAGGCGTTTGAGAGAGAGTCGGAGTCGCCTACCTATCCGTCGAGGATGTTTCGGTTGGAGATGAGACAGAATTTGTGAACATTCAATAGCCGCCTGCTGACTTTGGTCTTGGTTTACTTCACTCTTACTTGTTCATCTATTGTATATTTCACAAAAAAAAAAAAACTTGATTGAAGGCTGAAAATCTCGTTGCCTAAGACCAGTGATGGCATCGCGATAGTGTGCCCGAGATTCGCTGAATCTCTGGCGGATGATCCTGTAATCCGGCCCCACTTCGGAGACAGATCCGTTCCGCACTCCGGGGGGTAGCAGTAAGTAGGTATGTCCCCTATCGAAGTCTGCCGCATAAATGCCCTCAAAATCGATTCGTAGACATCTTAATTGGCCACTATTTGAAAGTAAGTCTTATCTGATTTGTATGTTTTCATGTTTCCTCGAGGGTCACTACCTCGTCAAGCTTCATCATAAGTTTTCATTGCAGTTGAGATCTTGCCCTCACCGCCCGCTGATCCAAGTTCATCCAGTGACATCATATCGTGCCTTTGCACCCCGGATACATTTTTACAGCAACTTCCTCTGCGCGCAAGGTTTTAGAGGTGCTCTTCTTAGTTGTCTTCAAAACTGCAAAGTCGCGATTACTCACAGTCAATTCAGTCAAGTACCTTGGATAATGCAATTCATGAGTTCGCGCGCACGCGCCTTGCCATTGAGACGTGTTGCGGGGAAGGGCAGCAAAATCCATTGCTAGTGAAAACACACACATGCGAGATTCAGGGCGAGAAAATTGCGGAAGTTCAAGTCAAGAAAAATGCTATTACGAAAAGTTCATCATCATACCAGAACAATAGCGCCCGCGAGCCATGCCGCTACTCGTACAAAACGCCCAGATCTTCCCTTCTCCATTCATGCCATGCATCACCCTTCGGCCGTGAACCTTGCATCAAATCTTCTCGTGTCCATCATTCCCATGCTCAAAGAGTGCTCATATGATGGCAGCAGCAAGTCCAATCCCCACCAGGCTCCTGCTTCCAAACACTATTGCAAATCCCCTCCGTCGCAACAAGCTTCTTGCCCTCCTGGCGCCAAGCGGTGACCCGATACACGAGGCTGGAGCTCATCATGTCAATCTCGACAAACTCGGGGTCGTCGTGCATGCGGTACGCCGTCCATGGCTCCCAGTCTTCCTCGAGGTACTCCTGGAGCGTTGGCTTGGATTTGGGTGACAAGGGCTTCTGGCCTGGATGGGCGAGGACGGCCTCCTTGTCGAGGTATCTTTTCAGGTGCTTTGTCTTGCTGTCGCACATTGCGCGCCAGAGGAGGGTCTCGGCTTCGATTGTGTCTTCCTTGTTGCGGGAGTAGATCGTTCCCGATCCCTTGGTCTCGTCGTCGGACATTGTGATAGTGTTTTTGTGTCTGGTTCTTTTGTTTCTATAGTGTTGTTCGTGTATTCAAGGCGTAATCGAGCTCCTGTATGTGATGGAGCTGGTCTATCGCTGGTTTTCAATGGGAAAGGTCGAATTCAGTGGTGTGAGGGGAACGGGAGTAAGTCAGGAAGTGCGCAAAAGAGCTTTATGATGTCGCTCAGAGCTCTGGCCTTCCCGAGCAGCGGCATTGCGTGTGACGGAGTCGTCCAAAAACAAGAAATCCTGGGTTTGCTTGCGTTGCGTTGCGCGTCTGATTGGGCGGGCAGGGAAATGCTCCTGTGTTGGCGGGCTTGACGTCACACTCGGTGATGCGCAGCGGCGAAGAGGAGCCACCAGCGGCTCATTGCGGGGGAGCGTCAGCCGTGAGGTGAGGGACAGGGGTTGGAACTTGGAAACGGGTTACTTGATTCTCGATGGTCTAGACTCTTTCCTCTCCTTCGTCCACTGTCTCCCACTCACTCTTCTCGGTGAAGTAAGGTATTGAGTAAAAGGTTCGAGAGGGCATGCGACCTCTGATGTAACGCGTGCACTGACGGGTCCGGGGCAAGCCCGGCCGAGAAGGTTCATCCACACAGGGAGTAAACGCAGTCTCGCAGGGCCAAGACTCAGAACAGTTGTCTTTGATGAGATGCGCTAACTAGCGTTGGTGGGCGCGGCACGTCAATGTTGTAGCCGGCTCCGCCCGTCAGATCGTGGGCCGCCTGCTATGGCTTCGATCTATAGCTCAACGTCCCCATCGCGACGGAAGGGCTAGACTGGTCTGTACCTGGAGTCGTCTTCTGGAATTACAGCTTTCGAACATCTGAAAGGTGAACAGTGCTACGACAGCGAGTGAGATTTGCGTCTCCTGGTTGCGATATACCGGTTCATCTCATGATGTTTCATCAACGCTGGTGAGCGCGCACCTATCATGAACTGCCCTTCCCACCCCACCGAGTAGCTCATTTGCCAATGCCCAAATGAGCTCTATGGACGCAAGTTTTTGGTAATCTTGTTGCTTCTCATTTCCAATTCAATTCTTCCTTAATCGAACTTTGGCGCATGAGACTTTTTCACTTGCTGTTGTGGGAGACGCGATCTCAAAGCCGGGTGCTCGGGTCAGTCAAGCCACTGAAAAGATGACGTCAAGACTCCCATTTTCGGACAGCGATTGAGAATCAGCGTCTTTGCGTGTAGATGCGCCATCGCAACACTCACGATGAGCACTCGAGTCAATAACCTTAATCAATTCGAGCACATCACACACAATGGACGATTGGCAAGAAGCAGCCTTTACATCAAGACATGTCCACAACAGAGCGAACAAGTCCAACAAAGGGGGCCGACGCGGAAAACGCGGTGGAGCCTTCGAAGTCAAGAGAGCTTTCGGTAGATACGATGTCAAGTGCCCGAGTGCGACCAAAGTGAGGGGGTCTACGTCCGAAAAAAACACGGGAAAGTCTGCTGGTCCGTCAATGGATGTCTTTCGCCTCTCCGATGATGGCAGGGGGTTGCTGGGACAGCTTAGCTTGCCTGGGGTGCTCGAAGCCAGCGTTATTCTCACGGGAAGCAGAAAGGTTCTCGAAGATCTGATATCGCAATTTGAAGAGAGCGAAAATGAGGCTGAAATCTCTGACGACTCTGACGAGAATGAGGGCCCTGCCCCGAAACACGATACTAGCGAGGATGAGAAGAAAGCAGACGACACCCACGAGGAGGAAGAAATCGACGAAGAATCAGAGGAAGAGGAAGAAAGCGACGACGAGGAGCACAAACGGTTCAGGAACTTTGAGAAGAACAGCTTTCGCTCTCCCAAATTCTGGTTCCAATGGAACGGAGACGTCACGTCCTCCCTAGATGATCAGACGTCACCGACCTCTAGTCGGGAGACTGGCAGAGGCTATCTTGTCTTTTCGGGTAATGACTGTCGCTCTTTCAAGGGTACCATCAGCTGCGACTCCCTAGATTGGAAGGACGTCTCGCTGTCTGGGTGGAAGGAAGTCTCCACGAGCGAGAGGGACGTTGCATTTGTCTGGAATTGATGGGAAGAGTCAGAGTAGATGATAGCTAGTAAGTCCAGTCCTCTTGCTTTCAGGGGTCGACACAATAATTGACTCTATCTGACTCTTTCCATCCCAGTCTCGCTCTCCACCTTTCAAGTCTTGACCTCGTCACCAGCCATCTTCGCCTGCAAAGCCGCGTACATCCTATTCATCGCATTGCGATTGAACTCCTCCCCAGTAACCATCGGATACTTCTTCAACGGACCCTGAATAACAGCCTCTTTGCACGGCTGGTTGAAAAAGGCCATACTGTATCTCTCCCCGTAGTAATCCCCCTCTTCGCATGGCGCCTTGACCCGGTGATATGTGCTCTTGAACCGATCGTCGCTCCAGCTCATCAGCAAGTCTCCAATGTTACATATAATGATCCCAGGCTTAATCTCGACCTTTGTCCATTCGTCTCCGAGGGCGTGCTCGCTGACAGCCTCGCGACCAGGACAGATTTCGAGTCCTGATTGCCCTTCTCGTTGAAACAATAGCGTGAGAAAGCCCCAGTCGGCGTGGGCGCCTGCTCGATGATATATCTTCCCATCATTGACGCGCGGGGTTTCGAAGTAGTGCAGAAGCCGCAGCACAGACTGCGCGCCAGGGTGGGCGGCATCGTGGTACTTGATGAAGTAGTCGTCCTGAAAGCCGAGGCCCCGGGCCAGGCACAGCATCAACCTTTCCGAGATGGCTTGCACGCGATGCATGAACGCCAGGGACTTCTCCTTAAAACCGGGGGTGATGTCATCACTGGCCCAGACGCCGGTCATGTTCTCCCCGAACTGGAGTTGATACGACTCCTTTTGGTCGGCTGCACCCGTAGACGGTCTGATCTGTGATAGCTTCTCCCAACCGACGTTCTTAGGGCTCCACGGCACGGTGGCTTTTGCTTCATCTGGTAGGGCAAAGAAGGACTCGGACACGGAGAACATCTCGTCGACTTCGGATTGGCTGAGACCGTGGTCCTTGATGGAAAAGAAGCCGACGTTCTCGGCTGCATCACATAGCTGGGAGGTGATTTCGTCGATGCGAGTTTCAAAATCACAGAGGGAGATCTATTTGATGAAAGAACTAAGTTAGTCCGTTCACGAGACTAGTGATCTGAGAGGAAGGGACAGGGCCATACCTCGGGAATCACCCGATCGACGTACTTCGTCTTTTCTGCCATGGCGTTTCGATCGGCTTATTCTCACTGAGCGATCTGGACAAGTGCTAGAAAGCGAGCGTTTAGTTCGAGTAAGTGAGTGTCTTGTGGCCAATACTTTAGTAGCCTAGAGGTTTCAAAATGGATGATTGCAACAACAACGTTGAAGCAGTCGACGATGTCTCTGGTGAACCTCGCTGTCTCTACATCTCACTCATGCTCCCGGAAGTTGAGATAAGACGATAGAGAGTGGTATGCAGTCGCATGCACGTCCCGTTCGTCGATAGCCGGGATTGGTGGACGATGCAGGCTTATCTTTGGCACCATCTTGTCATCGGAGATGGTAGAAGACGTCCGCTTACCTGTAAAAGGCCGGGTGATTCTTGGTGGCAGGCAGATCAGCGAAGGCCCATACACTCTCTACCCTGGAACATCAAATTCATCTCTGTGAGCAGCCGATATACTCCGTACGAACCTTGTGTTTGTGGCGCGTCGATGGGTTTGCCTGGGTCGCAGAATGAACATCACGCCATTCCATGTTCAAGTCGTGTTACGACAAGAACTATGAGGTGCCTTGAGCGGACTACAGGGCCTGCAATTGCTGAGCGCTCGACTGGGGTACCTACCTAGATAAGGTACTCGGCTTCCCCTGCAGCCTAGCAGGCTATTTCATGAAGGCGCTGGAGCTGAGCTGCTAGTGATGTCTTTATGAGTTCTCTCACGTGGATCGTATCATAAAACAAGTCAATTTCGTCTTTAATCAGATATATTGATCCTTCTAACCCATTCAATGGACTGTTACCAGAATTTTCATGAAGGTCATCGACCAGGCATGGCAGTGCAGCATTCCGGCATATAAACCCTGTCCTGAGATCCAAATCTCCACTGAGAGCACCTCAGACGAAATCTCAGACTCGAACAACAGACGGAAATCTATGGCCCTCTCACAATTCCTGCCCCAACTTATACAAAAGCGTAATCGCAAAAGACCCATCCTCGCTCCTCTCCCCATTCCTAAAACCAGCAGCCTGGCTGCTCAGGCGTAATCCTCACAACCGCCGTCTCACTCTCAACAGACAGATCCGCGTGGTTGAAATCAATATTCGTACCCCGCACCAGAAGCCGCACGTTGATCTCGGCGCACGCCGGTAGCGTGTACCGCGTGCCAACCGAGACGGTCACCAGCACGGCGCCCGATGCCTGTGTCTCGGCGCGGAGAGTCACCTGGTTGTCCGGGGTGTCGAAGTATTGAGGGCGGGCCGTCGACGCGGGAGGGCGGAAGTTGTAGCGGCTCGGGGCGTTGGGGACGCCCCGGCTGAAAGGGTTGCAGAAGGGCCAGCACCAGCCTCCCCCCTGAGGTGCGGGCAGCGACGGAGGTGTCTTCGGCCGGGGCGCGGACGGCTAGGTCCGCGTTGACGGCGACTGGGGAGGCCGTGGTGAAACTGGCCCCGAGAAGGACGATGAAGAGGGCGCAGAGGCCGCGGAAGAACTTTTGAGACAGCTTTCTGGGCCTTGTAGAGTGCGGCAAGGTTGATAGAGGACGCGGAACTTGATGTAGACTGATTGCTGGTGTAGTGGACATTTCTATCGAGAGACCGGGTGAAATCGCCTGGATTAAATACTGCAGCTCAGCACTCTGTGTAAGACCCCGAGATGCTCCTCACTCATAGTGTGCTAGGAGAAACTGTATTAAACCAGATGTCAGTAGCAATCTCCCCATATGAATAATCGGCCGCCCGCCGCAAACAAGTGTTCTTCTGAGCCTGCGATACTGAACGGTTCACTAGAATAGACTTTGCCCGCCGGCTCGATCACTGAACAAAACTATGGTAGAAATGGCCGCATGAAATGCGTTGAGCTAGCCTCTACCCACGGAGCATTGTCATGCCAAGGCGGTGCAGTAGCTCTGGGGGGTGTGATTGCAAAGAGCAGATTCTAGAACAATGAAGCGTTAGTAGCATCCTTGATTAAGACTTTGGACTCACTTGACTTCTTGAGTGATTGTATACAGATCGAGCTACTTGGACTTTGCAAGTCGGAATGATTTCCTATCAACCTGAGTTAAATCCTACCTTCATTTAGCCTGCCCCCTGAGCGAACGCCGGAAACCGGGCTCCGACGGACAGGTCGGACTGGCCGGCCCCACCCACGCCCGGTCCGAGTCAATCTGGCAGCGTGACAACCGCTAGGCTCATCAACCTCCCCCAAAATATGATTGTCCAATTCCGGAACATGTAGAGCTTTCTCATTCATTCTCTTAGAGATCGTCAGTTTATTGCTGGTGAGTATGGAGTATGAAGGGAGTGTAGAAATCTCCCAGGCAAGGCCAGGCCGAACGGTGGAAATGGGCTGGTAGCCTCAGCCACAGTCCGGTAGGTGCACAGGCCACACCTGGTGCCCCAGCTTCATCTTCAAACGTCGCGACACGCGACGCGCGACTCCAACTTCGACTTCATTCTGAACATGAGTCTGTCAGCTTCTCTCTGCCTCTTACTTTCAGTCCAAACTCACCTGTGGTATTGTAAGAGTACGACCATATATCATTTCTCGTTGAGAGCATAAAATATCAACTTATTTACTAGACTGACAGTGTTAAGTACATGTAAGTTGAGCGAGAATGAGATGCTCAAGGTAAGTGTAGGTAAGTCAGTAAAGCAACAAACCAGAGAAGCCGTCGACGATGAAAAGGACGCTGATACAAAGACTAGAAATCAGTGATGTAATTCATGTATTAGTGAGTCGATTCAGATGAGACCTGAAAAGAGAGAAGAGGACACAATACCTACCTTGGTCACATTATGCTCAGCGAGTAAATCATGCCCAACAAGGGAATAGACTATGTCAAATTAGCAATACAGAAATAGAGAAGAGTCTTACTATTGTTTGCGTCTCCAGTCCAGAAGGACCTGGCATCCAATCCAATAAAGGAGAGGAAGTTCCCAGGCAATACCACAGGGAGGTTTGGAGTCCGACTTCATTGCCCAAAGGAGAAGTGATAGGCTCACTGGGGCCAAGGAAAAGAAGGTGGGGAGGGAAGTGATTTCACGATGGTGGCTCACTGGGGCCTTGGAGGAAAAGGAGGGTGGGGAGGAAGGCGATTTTCCGAAGATGGCTCGCCGAGGCCTTGGAGGAAAAAGAAGGTGGGGAGGAAGACGATTTCACGAGGGTGGTTCGTCGGGACCGTGGAGAGAAAAGAGGGTGGGGAGAGGAGCGATTTCACGATGGTGGCTCGCTGGGGCCTTGGAGGAAAAGGAGGGTGGGGAGGAAGGCGATTTTCCGAAGATGGCTCGCCGAGGCCTTGGAGGAAGAGGGAGGGGAGAAAGGCGATTTCCCGATGGTGGCTCGCCGGGGTCGGGGAGGTTAGCAGTAATCGCCTACACGCAAACGATAAAAAGTCCACCAGATTCGCGGAAACCGAAAACAACGGCGGAGAGAAGAGAGAGGGGGGGGGGAGAGAGAGAAACAGAAACAGAAACAAAAGCAAACGGAAGCAGAAGAATGATGATCTCAAAACCAAAGACAAAGGAAACGCGGAATTCTTTTTCTCTTTAGGCTTTTCAAGTTTTTTTGGGCTTTTGTGTAAGTGCAGGAAGAAACAAACGGAGAGAGAGGGAGAGAGAGAAGGAGGAAGCAAGTACTCTAGAGAGAGATGGGGTTGCGGCGAGAGCCACGGTAACGACCGCGGTTCCCACCCCGAGAGTTGCGATTGCGTGGCTGAGAAGGAGGAGCGGGAGCGGAAGCCTCGGGTAAGGGTTGAGAGAAAGGATTCACAGCAGGCATAAAGGGATTCTGACCATTCCGAGCAGTCCCCGGACCCTGATAGCGATTCGGTCTAGGCCCGCGAGTGCGAGCAGGCTGGGGGTAAGACCGAGGCTGATCAGGGGAAGAGTTCCGGGGACCGCGGGGAGGCTGACGATTGCCCTGATACTGTTGCTGCTTCACCTGAGCTCTGCCCTGACCCTGGGCGGGACCACGACGCTTGCTTACTCCCTCAGACTTGGGTCCAAGGGGATCAGCAGGGGCGCGGGGAGAAGAGGTGCCACGGGGGATATCGTTCCTCTCAGAGTGGTTCTTGCGGGAGGGGGAGAAGGAGATGTGAGAGTACTTGCGGTAGAATGCGTGATTCTGGCGGAAGGGATTGCCAGAAGGAGAGCACTTGCTCTTCCTGCACTTAGCCCAAACGACTCGAGTAGCCATAAGAGAAAGAGGGGAGAGACGAGGAGGCTCCTGCTTTCCACGTCTGAGAGCATGAGGAAGGGGTGTAGCCGGAGCCCCAACGTTGAAAGAAGAAAATGAGGAAATGAGATCATACTCAGTCGGAATGGAGGTGGTGTGTCTGGCCACCTTCTTTCCAACCGAGTAGGTAGAAGAAAGAGGAGAGGAGAGAGAGGAGGGAGCTCCAAAGACAGGGGGGGTGTGCCTGACTTGGGAGGAGGAGAAAGAAGGAGCACCGAAGGCAGGGATGGCGGGACTGCCTTGGGGAAGAAAGGAAGAAGAAGAACCGAAGGAGGAGGTGGGAGGAGTATCCACGTCCATCGCATCGGGGGAAGAGGAAGCGGAAAAAGAAGACATGGTGATGTTGTTTTTGGTTTCTTGCGAACTGACTGAATGAAAAACTTACAGTTGGTAGACTTACTCTTGCGTGTAGACGATTGAAAGTGGGATGTAGAATGAGAAAGAAATCAGGAGAGAAGGGGAAAATGTGCCTGTTTATATATCCCTCTGGAAACGATGCCGTAGAGGTCTCCATAGATAGCATAACGTGGCATCTCCTTTACGACTTCGATTCGAAAGGGTTTGATACTGAGTGGACTCCATGAGCAAGTTATCACGACGCCAAACGCCGATGGGCGTCGAGGATTCAAGCCGGACCAAAATTGGAGAGAAGTATAAGGGCAAGAGGCAGTGAGATATATGGCCCGGCATAGTCGAACCGGGCACCAAATAGCGACAAGAAGGCAACATAGATGGCCTAAGATATCAATGGGTGGCTCTATAGGCCGCAAAGTGGGAGATTGGCAACTTCGAGCAGCATGTACCAAGTCCAGGTGCGAAAGAAGTCCAGCTTTGAGTCAAAGTCATCGTCTCTTCGCTCTCTGACACCGGCGACTTCATTTTTCGCCGCAACTTGTGCTGGCTGATTCAGTCATGAAACGCCTGACATCGCCGACAAGACTTCCATGATATTGCAGCAAGAAACTACGAAGATGGAGGCATGGCGGTCGTCAAGGTTGTGGGGTACCTTTGATATCTGGATGACCATTTCGGCAGTACCCGTCGGGCCATTCCGCTACCAGCGATTTGAATATCCCCGACTGCTTGGAACGTCCGTTGGAGAATTGGTAGTATGTGGTGGTTCTTTTCCAGCTTTACAGGCGCAAAAGATCAACCTCGACGGGATCAGCTTTGAAGGGAAATCACACAATACGGTACGTAATTCAACTATGCAATACGCGCAATGTGCCCCATGCACGCGCTCAACTCAATATAGTGATTTCAATCCAAAAGACGAGAACTGGTAGTATAACTTGACGCTTTCTGCCCGCAATTGACAGCGTCGTTCTTTTGCGACCACAATCCACCTCCATCGCATCGGAGAAGGAAGTAGAAGAAGAGGAAGACATTGTGAATGTCAAGTTGACCTCTGGGGAAAACGGTTCAACGACTCGCTTGGCCAGTCAATCGGGCTCACCCTACTGGCGTCTTCCATCGAATATCGCCGGTCCTTCACAAAATATTCCTCCTAGTATAGTCACGGAGGACATACCCAAAGCGACCAGTCGCTAAATTTATTAACTATCGTTGATACTTGTATAATTATTCTAACGGTACCTATCCGACCATCCTGTTTTAAAGATTGCACCACTCGACTACTCATTAGGATTAGGGACTTGGGGGGCCTCCTCCTCGCCCATATCATTTAGACCAAGTTAACGCTCCTACGCATCACTTTCCAAACTGCCCCATCTAATTTTGAGCAGCTTGGAGAGAGCTGTGAGTATAAGAAGAAGTAAAGGCAGATTGGACTGGCCTGGCCTTTCTCTTACCAGCAGAGAGCACACGTGAGAAGGAGGAAATGAGATCTCAGGGAATCGGCCTTATGCAACGGCTCGTCTATTATAGGAATCAAGTACACTCTACCTACTAGTGTCGCACACTGGATAATGCCGAGTCGTCACGGTGTATTCTTACAGGAATAATTACGGAGGAGACAACGCTGGTAAAGAATGAAATTATGTTCGAACTAACTCTCTGAACTTCTCCTCTTCAATCATTTCACAGTTGGTTCAATGGATTTGTTCCAAGTCTCCCATCCTTGCACGCGTATTGGAGATTACCACCAAGACGATTCGCGAAGACAAGAGCCGTATCTTCATCCTCGCCGACATCCCTTGGCAACAACAGCAAGTAGGGCCATTTCCACCGACGACGGGGTAGATCACAGGGTCGGCCACTGCGTAACCATTTAGGTTTCCGAACCCAACAGCACATCAAGTCTCGTCTTAGGACATGATGTACTCAATAGTCAATCGTGGCATTTCCGGCAAGCTAGAAGGGTCTTTCTGTCACCGTCAAAAGGTTTGATCAAGCCTCGCTGCCCTTTCTTGAGTCATACGTGTATCTAGCAGTTCCACACGAGCCTTCGCCATACCCTTCCCGGGACACTGAGGACACTTTCCAGCCTCCACTGAAAAGCTTGATGCAGAAAATGTGTCATAGTGGTCAGCTGATGGCCACAATGGGCGGCTAACTTTGCCAAAAGGAACGATAAGACTCATCTCCGACGCGAGGGCATGCGCATGGCCATGGCTGGAGTTTGAACGGGACAATATCCTCAAGTTATAAAAGTCCCCTCATCATTAGCAAAAAAGTAGTGAACATGTTCTTGTACGCTAACTATGCTGCAATATACTTATGTATCAGAAAACCCCAGTATTTACCGTTGCCAAGCTTATGAAGCAATCATAGCAAAGCCTTCCTTCTTCAGATCAAGAAACCAACAATCTGTGCCAGCAGATTCATGTACAGTACGAAGACCAGGCTAGCAGACAGGCTCGCACCCGTGCCTTGCCCCAGTCATGCCGCAGCGCCGCCGCCGACGTTGGACATGATGAACTTTGTGGCTGCGTCTCCGTTCGACTGGACGTAGCTCAGATGAACCTGGATGTCGGCACCGCTGTCGCAGAACGGGTCGCCGCTGTTGCAAAAAGAAGCCATCTTGCTCGAGACGGCGTCGCACCCGGCGGTCTTCGTTCTTGGAAAGATCTAGAAGGAGAATTGGTCAGCAAAGCCGCTCTTGACCAGACACCCGGGTTCCTGCTTGGTCTTGCTTACACCGTCTTTCTGGCTGGTTCCTTGGTCGAAGGCCTGCCCGGTCACGTGGCTTGGGTCGCCCATGAGGACGACGGCGGCAACTATGTTCGTGTCAATGACCTGCAGAGATTTCTCGGCGTTACTCAAAAAACATACTCTTGTCCGTAACATCAGTAGCCTGGGGCTCTGTTGCCTCAAACCCGGTCTCGCTTGTGCCGCAAAGAACATCGGCAGTGACGTGCGCACCCTTTGCTGTCCGTCAGTCTTCCTGTCTCGTGACGGCAACGATGAATGATCACTAACTTGCGAGTATCCCATGAGAACCATCTTCGTCTGGGGGCACGCCTTCGCGTAGTCCTGAACCAGCTTGGTCATCGCCGTGACACCAGCCTTCTGCGACGGCTGGTAGGGGTTCAGAAGCGCAGGATAATCGACCGGGACAATATCGGAACCGGGAACTTGCGATTGAATGTTGTTCGCGATCGCGCCAATGACTCCCGTGCCCGGCTGCTCGGTGCTGGCCCGAGCCACAATCATATGCACGCCCGTCGCACAGCCCGTCGTGTTCGTCTGTCGGGAATAGACCTCGCTCCTGCCCTGCAGGGCGCCCAGAAAACCTAATGCGACGACGGGTGAATAGACCATGTTTGCTGAATTGAAAATAAGCGCTCTGCACTAGTGATTTTGACAGATAAGGTTGTTCGTTGGGCAGATGCTACCTACGTTGGCGTCGAGTTACTATGAAGATTCGTTAACATAAAGCCAAGATGGGACGAGGGACGCTGTGCTACTTATACGTGAGTTGCGATGGCAGCCGTCAGTCCAAAAGCTGAGTCAATATCAATCACCGTTTTCCGTTCATCGCGGCAATCGAACCAGCCGAGGCTGCTTTGGCCCAACTTCAGCTCATTTGCGACAGAGAATGCAAGGAGCTTGGCAAGAAAGACAGCCGAGTTGGCTGAAGGACGTTGGCCTCGTGAGGATCCCCCATCAAAGAGTCGCCTCCGACCTGGCGGGGCCAGACTGGGGTTGCTGGACCATCCCAAGATGGAATCAAAAGCGAATTCCCAAACAAGCTACCGGGTTCTCGGCCGATTCAACGTTGAGTGGTGGAGCACATGATCTCAGCATAGTGTGTTTCACCTTAAACCACTAATCATGGGCCAGAACTCGCACTTTGAGACTCTCGATTCGGTTGGCGGTGGGAGAAGTCTGTAGTTGTAAAAAGGCTACAAAACGAATTGCAGATGATCGGCTCCACGGTTGGTGATCTGGGGCAAGGTAGGTACGGTAGGACGCGGGTCTTCGCAGGGGGGCTGTGGTCAACAATGGAGCAAAGACTGAGAGATGCGACTGGTCGGCGCGGTTATAATGCACGTCATGGGTTATTTGATGGGGTCTTTAGGAAAACGAACGACACCGGGGTAGTTCCAGATCCTTCATCCCGGAATCCGTTCGAGGCTCTGTAGAGACAGATGCGATTGGTTGGAATCTGTATCCTGCACGGCAGCGCGGCAGCGTACATGGTGTTCATCCCAGCTATTTGAATAAACAAATCTCCCACAACCCTCTTCATAGCCCCTGGCCCTTCATTGTAACCCCTGGATAGACTCTTGTTTTCAACAGTGGCTAAGTTACTTCATAGACTGAGCAATTCGAGCATGCTGCTGTCCTTAGTTGACCGCATGGTATTGAGTACCCCGAAGGCCGACCGCTGACGTTGCCTAGTGGATGTGATAATTGATCAACCGATCGAACGGGAAAAGATTTGCGCAAAGACTTTCAACTCGTGCCTCGGTTTGTGGATAGTTGATACATCTAGAAAGATTGCCTGTGAGGCGCTTGCCTCTCTTGGGTGCTGTCGCGAAATTTGCGATGCAGTCTACGACTCTACAGTTGTGTCGAGGACATCGTCATCAACATAACCGCGGCTGAGCTTCAAGATCCAATCGGAAACGGCACTATCCAGGAGTGAGCTGATTCTACAAGCAGCCGATGGCACAAAATTGCTTTTGGGTGTGTACGATGAGATGTCAGGATCTACACGTTGTCAACCATTTCAGTCCATAAACGCCCTTTCGTCTAATGAAATGAACTTCTTTCACAGGTCTACGAGGACAGTGACGATTTCAAGAATCAAGCTGCTACTCAAACAAGACTTTCTCTTCACTTCTGTCATGACTGGTACCTGGACTGGCCAGTTGGCCCCTATCCCACTGAGTGGTAGTCAAGGCCATTGCTGCGGACCTTGTTTCTCGGCAAACATATCATTAGGCCTCGGCACTCCGGACCAATAGAAAAGGAGGCAAATAAACAGATTTGCATTTATATTCCCTTGCCTGAAGTGGGTATCTCCCCTGTTCCATCGGAGCTTTGACGGGCAGGCTCTTTCAGGAGACAACTCGGCGGCCAAGACAAATCAGAGGGGAGCCTTCGGTCATGGCGTTTCTTCCCAGACTCCACCATCAGCTAAGGCCTGCTATGAAACCATCCGCTGTTCTCCGGTGGACTGGAGCAAAGCACGTCTAGCTCCATCACGACCTTCACTAAGCCTCAACTGTGACAGAGTCGATCAACCTTATTGGAGTGTTGCGAGGAGTTCACTCCTTTGGCATTGGCTGATACTGACAGCATGTCCAGGGGAGCCGAGGCTTTAGCTTTCGTGCTTCAATAGCGTAGTCAAAAACTGAAGACAAGGGACCAGCGATGACTCTCTTGCATCGATACTTCAATCAACCCTTCCTGTTCACGGCCAGTCGAATGCTCGCCTGGAAACAATTATGGGCGAGACACGCCGCACACCGCGAGGCGAAGGAGAGCAACTTGGACAGTCAGATCCTACACTGTTTAACCATCCATCTACTAAGACGTTGGCATACTCTAAGAATTTTTCGAGGCCAAAGCTGCAGCCTATACTTGCTCAACGATTCAGTAGGTGTCCTGGGGCAGGGGAGTCTGGGGTTGCGAGATGTTACCGGCCTTTACTCTCCTACAATCGCTTGAATATCAGCCTATGGCGCCTCTCAAGAGCACATCAAGATACCTTGACGGTAGCTATTTTGATCCAATTTTCTTGAAGGAGGTTGTTCAGTTATACTGAGGCTTAGATCTGTGTGGCAGGCTAACCACACCTGTCCCTTACTAGACACCAATTGCACTGTCTTTCTTATTAACACAAAGCTCTGATGATCGGATTACTGAACCAATGACTTTTCAGTAGAATAAGTGTCTTCTTCCTCAAATATCCGCGCACGACTGCTGCCACCTTGAGGCGTCCGAACACCAAGGATGATGACGTAACGCCACTGCCGAACATCCCGCCGCAGATTCCGGCCCCCTCCAACCTCATCTCATCCACTTCACTGCACGTTTAGGGATAACATCGATTCATCCTTCTAGCCCGATCTATGAAATCTCTCCTCAAGTTATGGCGTCACGCCAGTTACCTGCTTACAGAGACATTGACGTGGAACTCGACGCTCTAGCCGAAGCCCCAGATTTTGAGGATCCAGACTCTCCGCTTCCATTGCTCGACGACGACAACACCGTCAGACAATCCACTGGGACAAGAGTGTATCCTGCTGGCATCATGGAAAATGCACCGAAATGGATGAGGGCCGCGCAACCATGGAGTCGCTCCATGTCGCAGAGGATCCTCACAACCCTACGCCCCCGACTAACAGTAGGATACCTGCTATGGAGTCTCATTGGGTTGTATGTCCTCTACTGCATCCTCAGCCAATCGCCGCTCCTCGCATCCAGGTTACCTAGCTACTCGGGGCCCTTTGAGGACGGGACAACGGACATCGAGGTCCCCGTCCGTACCCCTCGCAATACAAGCGACTCAGTGCTCGCCAGCAACGGCAAACCTGCGTTCACTCTCGAAACAGTGCTGTTCACCCTGTATTATCCAGCAGAGAAGGGTGTAAGGGGAACAAGTCATCACTACTGGGTTCCCAAACCCATCAGCCTCACAGCAGAGGGATATGCGAGGGCCGCTCACTTCAACAACTTCATCTCACGGCCAGTCTTTACGTTCGCACTATGGGCTCTGGTTGGCAGCATCAGGATTCCCGCCAAGGTTGATGTGCCACTTCTTTCCCCGACAAGTGGTAAGGGAGATGAGGAGTTCCCCGTCATGGTGTTATCTCACGGCCTGGCCAGTTCCCGGACGGATTATACGCACTACTGCGGCGAACTCGCGAGTCGCGGAATCGTCGTTGCTGCCATTGAGCATCGCGACGGTAGCGGACCCGGTTCGGTTGTTACAGCTAAAGACGGCAAGAAACGGAATGTCATGTACCTCACCAAGGACGAGCTCAGGGGCGGCAAGGAGTTGGAGTCTGATGACTTGAAGTTCCAGCAACTGGCCTTCCGACAAGCTGAAATTGAAGAGACGATCGCAGTGTTGCAGTCACTACACGCCGGGAAGGGATCGACGGTTTTCAGAGACAATGCCCGCAAAGAAGGCCACAGCTTGGAGGGCTGGCAAGGAAGACTCAACTTCTCTCAGACAGTCATCGCAGGCCATTCCTTTGGCGCAACAGGCGCCCTTCAGGCTCTCAAAAGTGCTACATCAAACGAGAACCCAGCTGTGGGTGGCATCGCCTTCGACCCAGGAAAGAGCAGCGGCCGGCTCAATACCGATATCGACGTTCCGGTCCTCATCGTCCACTCCGACTCCTGGTCCAAGAAGAGCACACCGTTCTTCGGCCGGCCGCACTTTGACAGGGTCAGGGACATTGCGAGAGATGTACTCAAGCGCGTGGGCTCAAGCTGGTTCCTGACCAGTCTGAAGACGAGTCATCCCAGCGTGACCGATGCGCCGCTCATTGAGCCTTTACTGCTTCGTTGGACCACGGGTGCTACCATTGATGCGCGAAAAGGGCTACAGGAGTATGTCAGGGTGACTATGCAATTTATGGCATTTTTGAAGAACGGCACGAGAGAGGGCGTCTTGGCGGAAGGGGTGACGCATGAGGAATATGGAAAGGATACGATGACTGACGAAGAGAGGGAGAGAATACCCAAGGAGACGACGAAATATTGGCAGATTCACGTCGCGCCGCCTCGTGAAGTGGAATGAGAGTACCATCTCACAGTCAGACGATAACATGTACGATTCGTTACTATTTGAAATCTTGTTGATGGCCCTCGTGAAGCCTTGAGAAAACGACTGGGTCAAGATGTAAGACCGGCTCGCCTCATGTCTTTGCTCCTCAGTCTGCCATTGGTCTTGAGTGATGATCTTTCCTCCGCGGCTACGCTGCACAGGTCAGGCTGCTCTTCTCGCCGACTGGCCGTAAATGGGAACCTGAGATTAAAATCTCACATCGAAAGACATCATCTCAGTCAAAGTGCACATCAATTCAGATCTAGAACAGAGACGAGATCTCCCGGCATGTTCCGGCATCCTGTCAGGCCACAGGTGGGTGCCCAGGCACTCACCCTCTCAAGCCTCGTGATTCTTGGGTCGTTGCCGAGCATCCCAAGCCAAGGCCAGCAACGTCAAGGCCGCGCTTCCGCCCTCCCAGACGGCAACAATACCCCAGTCCTGTCGCCAGAACACCACGGCGGTCGTCAGGCGCATCGGTATGGTGGCGAGGAAGAAGACGCGGTTGTCTTGGGCGGCTGCGAGGGTGTAGTAGATGCCCATCGCGATAGCGGCCAGAGCGTTGCCGTTAGCTGCGGGGAGAGCGACGGCGGGTAGGTCTAGCGCCTTGAGGGAGTCGTGGGGACGGAGGAGGGAGTGGACTCCCGCTGCGAAAGACGAGAGGCCGAAGATGAAGATTGAGACGCGCGCGATGCTTGGCGCCATTGTGCCGTTGAGACTGACTGCGCTGGACTCGGGGCCAGACAAACAGTTGGTAACCGTGCTTGGGTCCGGATGTCGGATAATTGAGACTCTTGAGGAATCACATCTAGGGAGAAGCTCTGGTTCGACATGCTACGAGCGGACGGAGTCACGGACTGGTCGACTGGCCCCTCCCTTTGGGGCTCCCTTCGGGACGGGGACGACCCGAGCGGAGGGAGATGAACCTGTGGAGTTTGTTCTTCGAGGGGTCGCACTGGGGCGGTGTCTCTGGGCGGGCATGACGTGCGATATTCGGTTAGCTGGAAAGTCTAAAACCAATACGGACTGGGTTATCACTGTCACTCTAACTAGGGAAACCCTGAACTGGACGTTGTGGCTTGAGACATTTTGATTCCAGGTATCCGGAGGACCTCAACTTTTGAAGCTTGGGTTGATGTTGTGGCTTTTGAGGTGGGCTGATGCTCTTCTGAAGGGCATCTCTCGACGTCAATATTTGGTGTCAAACGGGAGAGCGGGATGCCTTCGAGGATAGTGCCTGTTCCATCCTCCTCTTTGCGGTAGGGTAGCAATGAGGCTTGGCATGAGCTCGGGAGCTTCAAACTTTGTGTAACCGGGAATCGAATCGAAGCTCTGCAATGTGATTCGACGCGTCGAGATTGCAAGGCAAGCATCGCTGCATCAGATCATACTATGAGGGGCTCATCCCGTCGGCCCCGTGGCTTGACTTCCAGTAAACTTCGCTCTCGCGTCTGCTGCCGGCAAGGAAACGCCTCCTCGCCGTCATGAATAAGCGGCCCATTCCGCAAATTCGATAAGTGAGGCGGTGAAGGATGCGGTTGGCAAGAGACATGAACAAGTCCAAGACAAGGCCCCCCGAGTCGAAACGACAGACGAATTAGAAAACGGCTGGGCGGGACGGTGAACGGCTTGAATGGGAAGCATTGGTGAGACATGCGTAGGCAGCGGAAGCTGACGTGAATACACAACACTCGCACACATTGAGGCGTGTGTGTGAGAGTGTGCAATGCAGTGCGGCACGCGGTTGCAGTACCGACTCTACCGCACCCGCGCAGACAGACCAGACTTGCAGTGGAGGTTTTCAGTCTCCCTGTTTTTGATGGGTCCGAGACACGGCCGGCCTGCTTTTGAACCAAGACATCGGGGGCCCGGTGCAGAAGTGAACGTCCAACGTCAGTGGCAGCATCGTCGGCGGCCTCTTGGGGTTGGTTTTCTGATAACTGATGATGCAGGGCAGGAAGAAATATGTGATCGGTAAGTGGTGCTGTTGCTGCTCGCCGGTTTCGACAGAAGGTAGGCAACGTGAGGTGATAGAGCGACTGTTGACAAGACGACACGAGGGGAGAGATGTTGTCCGGTTTACTTGGCCAGAGGTCGGGCGGAACCATCAGAGAAGAAGAGCCGCTTACCCAATCTTGACTTGCCTCAGCAACTCCAAGTCTCCATGGCCCCCTTCAACTTGCCGAGCGAGCACCGAAAAGGGAGGCCAAGTGCCATGCGAATCTTGAGATGGGGAAAACGCTGATGGATGGAAATGTGAGAAATCCTCCGAGTCCGTGCTCTGGAGCCAAAGTCAACTACCGGCACGTCCATGTCAGCTTACCTTTCTATATTCCCACCTCGCAACACATTCTTCCGCCTCCTCTTGTGGTGACATTGACATCCGGCCTGGATATCACTACAACCCTTCTCTTGAGTCTCGCGGCGTCATTTTCAACAGACGATGCCTTCTCTGGGCATTCCTCCGCGAGACTGGATAAGGTCCAGACTCTAGCATCACGGGACAAAACGCCCGTCAGCAATCAGCATATCCGACATTCCGAATAAGCCGTGTGTCGACCACATCATTCACGAAAGAGCAAGCAAAGCTGCGCAAGCGTCGACCTGGGTTCCCAGTCCAGCTGAACTGAAGACATCCCGCGACGCATCATCAGCCCAGTCGTCCGATTTCTTGTTCCTGCTGCTTGTCTCCAGGTCCGACGTGATGGGGCTCCCTGTCAATGCTTTCCGTCTAACCGAACGACAAAACTCCAACAATGGGGGTAGGAGGTGGCCCTTCCCGCATCTTAACTTGAGACAGGTTGAGGGGCAGCAAGAGACAAAAAACAACCAATGGATGCACAATGCGTTTGGGCGAGATTGGAGATTCGAGAGTGGGCTGGGCTCCCTTCACCGAGTGTCGTCGGCCAGCTCGGTGTGGCTGGACCATCGTTTCTTCTTTGTCGATCTCTTTCCTCCGGGGCGAAGCGTAGACGCTGTGACGGGATGGTCCTCACCTCGGTCCTTGACGAATCGCAGCCTCGTCGCAAACCCCCATTCCCAATTAAAAAATAAAAAAAAACACCACACCAACAGGGAAATTGAAAAAGCAAAGGGACCAAAGCTGATTTTAAAGGCCAAAGCTAAGACAGGATCGGCCCGCAGGTGGGCAGCGCGCCGCCGTCGCCGCTGTCCCACCTGCTGCTGCGCTCTTTTTAATCAACTGCTTGCTTGCTTGTTTGTGGTTGTGGTCACTGGTCGCATACATTACCAGATCTCGGGGTAGAGAGCCCGCCCCAACCGGCCGGGCCTTTTGGCGCAACTGGGAATGGCGTCGGACCGTTTGGTGTTGGCGCCGGCGCGGGTTCGTTTGCTGTCTCCGTCTGGTCTCTTGATGGGATAAAAGGGGGCACTGGGGGGGGGGGGTTGACAAGGACTGCAGAGCGGCCCCGTCCCCCCCCCCCCCCCCCCCCCCCATCTCTTCTCACGCTGGTTTGGCGTTGGTGTTACGATCCGATGTTAGTGCCATCGACGGCCGTTGGCATTATTGCCCGACTAGTGTAATGTGAGTACGAAGTCTCTCTTAGTTGTGTCTGTGTGTCACTACAGAGTACCTAATAAGAAGAGAGAGAGAGAGAGAGAGAGAGAGAGAGAGAGAGAGAGAGAGAGAGAAACAGAGAGAATGAGAGACTGAGAGTTGGTGTGTGTGCTCGCCGAGCCAGTCCGCTCACCCACCCCGGCCGCCGACCGACACACATGAATCGTCCAGTCCAAGTCCATTCTTGGTTCCCGATGGTCCCCTGGTAAGAAGCTGAGGCCAAGTTTGGATTTTCTGTCGCTACGCGCGCTTGCCGCACCCAGAATTCACGCTTCACTGTTCAGACCCCATCCAAACCGGACAGCCCTAATAGTAATCTTGTCTAGTTTCCCAGAGTTTCTCGCCGTCTCTCTTCTTCCCAGTAGCTCCCCCATCCCACCCCCAGTTCCTTTGCGACACCGACGCCGCGGCAGACATCGGTGCCTGCATCTATACATTCGTACATGACGCCATGCACATCGTGCATCCACTGATCTCCTCTAGTTCCCAGTTCGGGATTGGTGGCAGCAGGACGGGTCACGGAGACGGGAATACCAGATATTACCTTGGTTCCCAGAGGACCGCACGGCCAAATTTCCCGTCCTGGTTTTACCTTTCCTCACAGGCTCGGCAAGGGCCCTGCAAAGCGGCAAGCTCGAGAAGAAACAGTTGAAGGGTTGGGTTGTCGTGGCACTCCGAGAGCCGTGATTTGCTGGCAAAACCACCACCACTCGCAACCAGAGTCAAGCCAATTTGCGAGACATGGCACTGCATACATAGCACCAGATCATATGCCTTTGACCCCCTGGTTCCGATTCTACTTTGGTCTGTCTGGTTAGGTCAAATTCGCGTCTGGTCTGGTCTGGCCGGCCATGGTATGGAGCATTGAACGGTTTGGCATGGGGCCCGTATGGGCAAAAGAACGAAAAAAGTATGGCACGGCATCGCATGGCATGGTTCGGCCACCACATACTTTATGATCCAGGGAACGGCTAGGCCTGAAGTATCGCCTCGAAAATATGACAGAAGTTGGTGAATGGTCACGAGCCGGCCCCTGGATCCCTTCCTCATCGCTCAAACGGGCATCTTGCAGCGGAACAGCCCTGGATGTCGAATACACACCCCAAGGCTTTTAGTCTCTGACCCCGCAAGTCGCCGCTGGCGGCTTTTTGCTCTCGTCGTTCTCTGGAGTCTGAGGTCATGACTGCTCACCCACACCACCCTCTCGACAAGTGTCGACATGGAGTGTGTGTGTGTGAGAGAGAGAGAGAGAGGGTCCTCCGTCTCCGTCTCCCGGCAATGCACATGCTACAACCATGGGATTGCTGGAGCTATGTGATTCTATCCCCGGCCGGGCCCCTCCCCTCCATCTCATCACCTCCCCTCAGCCAGCCATATCCATATTCCATACCATCTGCATCCATGATCCAGCACCTGGGTCCTTGGCCTTGACAGACTTCCCAGCAAAGCAGATCCCAACAAGCTAAAGTAGAGTTGGACCGACAGGACCGGCCGGCCGGCAGAAGGGCCGCATCTCTCACTTCCTATTCCCAATACCCCCGTCCCACTCTTCTCCATCCTTACCTATCTCTGAGCTCTCTCTCACTCTCTTCTGTGCGTCTCGTGTCTCTCTCCCTCTCTCTTGCCCGCTCCCCCCTTCTAGTCCCCTTCTTTTGCTGCCTTTGCTGCCTTTGCTGCCCGGTAGTACGACGGATCGACTGGCAACTCGTCCACGTACGCCTCTACGGATACATCCAGCCATCCCACCTTGCCTCGACTTGCCGTCAATAACCTGGCCTGCAGGCCCGGCCACCGCACCCGCATCCCCCGTCCCATTCATTCCCCCTTCTCTCCTCGGACGCGGCCGACCTCCAATCAACCTACCCACCCCCCCCTTGAAGACACACTTTGTTGCTAATGCATCCGTGAGCTGACACATCCGGGGAAGGGCTTCCGGCAACAGAACCCAGAACCCAGAAATACCCCCCCCCCCCCCCCCTTCCGAGGCCGAGAGAGCCTCAATGAACCTTTTTTTTAAACCATCGACCCAAACGGCGTCATCTCCCCGTCGTTCACGGTCCCCGTCCGCCCGTCCGTCGCCCGCTATCCCGGCAATGGCTTTCGCATCGTCGCCCGTTGACTCGCCGTCGTCGTCCTTCTTTGCCGCCGCCGCCCCGGACCTTGACGGTCTCGCCCAGGCACCAGCGCCCGTCGCCCGCGCCATCCTCGTGGCCCTCTGCGATGACCGAAGGGTTCGAGCCCAGGCGTTGAGGCAGCTTGAGCGGCTGCTGCGCTTCGAGGCCGATGTCCGCGAGGAGGAGGAGGAGGAGGAGGAGGATGCCGTCAAGAGGAGCCCCAATTCCATCTCAAGTCCGTCAAATCCAAAAAAGAGAAAGGCAACCGGCGAGCCCAAGATTTGTGTTCAGTGCGACGGCATCTTCACGGCCGATGAGAACAGCTTTGGGTCATGTTGGTACCACTCAGGTAAGCAAGCAAAGCGTGCAAACCCAGCAGCAGAAGCAAAAAACAGTCTCGTAGAGCCTTTTTCAGCTCTCTCCAACTCTCCAGTTGCCTCATCTCAACCCGTGCATCTCCTTCTCCCAGAAGAAACACATTGCTGTACGAGCCGTTAGAAGGGGTCTTGTTCTTGTCATTGGAAGGGTAATACTGACTCGTGCACCCACCCCTCCGTTTAGGCGAGCTGGAGCTTTGGGATGAGACGCAAATACCACCAACAATCTGGGACGAGGTATCGTCAGACGAGCTGGACACGGATTCCAATCGCCTAGAGTATCCCGCGGCGTTCCGATGGTGCTGCTGCCAGAGGCTGGGCGACAGGCAGGGCTGCGTGCGCGGCATGCACGAGGCCAACCCGGACAGGAGCAAAAAGGGCCGCGGCAACGAGCTGTCCGACCTCGAGGACGATCCGCTGGAGCTCGACGACGCCTCGTCGCAGGAGTTGGGACCGCCGCCGCATCAGCAGCACTACACGATCTCGAGTTCACCGACGGACGACCACAAGCCGACGACGGCAACAATGACTGTGAGAACGGCGACAACGACGACAACGACAACGACGACAACGACAGCGCACCATCATCATCACCACCAAGAGCAGTGACGTTCGAAAAAGGTTTTCTTGGATTGTTTCTTATTTTAAGGCATGTTTATGGTCCATGTCAGAAACGAACTCGCTTCCATGGTTCGGGTTCCCCTCCTTTTCGGACGAGACTGGTTTTGGTAGACCGGTCAAGGAAATTATTATGGTTTCGGTCAATCGGATGGGCTCCCGGCCTTCCCGACCGATCTCGGTCAACCGGTCGACAAGGTCACGCGAGATTGAAAAGGATTTTTAAGGTGCTGGCAGGGCTGTGAACAGACTGGAAGGGTGTCAAAGCGGCAACTGGGCAAAGTTCAAAAAAAGGAGCGGAGCGGAGCGAAAGCAAAGCATTTTCCTGGGAGAGGGGGAGGTATAGCATTTGGCAAAATTTGATACAACAAGACATTTGATGGATGAAGCAAGCAAGCAACATTGAAATTGGTCGGGCAAGAATTGGAGGGGGCGACACTATTTTACTTGGGGGCAGCTTTTTGCCCAATCGGCCACTTTGTGCCTGACATATTGGCCAGGCTGGCATGGCATTTCGCTGCCCAGCATGAGGGTATCCTCGTCAAAGACATCACAAATAATGGAGGCAGAGCATAGCATAAGAGCATATCAAGTGTATTTCAGTAGTGGAAGAAACAATGATGTTAGGGCACTGAGGGGGGAAAGGGGACGGCGAAAAGAACGGGGTCACGATTACCCCCCAGCGCAGAAAGAACATCGATTTAGAAAGACGAACGGGGCGAGCCCAAGTTTGCCAGCGATCCAATAATTATACCTTGCTATCAATTTACACGGGCCAAAAAATTACAAAAATCTACATGTACTGATCATTGATGAGGTGAGGACAACGCGCGAGCTGCCCAACTAAGGCGGCATTCCCAGGATCGAGATGGTCACATTTCGCCTCATGGGACTGGCGGTGGCGGAATTCGCATGGTCCGCCGACGACGACGACGACAGCGGCGGCGGTGGTGAGACGAACCGGAAGTGTCCTGCCCAGAGCGGTCCGATATCATCTGCAGCAAGCGCTCGAATCTGCAAGGGACACCAGAAGCGGCCTAGCAATCCCGCTCCAGGGAATGTGAAGCTTGCCAGGCTTGCCAGCAGCAACGTACACACGTCAGAGCGAACGAGCCAGTAGGCTCGCACCCGGTGGTTGCACAGGATATGTTCCCCCAAAACCCGGACCAGACTCCAGAGAGTGTGTGTGTGGCTCTTGGGGGGACACAAGACGCACCGCCTACAGGCTACTTGCCTTTCGTCAGCTAGCCAGCCGCTGGACCACCACCCCTGGGGCCATGGGTAATTGCCCTGTACTCTGGGCTCTAGAGACTGGAGAGCCATAAGCTTGCGGTGCCACAGCAGGGCTCTGTGTGCGAGGAACCCAATGAGGCCACCTGGCGAGCAGGGATGACCCTTACCATCCGAGATTCCCCGGCAAACCCTGATCTACGGGAGGCCGGGGAGGGTGACACGGGGGGGAAAGACGGGTACGGGTAAAAGAAACGGGTGTCTGTGGGAGTTGAGTGAAACCCCCCGGCCGTTCAATTCTAATAAACAAGAATGAACATGATTTCCCAAAAGGAGGAAAGTGACCCCAGTGAACCCTTTCGGAAATTGGTTTCTATCCCCGTCATTCCGGGTTGGGGGAGTTGATGTGGGGACTCAAAGTGGGCGTGGTCTACACTAGATGGTAGTTCCCGAGTGTAGGCAGTTAATTGAGAACGTAGAAGCCGCTCGAATATCTACGAGAGGGAATGCTTGCGTACTGTCTGCAACGTCGAGCTAGTTGCTTGAAATTTGGTTAAAGTACTCACTTTTCAGTTGTCACAACTCCCTCGCGCTTACTCGGATAAACTCGACGACTAATTTTGACTGTTACTTTAGTACTCTACTTAGTGGACCAAAGAAACTAGTGTACAAAGTGCTCCGTGCAAGACTAAACAACAATTCGCTCGCTCGTGTGTCCGATATCGCAAAACATAATTGTCCCGGCCCGAAGGAAACACCACAACACTATCGGCGCGACACGCCAACAGCAACCAAGAAATAATGGTTGATCAAGTAAGACAACGAGCCGAACAGACGGCCGCCCCGAATTGGGAAACAGCGGCCATGTTGGAAGCCGTTTCGGGTACCAATGCTCGAAAGGTCTTGTTCGCACTCTGCAGGGAGGATGAGCGGGTCCGCCGGCGAGCCGTTGACCTGTTGCAGAATATGCCAAGGACGGATATCTGCGCCAACTGTAAAGAGAAGTTTGATGTCAACAGGAACGCTCTTGATGCATGTCGTTACCACTCTGGTTAATATAAGGAAATTCCACATTCAAACACGTATCTGGAATGGGCGGATATCGCAACGCTCCGTGTTACTACACACCCTTGGCGAATAACGAAAGGACATTACGCTAACGCGTGGATAGGAGAGTTTGAATTGTACGAAGACCTCGAGGTCTGGGGCACAATCGATGATGTGGAAGAATTTTACGAGATGGACAGCGAAGAAGCTCGGTTTGACGTTCCCGGAGGCTTCAGGTGGAGCTGTTGCCAGCGCGTTGGCGAGGTGAAATGCTGTCGAAAGGGGCAACACGTGGCCGTATTGGAACACGGCCCTTTGACGTTGGGGAGTTTCGGTGAGGGTGACAACGCGGTGGGGATTCCAGTGAAGCAAAGTCATGGCAAGCGCAAGGCTGAGGAGGATATCGCCGGCATTGCGCAAAGGACAAGGACGGGGTCTCGGCGGATATGACACGGGGACTATTGATTGAGTGCATGGGGAATTTGAAATGCGGTTGGCTTGTCACTTTGACATTCTGCGACGCATCATCTGGTTCAACTACACCGTACATGGCAACTGCCAAGCTCTCAGCCCTTAGGGGATGCCCTTCCCTCGTCTGCAATCAAATGGCTGACAGCTGCATGCGCGGAACTCCGGGTAACACATCACACGCAAATCCATGTGGGGATGCGTCCGAATCAAGCAGCGGTGCCTTGCGCTGAGAGGCTCACTCGCGAGTTGAGGGCTGTCAGAAGTCTCAAAGAATAGCTGACTCGCTGGCCCGTCCCAATGATCACCGGCTAACAGGACTTTCGGTGTGACTCCGACATGTACTTGTACACTTCAGAAATGAGGAGATAAGACACCGAAAACGAGGAGCTGGATGTTGAAGTCCAAGATGACAGGAAAGACTTGAAAAGCCCCGAAAAGTCTAAAAGATCAAGTTTGGTCACAGAAATAACCATTCACGGAGTCTCGAGGGCACTTGATTGAACTGGGTAGTACCGCGAATCATTCCCCAAAGTATGGACACAGGTGGGCCTATTGCGGGCGTGAAGATGGAAGTGCCCGCTGCAGAACCCGCTGCAGAACCCGCTGCAGAAAACCAGGCGGCCCCGGCCGTTCGGACTGCCCCCGCCGCATTTACGAAATCTTACATAGTTGTGAGGCTTGATATTGGCTGGAATTCTCGAGTCATAGGAAGAAGTCTAGACCTCGAAGTGTAGTGTTTCTCAACAGAATCGATTCAACGATAAAACGTCTGTCCGACAAATTATTAGCTCGGTTTCATCTCTTCCCACATGTACTTGCACTTAGGCTATCTTGAATATCATTTGATGGATGAGCGAGAGTCGTCATTGTCAAGCCTTTCCTGAGCTCGGCATTTCATTTGGGGGTTAAGATTGCATTGCGGTTGAGAAATGCATGTACAAGGATAGTTTTGGCGTGCTCTATAGGGGCCTGATTTGTTCCCACTGTCTTTTTTCGATCCTTTTAAGAAGGCGTGCTCGACTCAGATTTCGATGTTGCAGTCATTGAACCCATTGCTAAACTTCTGGCCCACAAAAGCTATCAGTTCAAGTGCCAAGACCCAACTCCAAACTCTTGTTGCCGTTGTTCAATACCATAGTCTTATGAATACTCTCATCAACATCTCTTCTACGCCACAAGGGTAATTGAGGCTTTTGAGGCTTTGCTTTGTGGGCAAGCTACTCAAAGGGGGTAATGAAAAGCTCACAGAATGAGCCAGAGCCACTCATAGTCAGGAAACCGTAGATTCGAATGGAGGCATCTATCATGTCTAGCAGGTGGTAGAAATATCTCCCAGTTGCCTTGAGTTGAAGGAATCAAGTATCAGTTTATGAACCTATAAAAGGAATCTGAGACACTGGTCCTCGTTCAGACCTTTTCTCTATGTGTCTCATCGAGTCATCTCATGGTCTGAGTCAATCGTCACCAGGCTTGCAACAGTTGCTTTTCGAATTGTCAACACGGGTCTCTCAGCAGCCAGACACGACAATCATCTGCCCCAGATTAGGCTCCGCTTTGATACCAGTTGTTATGTCTCTTAAGTAGGTATTCGTCTTTGAACGCTCTCTGACAGAGAACTAATAACCTCCTAGCATGCCTGATGTTCCCATAGAATTGAAGGAAGCCGAAGAATCATCTGATAACTCCCAGAATCAGTCAAACAAGCGAGAACACTCTGAAATCCCTCCCGGTTCTCCCCGGCAGCCATCCCCAAAGGTAATGAGTTTAATTTCATCAACGACCTATTGTACCAATCTTCAACTGATAGCGGCAATAGAGACTTAGAACGTCGGAGCCAGGGGAAAAAGAGTCGCCATTGCTGTGAGTCAAAGTTTTCTCCGAAAAAATGGAGATGAGGGCATAACATTGACTTCATTGTAAACGAAAGCCGGCTTCCACCAGAACTACGAAATCAGATTTACAGCTTCGCTTTTACCCGTTCTTTCGTCAGGATCACCGGTCAGTCGGTTTACGGTTACACTTGTGGCCGTTCGAAGTTTCTCTGGAAGCGCAAGAACGTGCGACATTATCATGCAGGGGACGAAGACGCAAATTTGCCGGTTGCATTCCTTGGAGCCTGCAAGCAAGTCCATGCCGAAGCGCGCGCGATGCTCTACGCCAACGACTTCGACGTGCAAGGCATGGAGACACTCGCCGTCTGGCTCAAAGACCTGGGAACCAACATTGCCTGCCTGCGAACTATTACGCTTCGGACCGAACCTCAGATGCGGTTGACGTTATCGTCCTCAAGCAGTTTCAGGGCCCAGCAGGACCGGTATCGGGAAGTCTGTCACAGGGCCGCCAGGATGTTGGCTGGTGCCGAGAATCTTCAGGCCCTGAGGATACATTTCTTTTACAACCAGATGATCGGCGCCCCAGCTCCGAGAGCAACTCTCAAGCGACCTGAGCCTGTTTCCGGCTGGATTGGTATCGCCCGCCGAGTCGCGGAGGTACTGTGCCATGATTTCCGGTCGGTGTACTCCAAAGGGTTATCCCGGGGTCGCACTCCTGAAGACTTATGCTGTGTCATAAAAGTCAGCCGGAATAACTGGTGGTGTAATCGTCACGCGTTGACTCCACACAAACTCAATGCCAAAGAGGCAAGAGAGGCCGAAGAGGAGGTTGTAGAGCATTTGAGGCTGCTTCTCAGGAGGAATCTCGAATCTCGTCTGGGTCATCGGTCTTGAAGGAGATTGATTCTAGGCATCCAGTTGCCACACTTGCACATTTGACTAGCTTGGTCTCCAGAAAGACAGCGGCCTCTGTAAAGGGAGGTGGTGCTACATATTGAGGCTAGCTAGATTAATCATACTATTCGTATGTTCCATCATCTTGAATAATAAATTCGTCAAAGATTTCATATGTAAGTCGTAGCTTGAGTTAAGACTGACTCACTGCTTGAGCTCTATCTTGAGAGTAAGCATCATCAAAGGACCTCTCCAACGTTCCTCTTTAATGCTTCTTGCCATTGACCTAAATGCACGCTCCAGATGAAAGGCAAGGCCACTACAAAGAAAATACTAGAAACGAAGAGGACTTTCTAGAGTCTCAAAGTCCACTGTCCGTTAAGGCAGCAGAGTTGCGAAGCTCTGCTTCTAGCGGTCGGCTATATCAGAGCATCAAGCCATTGCTCGGTATCTCACGGAAAGAATCTGTTATCGACAACCCCCATTCTGACACAGCACTGGCAAGCATCAATCCTTCCAAGTAAGCAACGAGTAGTTACCTCATATTGAACTACAGCTGACTTCTCAATGGAAACCCCGGTGAACAGGCCTGCAGAGCATCTTCTCAAAATACCTATGCGGGTATGGCCTCGTCCCCGCACGCCTCCGTCCCAAACTGCGGACTGCATCGACGGAATAGCCAAGGTTCCTCAATCACCCTACCGGACGAGGTATGCCTGGGTTCTTTTCCATTATCTGAAGTTCACCGAGCTCGACTGATACCAATACTAGATTCTGGACGATGACGGTCATAAGCCGAAACCCTCGTTATTATTGTGAGTTTTTCAGCTCGGGCTTCTTTGCGCGTGGTTCCGAAAATAACTAATCCTCAAATGGAAAAGACACATGCCCCGAGAGATTCGAAACATGATATATGAGGCGGTCTTAGCCTCTACGAGCCGGATTCGTATTTCACGTAAACTCGGCTACACCTTTGTGTTCACGAAACGATCAACCTTTCAATTACGACGAGGGAATCTAACGCAATTCCCATTCGCGGAACAAGTCGATCTATCGATCTTTTAAACTTGCAAGAAGGTATTGGTTGAGGCACGTGGCATCGTATACTCTCGAACTATCGACGTTCCGGATGAAGAGACGCTTCTCGTCTGGCTACGCGACATTGGGCCGGACAACAGATCTCATCTACGCGACATTGCCTTGCTTATGCCGAGCACTTATCCTCAGTGCCCATTCATATCTGGTCGACAGAAGATGATTATGACTAGGATCTCTGCAATGCTTGAAAACTCTCCGAACCTCAAGCGAATCCGGATGAACCATCTTGGATTTGAAGGCATGATCGACGTTAACAAGCGCCTCAAGCTTCACAGAGATGGACAGTCAAGTCCGCTGGTCACTGCATCTCGTCACATGGCTGAATGGATGTTCGTATTCTTTCGACCCCTCCTGTGCAGTCCGTCCTTCCGCAGTCGAAGTCCCCCAGGGCTTTCTTCCTTGTTAGTGCTTGGGGATCGCGCTTACGATACCTGGCATCTTTTGCGCAATAACAAGGCCGGTTTTGGTTGGCCGAGTTTGAAAAGGAAGGAGTTGGACGAGGCACATGCATCATTTACTGAGCACATGGAATTGCTACTTGAGAGAAGTCGGAAGAAGAATCTCAGACGTCGCCAAAAGAAGCTTCAGCGGCATAGCTAATGTGTCCAACGAAGGGGTTATCGTCTGGTCGCGATGTTCTCATTGGGATCGAAACAGATAGCAGTACTTTATGAGAATTAAAAGATGGGGATACTGGTAGCTTTAGCGAACGGTCGGAAGAGCGAGCCTCTCGGTGGGCTGACCTCGGTGAGCAATCGGTCTGGCTTACGCGATACTCGGTGAAGCTAGAGAGGGTTGAAGCCGTCACGACAAACAGCTTTCCGTAAGGTAGTTTCACATAGAGATTCTGTGTGACATGTATTTTTTTTCCAAAATCTGACATGGAGTCATAAGTGGCCTCAAACTCTCTTTCCTTTCCTCTCGCAGCTCAATTAGCGACCTTGGTGGTTTCAAACGTTGCCACAGATGTCCCAGCTCACCGATCCATCCGGGCTCACCCATCATCTGCCCTCACTACTCTATAGTGACAGGGAAAAACGACATTATATCAACAGTGCCTGTGACGTAGCGAGGAACATCGTGAGTGAATTGCCTCGCTTGCACAGGTCGCAAGTTCCGGTCTCGTGAAACATCCCTGCATCTCTACACCTGAGGCTGGTAGAGTCTTAAGGAATTTTCGTAGGCTACCTATAGGTGACGCCGAGCTTTTGTGAATGTTTCCAGCTGTTGGTGACTTAGTTTGTCGGACAGGTATGTAGTAGTCCCATGCGGCTGGTTGACGAGGGCGCGGGTGACCAGCGCCACACGCTCGCAATGGTGCGCATCAGACTGAGCAAACTTTTCTTCTGACGTTTGTAGAAAAAGAGCTTTCCCCACCAACAAACACACACGGAGACGTCGATGACTGGAAGAAACATTCTGCAAAACGGGACGCCTATTTGAGCTAGGTAAGATGAATAGGGAGCCCAAACACCTTTGACCATCTGAACCAGATCTGCTAACCCCTTAGTTTCTAGGCAATATCTTCACCCATGAGCTGCAAAACTTCGCGCAAAACGAAGTCTAGGCTTCGGAGGGAAAAGAAGCTCCACAAGGTAAGGTCTTCTCGCATGACAGTGGAAAGCCACGAGAAAGAAGCATGTGGTCTTTGACCAACTACCTTAAGCTAACATGAACGGTCATCTAGCAGTCCCAGAGTGTGGCACGTTATTTTAAGCATTTTCCGTTTTTGTATGTGTGCCAAAGAGCTTGGTCACCGAACGCGAACGACTGACTTTGCCATACAGGGACCTGCCCCCTGAGCTTCGGACCAAGGTCTACGACTTTGCTCTTGTTTGTTGCGATGTTGTCTCAATCACCAGGATCTCTCATAAGGATGGCTGCATCAACAAAAAACAGGTTGCCCTTCTTCACCATCAAAACTGCGCATCAGCAAAGCGAGACACGCATCCCATCGCCGGGCTTCTTCAAACTTGCAAGAAGATTCGCCACGAGACGTCGTTCAAGCTCTACAATAGCAATGCCTTTGGACTGTACGACGTGCCAACACTCATCTTATGGCTCGAGATGATTGGGCCCGCAAACCGAGCAGCCCTGAGAAGCCTTACAATTGAGGGTAACGATTTTGATGAACTACTCCCCATCATATCATTGTTGGATCCGGTGGGCGACTTGGACAGGTTCGACTCAAACCCCCCAATTGTAAGGGCTCCCCCCGGCGACCCATACCGAAAGGAGACTGCGAGAGTCGGCGATCTTCTATCTGAATCTCTCGTTCTCGAAGCGTTGCATCTTCCCTGCGGATACAAATTCTGGCAGCTCCCGCCTCTAACGCTCCGACGACGCGATGCAGACAACGCGCCTTGGCAAACCAACATGGCGCGCCGCATCGCCGAGACTCTGGTGGAAGACTTTGCAGTCTTTTTCCGAAAGCGCCTTCTGCTCGACCACGATACTAAGCAACTCTCAAAGGTCATTAAGGTCGATGTCGTACGCCAAAAGAACAACGACATGCCGCCGAGTCCAGCGATAAAGGACGTCTTGACCAAAATGGAGGAGGGAGCAGAATACTTGAACTTACTACTCAAATACCTTCAACACAAACAGAACGGAGGCAAGCCATGGCAGTTCTGTCTCGCTGGATACACGTACTAAGCGTGATAAGCACATGCTCGGGAACCCGGAAAACGATGTTGAAATAATTGGTCGAAGTATTTTTTGAAGAGCGGCAACGAAACGGCTTTTCTGAATCAAGCCAGATGTCGGTGACTGGCGTATCATGTTACTTAGTACAAAGGATCCCCTAACATGGAGATGAGCTCTTTATGTGTGCAGTCTCTGCGGTCCACACAAATGGAACTCAAGTTTACAAAACCTTCAGATCAACACATCATGTTTCCGAGGAATCTCAGAAATATGGCCAGGTCATGGGCGATGCGCAGGGGAAGTCCAGCGGGCTTCGAAGCCTGCGCAGCAAACTCTATCCTCATCGACTGCATGCCTTATGCTTCCGTCGCGCAAGTACTCTCGACTAGGCCTTGCAGCGTCCTCCACGACAGCGGACGTTCGATGCGCCTTGCGGTACTGGGGAATCATCCCTACGACCACAAATTGACAATACTCACTGGATGGATATCGAAGCCGGACGAGAAGCTGAGCGAAGCCTACCGGTAGCTGTTGAAGTTCCCCAGCAATCCTTTTCCCCCAGAGACCTTCTGCGACGCGAATAACTCTGCAATTTCCGGGTCGTGCCCTCTCGAGATTATACAGATACAGCGGTCGAGTAAAAGCGTCAGATAAGGAATCTATGATGTTTCGAGTTTCTAGATCTCTACGTCGCGATGGTTTATTACGGGTCTTCGTAGTTCGTACGGCGGTCGTCGAGGCTCCGTCCGGATCGAAGTCGGGTCTCCAGCAACTGCCAATGTCAACGCTCAACGTCTTTGCAACTACTAAGTAGAGAATTTGGCGCCAGATTTCCCAAAAGTACTGTTGTAATCTTCTCGATTAGCGAAAGTTGAGAAAAAGTGGCAGAGAATCCGACATTACCTGTTCTAGGTCTAGGTGTTGTGGTGACTGGAAAGTCCGCGGTAGGGGTCGTTTGTGTGGGTTTGCCCGTTATTACCACGTCTATGCAGGCATTAGCAAAAAGATTGACCAACAAAGAGGCAATGACAACAAATGTCTTACGTTGCAAGTTGTCCCGTGTTGGATTAGCTAAGAGTCAGTTGTTAAGGGGTGATGAAGAACATCCATCAAAGATTAGATAATCATAACGCCTTGCAAGGTCTGGCACGACTCATTACGACGCTGCGAGACTGTATCAGGTATAAACAGTAGAGAGCCTGATTATCAAGATGAAAGAAATCTCAAACCCGAGAAAAACGTGGCCGAGACTAGAGAAACCGAAGTCGCCCAGCCTCGGAACGCAATAAGCATTTCGCTAGCGCCCCTGCACCTCGCTCTCCCGTCTCCACATTATGGCAAGGCGCATTTTTTCAATGGCGCCAGAGGGCAGATTCTCGAACCCGTTTCGAAGCCTGAAGGCCCGTCATCCCCATCATCCGTTTCCCACACCCGGGGACTAGAACCTCGTCCAGACTCTATAGCATGGAAAGGGGGGAGGCGGCGGCGGCGCTGGGCACTAAGAGCCCTGTTTATGGGGTCTCGGGGAGTTGCGATGACAAGTGTCAAGCCTCCTTGGCGCGAACCGCCCCAGCCCACTGGTTTGAGTCTTCTATGGAGACGATAGAAGCATGGAGGACAAGAAAAGAGGCGAAGGCCTAAGGGTTCAAAGCAGCAGAGACATGGATAACTTTATTGGGTGGATACGCGTATGCTTAGGCCTTAAGGTTGTTGGTGCTCCGATTCCCTAGTGCCGGTTTCTTCGTGGCTTTGTCAGAGAAGAAGTGGGAAACCGAGACCGAAGTGCCGTCCGCCTGGGGGGCCAGGGGCTGTGCTACTTTTATATCTTCCCCCATTCCAAGTTCCCTAGCAACAATATTAAGGTAGAGTCAGTAAGTAATTTGCAGTGTCTGACTGCACAGCGAAGAAAAAAAAGTGTCCGCATCGCACCCATAAACCGAGACCGAAGGCATTCTCACACAATGCGCAGCGTGCGGCTGTGTAGAGATAGGCCCAACACTATGGGAATGAGTATCGAAATTTCTTTCAGGATACGCTCAATACGTGTAAATGCGAGATGATACAGAATGCGAGATGTTTCTATATAGATGGAGTCTAATCCGGATGTTGTTGCTGTCTCTTTTTCAATACAATACAACAAACACAATTATCACCACCATCACCACCATCGCCACACAAAGAGTCTCTCGATCTCGACTTTGACGAATATTCTTCATCAACGACTCCACAAACCAATATCCACCCCAGTCATCCTCCCCGACATTCACAATGGGCCTCTTCGACTCCAAGCTCAAGTTCCCCATCCACATGGTCCAGCTTGCGCTGATCATCGCGGCTCTTAGTCTCTCAGTGGCACGCATCTTCCTCCCCAACCGCCCCAGGGGTAGATCCGGCACGATGGCTCTCGGCATGGTAAGTCTTAAAGCTTCATTTTACCCCACAAACCAAGCAATCGACTAACAAACCCTTCCTCAACCCCTGGCCGCAAAGTCCCTCATCATCATCGCATACCAAGTCCTCACCGAGCACGTCTCCTCCTTCAAGCGATGGGGCAGCCTGAGAGCCAACCTGATCCTCAACGGCATGGAAGTCGTCTTCTGGGCCGCGGTCGCCTACATGGGCATCCAGGGCAACACACAAGCAGCATGCCTGGGCGTCAGCTGCACTATCGGCTGGATCGTCGTCGTCATGGGCATCCTTCTCAGCATCGTCGCCGGCTACGCCACCATCATCGCATGGCTCGACTTCCGCTACTTCAAGGCCAACGGCGTCCGCCGCGGATCCATGAAGCAGACCGCTCTCGGCAGCAGCAGCGACAGCGAGGGCGGCCAGTCCGCTGAGCGCATCGAGATCCAGCAGCAGAGCAAGCCCCAGACTTCTTCCCCTGCTCCTCGTCCCGCCGTCGCCCCTGTACACTTCAACAACAGCCAGCAGCAGAGCAACCAGTACGATGCGCCTCCCTACGGCCAGCACTATGCTCAGCAGTACCAGCAGCAGCACCCTCAACAATACCAGCAGAGCCAGCAATACCACAACCAGTACCAGTACCAGCAGAGGCAATGAGTTGGAGGAGAGGTGGACTTTCGAATTGAATAGGACTTTCTGAGCGATTCAGCATATCCAGCGGGGCGAATTGGGATAGGGATACAATTTTCATTTGTTTTTACAAGCGAGTATGATTTTCCAAAGAGACCGGGTTGGTCTACACAGCCATGGGATAATAGGGTTCACGTCAGAAGGGAACCATGGGACTTGAGACCAGAATATCTGGGTTTCTTCTTTGTAAAAGCCCTTGGGGCATAGAGGCCGCCTCTGCAGAAGCAAGGAGGCGCAATCTGTGACTCAATTATCAAACGATTACAACAAAGGTATCTAACTCAAGAGAAGCACGACTTGGAAGAAACAGAAGATTAAACAATTTGTTTCGGGATGAAGTGGATAGAAAGTAGCCGCACAACAGAGAACAAGGGGAGGAGGGACGGGGTTCTTATTCCAAGATCGTTGTTTCCACTGTATCAATTGCAGTCACTTCCTCGAAGCTCCTGTCCTTGAGCCGTCCGGACGTCCGAACAAGAAGTTGGAGATTTTGTCGCCAAAAGGCACCACCGACGAGGGTACTTCTTGGCTCTGGCAGACTTTCAAAGGCTTGCGACTGTAGGAACGAGGGGTCCATGATTGGTCGTCCGCGGCTCCACGACCCGACGACCTGCGCCTGGACGATGGATGATCCCGTATCACGTTCCTGAGCTCTGCCCTGGTCAAGTTCGGCCCCTCTAGCACTTGGCGCCGCAGCTTGGCATCGGACCTCCCGCTGGAGCGCCTTCTACCTTTCGCAATGATCTCTCGCAGGGGTAGAGCTTTGAGATCAGCCGGTACTACATCACTCACCTGGCTAACATCTCCCTGAGATCCTTCAGGCCGATATCCAGCATCGTAGAATAGTCCAGCTAGTTCGGGATACGCGTCTGTAAAATCATACCAGAAAATAGGGTTGCTAATAGCGGGCGCGTTCTGTGCATTGAGAGCTTGGGCTGGACTGCCGTCTTCGATGATGTTCTGCAGGAGCCAAACCAGGTCTACTGCAAGGTCATCCAGGAACCCCTCTTCCTCTATATGCCTGTCAACAACATACGAAAGAGCAATCTCGTTCACGAGAGCCGGCATCGTCAAGATCGTTGTGGGAGAGGAGTCATCCCCAAAGCAGAGACTCACAGTCGACAGCGTCTCAAAGCTACGCTCAAACGCCATAGTCCTCATCTTCACCAGCCACACCTGCCCCTCTTCGTCGGAGACGCCGAGCGTGTCCGGTTCACCCGGGTAATTAAGCATTCCGCTGGCAGCAGCCGCCCACGCCTTCATGACCTCTTGGGCGTAGGCCGGGCAGATGACTGTAACGTGGGACGCAGAGCGGGAGTCATGGCCGTATGCTATCAGCGCCGCGTCGCCGCAAACAGCGTACTGAACGTGTGAGAAGGTGCTCCCAAGGCGGTGGAGGACTTGATGGGTTGATGCTAGGCTTATGTCGGGTCTGGGAATAGAGGGGCTGGGGGCCTGTAGGTACGATTCTGCTGGAGATTGGGGGTCTGCGTTGGCTCTGTAGGGACATGATGCACCTGGTTTATTATAGCGCAATGGCTGATTACCACTTTGGTTTGACGTTTGCGAGGGAGAAGAGGCCATGTTCCTGGCGGGATCGCGGCAGCGGCTGAATGGACGTTCCAAAGCTTCGATGATATGGAATCGACTACTGCGCCGGCAAGATGCCTTGTCTATAGAAGTTGGTGGACTTTGAAGCGGGAAATCGAAAACATCTGTCGTAGAAGCTGTCCGCCGTGTGCGGTTTCTCGAGAAGCGGAGGCGGGTCGACACAGGGAATCGGAAAGCAGACCTCAAACTAGAGCTCTTGTCACTTTGGCAAGACTTCACGCCGTGAGGCCACAATACGGGGAGGCAAGGAGATGATGTTGACATGAAAGTGGGAAGTGGATAGACTTGATAACTAGTCTTCTTGGTTTGCCGCCAGCTAGAGCTTAGGACGAGGTGAAGCTGAGCTTTTATGTAGATGCACGGGAATGGCCTCGAAGTGTCAAAACGCTGCGAACAACTTAGTGGTTGATGGGCGACAATGGGATTGAGACTTGGGTCTGTGTTTCTCGGATGTTCTGGGACTGTATGAGAACAATGTAACATAGCATTTCCTTCGCCTTTGAGCACGCGGCAGTGCTTGAAGCTCCATGGATCAAGAGGCAACAAAGGCGGCGTTCCCCGTTGCCTGGTGTAACTTGAAAAGACATATTTCCAATGAAAACTGAGGCAGGGCCCGAGGAGGAGTCGACACTAGGAAAGTCGTACGGCTAAAGCTTCAATCATGTCATAGGCCCACGTTATTGAGTTCATAGTCGTCTTATGCCTGGCGGGTACTCTAGATGTTGCGTTCCCATCCACCTAAACGCCTAATCGTACAGTGCTGGCAAAGTTCCCGTATCCCGCCTTAGGCCGTCCCTGAAGCATGGCCCTTAACCCCCTCACAACTCCTCTTCCACATCCATGGAGTCACCGTTTGATTGATCCTTACCGCCTGTCGGTCCGTCCTTCTTAGGCATCGTCGCTTCCTTGTCGATCATCTGTCTCGAGACGGACACAATGTTGTCCTCAATCAGCTGCTGACCAACGTCCTCCAAATGCTTCTTGGGGTCGAGCTTGCCGACATAGCGGGTCTTGAGCTGATCCTTCGTCAGTTCGGTTTCTTCCTTGACGCGCTTCTCGTAGCCTTCCGCAAGGCTGACGAGGCGCTCCAAGCGCTCCTTGTTGCAGTCGCCCTCGTGTCTGAAGTCGTTCATCTCCAACGCCTCGGTCCAAACGTGCTTGTGCAGGTTCATGAGCATGTTCTCCTCGAGCGCCGTCTTTCGGTAGTTGATGCCGATGGAGTAGTAGTGTCTGTTCAGACCGTGAATGAGGGCCTGGATCGAAGGTTTGTTGAGGTGGCCCAAGTTACTCGTGCTTTGCCGGGGCTCTTGACCCAGCATAAGGGACTGAGGGTTGATCAGGCGGAAGGCATCAATGACAACCTTGCCCTTGACGGACTGAATGGGATCGACGACGACGGCGACAGCACGCGGGGTCAGCTGCTCGAAAGACTGCTGGGTGTTGATATCGACGGATGAAAGCCAGCATCCAAAACCAGGATGGGAATGGTACCATCCAACGACGGCCTCGGGTCTGTTTGCAACATATTTGTCAGTGTCTGCGACTGCGATATGGCTCAGGTAGGGATGGCGGGGTCCGAACTCACCTTCCGGTTTGTCTCAACATGTCCATCATCTTCATCTGGAAGACAGGGTCGACGGCCTCTACACTAACACCCGTACCACTTTGGGGCATGGCGAAAACATCCACCACGCGTACCGTGAAGTCGTCGACGAACTCTCCCAGCATCAGACCCATGACTTCCATAGGAACACCAGCACGGCCGTGTCGCAGCATCTTGAGGAGGGCAAGGGAGGAGATGTAGACAGTCTCGGAGTTGTCGATAAGCTGTGTGTTGTCCTGGAGTGCCGCGTCAGTATAGGTTTGCCAGGGTGTTGACAATCGGAGCTGTCAAGGCAGCTCGTCGAGGTGGGATGCTCTTACCGTTCCGGGTTGGCTGCCCAGGCCACCGAGGCCCTGTGACTGGAGCATGTTCCTGAAGCGCTCCATTGTGATGATGTGGTCGGTGGTGAAGAGTGAAAAATGCGATAGTGAGCTGGCGTCGTCAAAATGCTGTCGGTGAGGGAGGTGTGCGCGGCGGTTTGGAGGGGTGTAGGTTGAGGTGATGGAGGCAGATGGAAGCAGCTGGGTCGTAGAGTTGAGTGGTGTTGACGACAGCTCTGAGCAGCCTGGCGAAAATGGTCCCGGCGCGGAACTAGCCTGGTCCGGTACGTACTATTTCTGTGCCTGGCTGACAAACAGTCACGTGCTTGACGTTTGGTATCAGTGCGGGAAAGAGCTTCCTTACCTCAAAATCTCAGGGCTATCCAACTTAGATTGATTTTGTCCTATATTATATCAAATTGAGACTAGGTTAAGTATTTAAAAGGAGCCTTGGTGTTGATTGTCCCCCTTACTCCTTGCTGTGAGTATACGTTTGACGACTTGTCAATTGTGCAGCTTGAAATGTTGAGGTGTGAGAGGTCAAGCCATATATGTGCCGCATTCGGCTAGCCTGAGCTTCCGGGGCTCACCAGCCACAGTCCAGCTCCCCTCCACTGCGTTCAGTCTCGAAGGATGAATTCATCATCTAATTACCATTCGTCGAGCTCCCAGTATGGCCGACTTCTTTTAGTCGGGGCTTCGTACTAGAGAAGAAGCCCACAAGATACGATGAGCGGGATATTTAAATTTCAGTATGGTCATTTCGAGCGATGGGAATCTTAAGTGTGGTCTCCGTCCAAATGACAAATCGACGTCACCGAAACCCCCGGCAAAGATGTTTACGCCCCATAGCATCCACTCAACTTCGCACCCTGCCGCAAGTCCACGTCAAGGATTAGGATTTGTCGTCTTCCATTTACTAAGACCCTCATCAATTACAACCGCATCACTTTACCCCCTCAGCACTGAGGTGACTCCAATATGAACAGTATATCAACGTCCGGTGCCGACTTCAGCGGCCGCTGACTCGATCGGGTAGCAGCTCGGCGCGTATCATGAATCAATGGCCGGCGAAGGATATCCATGTTAGCCCCCAGTTCACCATCTTCGCGCAACAAAGCCGCAATATCGTCACTGAATCCCCAAATGTGTTTAATGGTAGGACGCCCAGAGACCAAACAAGCCACGCCGGATTTGAGTTCCGTAATTCCAAACAAACAGGCAATCCATATGAAGAAAACAACAGACGAGACAAGACACATTCGGAAGGTCTGCCCAGATCAACCTGGTGGGAGAAGACCAGAGCCTCGAGAGCTGCAGGGAACGAAACGTCTAGAAAAGTGTGCTCTCATTTGGGGCATAATGATAGGCGCGACGGTCCCGTACATCGAGCCTCGGTGGTCGGATCTCCTGCGCCGAACCTGCAAAGAAGAACACACCGGACAGATGAGAAAGGATGGCGATTCCCATCGCCGAGCCAAGAAACCATCGTTGTAAGCACAACGCGGCGATGTCACCTTCGAGGTGTCAGCTCGAACCTTGGAGAAAGACGTATCTTGTGATTAGTGTCTCCGCCCACTGTTGAAGAGATCCTCTTGTGACTTGTCCTACTACCTACCGGAGTATCCCACGACGTCATTGTCCTTGGTGGACACAGCGCAGCATCGCGACATTTACGCTTTACAAATTGCGAAAGCCGCGGAACGGAAAGCGAGTCATGTCGAACTCAAAGAAGACGCCCATTCCAAGTGTGCTCGTCGCTCCGTGATCCTGGCACACGCGGCAACTCTGCTCTTAGCCCCAACTCAATCATAAGCGCTCGTGCGGCGCACGATTGAGATCGATGTGCCCTGTTCCCGGGACAGTCAACACTAGACGTTCCCTTGCTTTCTCACTGCCATGCCAATCCTACTTACAGCCTACCTCATTATAACGCGATATTGCAACGTGAATGGTTTCTTGCGATCTCAAGCAGCGACTGCTAGCCCCAGAAGATATGATCTAATATCCTCATTTCTCGCGACATTCAATGTCGCACTTCATTGGCAGTACGTAGCAATCTTCGACTACTGGCCGACAACATCTATATCGGTATAACTCCTTCAGCCACGACGTCACCTGGCCGAGCCTCCTTCGGGGGAGGGGCGAAAGTGAGAAACAGGACGATGGACTCGATAGCGGTGGAAGACGAACAAGCAGCGATTCCAGACATCCCCACCGTGGACCCAAACGAAACGCGACAGCCACTCGTCATCGGCGTGACAGTCACGGCCCTGATTCTTTCGACTCTCGTCACGGCCCTCAGAGTACACGTCCGCGCTTTCCTGCTGAGGAAATGGGGCTGGGATGATTCGGCTTCGGTGGCATCTTCTGTGCGTTTGCAGTACTGAGTTGGCTTCAAAGTCGATCGTTGAACGCTGACCACTCGAAACAAGGTCCTCGTATTCGTGGTTGGGCTTCTTATGCTTATTAGTAGGACGCTTCTTCATGGCGTGAGATGAGAGGTTGTTTGCTGATTAGCTCGGTGATGCAGATACTCACTTCGGCGACGGGTTACACCAAGCCACGCTGCCTAGAGACAAGTTTCTCAAATCTCAAGAGGTACTCCCAGCACAGTCGAAGGCGTTGAGAAGAGAGGAGAAACTTACCTTGTGTCCAGATCGCAATCACAGCCGTCGCCATCTACCAAGTCGTGCGTCTCCCCAGACCGGCCCGATGAGGGCGGCACAAGCTGACTGACTAAACAGGCCTACCCATTGATCAAATCAACCTTTCTTCTTCAGTACCGGCGCGTCTTTCCATTGCCGGCTTTTCAAAAGTTATGTAATATTTTCTTGATCTTTATTGTCGCCTTTGGGATATCGCAGGTGGTTTCAGTCTGTCTTGCCTGTATCCCACTCAGGAGCCTCTGGGACCACACAGTACCCGGCCGATGCATAAGACTTCTCGACTGGTGGATCATCGGGTCATCGATAAACCTCTTCACCGACATCGTCATCTTTGTCATGCCACTACCACTGCTACGGACGATACCCCTGCCGATGAGGCAAAAGATAGTGCTAATGGCAACGTTCGGACTCGGCTTCTTGTACGTCTCCTTTCCCAGTCGTCCGGCGTTCCCGGGTCCTCCGCTGACATGTCTGATAGCACCTGCGCGATCTCAGTCGTCCGCCTCACGACACTAAAGAGCTCATCAACCTCAACCGACGCAACATACAACACCGTCATCGCCGGAATCTGGTCAATAACAGAGCTAAGCTGCGCCATCATCTGCCTCTGCGTCCCGACCCTCCGCCCTCTCCTCGGGGGACAAAACTCAAGGGTGCGACCGCCCTCCTACCTACGACCCAACATCGAAGAGAGCGCCGACACAGAGCTTTACACGCAGTCCGACGGCGACGGCGGGGTGAAGAGCAACACGCGGCGATCGCGAGCAGATTCGTGTGACCACCCGACCAGCGACCACAGGGAGATCCATCACGACGTCGAAGCCGGTGGCGGTGGTCGAGCTCCGCATCCGCGGATAGATCTGAGTGACGTACCCGGGATCCTGCCCCCTCCCGCGGTACACATCACGCCGTACCAGGACTCGCCTTCATACGAAGACTCCCCGCAACGAGAGACGATACCGCTCACGAGAGTCGAAACCGAGGAAGGCGTACGATTTCTAACCGTCGACGCACCCGAAGCAGAACTACCTACGCCGCTGAAGCCTCCGCCGCTACGACATACTGACAGAGGACCGAGCCCGGAGGACGGAGGGTACTTTGGCGCCGTTGTACGTGATGTGTCGGGCCAGCCGCGGCTACCTGGTGTGTCTCCTGTGGCATCGAGGAGCAGCTTGGTTCGGGATAAAGGCGATTCTGACAGACCTAGCTAGCTGCCAGGAGTCACGAGGACCGACGCCGGGTTGCTTTTTGGGCGTTTGGATGTTTCGATGATGGCAGGGATGCTCAATGATATCATAATAGCAAGAGTATGGCGTTTCGGTATAGATTAAAGGCGGTGCAACAGAAGTTTATGAACCAAGGATTACGAATAATTGACACCAATGACTGTGGATGGCTCTTTGAAGAACATGGGATAACTCTCGAACTTGCAGACAAGACAATAGAAGCCAGGACACAAAGTAGTGGGAAGCCAACTGTTGTCTTAGACGGGTGTTATGGTGCGGAACATTGTGTCAACATACGAGGGCTGGATGCGTTGTGCAACAGAATCAGAGTTGCTCGCTCTACCCCATGAGAGACACTGGAAAGGCAGTGAGATAGTCCTTCGGTCGGTCCTCGCCAGCACAATTCAACATCCATCTCTACCAGCCCACTTATTCTGAGGAATATAGCATCGCTCGGCGGAAAGGAACAATCTGTCACATATTACTCAGTGTAAATAAAATCGCTACTGACAAGGCACCACCACGCCTTGGCTATCTATAATACAGCCGACGATTTCCTCCCGCCGGTACAATACTTTGCAAGGAGTGTATGAGAGTATCACTAAAAAACCACAAACAAACAACAATCCCAGAGTTCCATGCTCAGAAAATTCCTCAAAACCTGTCCTTGAACGCCCGATACTCTCGCACTCCTCCCGCGAGCCTGCTGACTTGAACCCAACGTTGCGTCATTGGTGGTGTGCTGCATCTCTGCCATGGCCACCGCGGAAAAAAAGGAATAAGGGGCCTTTCGTACCACTATTCCTTTTTGGCTTCCTCTTCAGCCGGCTTTTCGTCAACATCCATCTTGTCCACCTCGGGCTCAGCAGCTTTGACCTCTGGTTTCTCAGCGAAGTCCTTTTCTTTCTCGGGGGTAGCTGCTTTGGCTTCAGCAGCTGGTTCTTCTGCTGCGACCTCAGGCTTGGACTCGTTGGCCTCGGTGACGTCTGCCTCCTTACTTGCTGCCGACTCAGTCTCCTTAGCAGGTTCCGTGGTAGCGTCGGTGGCTTCGGTTATCTCTGTCGTTTCTGTGACAGGAGGCTCAGCTGCAGGCTCGGCGGAAGGCTGGCGCGAAGGCCTCTCCGCCTTTTCTTCCTTCTCGGCTACCTGAACAGGTTCTGCCTCAACTTCTTCCTTCTTGATTGTAGTCGTGCCCTCCTCAACATCCGCTCCATCTTCCATGCCGACATCACCATCCTCGTCGACAGCATCCTCTTTCGAGGCTTCTGGGGCGGCCTCCTTCTCTGGAACTGACTTGTCTGACGTGTCTTCGGGTTCGGCGGGGTTCTCAAGAGTAATGTCGGCATCCACAATCGGCTCAGCGTTGGGGGCTTCTTCACCCTCGGGGACACCATTTACGGGTGAGGGCGCACCGCTGTCGACCTCGCCTTCAGCTTGCCGGTAGTCACCAAAGGTGCGCTTCTTGGCATTCCGAGGGCGCGTCATGCCATTGGCCTGATCCATATCTTCGTCATCGCTGTCCTCGAACTCGGCTTCGTTACGGGTGCGCTGGTCCCATCGGCGTTGTGTCATTCGATCATCTGCGTGTTCGTCTTCGTCCATATCGTTTAGCTCGGCTTCTTCCTCGTCCGTCATGCCACCAAAGGGTTGGCGAGGCACATCTTGCATCTGAACCGAGGGGGCAGGCTGGGTATGTCTTAGGTTGTCGATGACAGCGGCCTTGATCTTCTCCAGATATTCGAAGCTGTTCGAGTTCTCCATATTCGATGGGCGCACATTCAGTTCGAAATCGGGGGCATAGTACTAAGGTAGGATCAGTCAACCGTTTTTGGCCAGTCACAAAGCGAGAAAAGGGCCTACTTCATAATATTCGTTGTAAGGAAGCGTCTTAGGCAGGTGCTTGCCAACGAGTACACCAGTTTCAAATGCCCATGTGCGAGCCACGTTGCGCATGGTGTATCCACCACCTCCCAAAACCAAGGTCGGCAAGCCGAAGCTCTTGACGTACCCCACACAGTTGGCGTGGCCCTCCATACTGAGGTTGAAGCAACCCAAGCGATCGCCGGACAAACTGTCGCCGCCACACTGCAGTACAACAGCTTCGGGTTGATAGAACTTCATGACGTGCTCGATGACCGGTTCGAAAATTGACTTGTACGAGATGTCGTCGATACCATCGCGAAGAGGAAAGTTGACAGCGTAATGCTTGCCGGTGCCGATACCAATGTCGCGCAACTCTCCGGTACCAGGGAAGTATTCGCCGTATTTGTGGAAGGAAACGGTCATGACTCGGTCAGTCGTGTAGAATGCTTCTTCGACACCGTCGCCATGGTGGACGTCGATATCGATGTAGAGGACGCGCTTCTTAAAACGCAGCAATTCGAGGATGCCGAGGACAATGTCTAGAGATGATTAGCAGGCGATCTAGGAAAGAAATTGTCACTGAACGGAATCTCCAGTACCGTTGACGTAGCAGAAACCACTGGCCTCGCTCTTTTTGGCGTGATGAAGACCACCGGCCCAATTGACTGCAATGTCGCACTTTTGACGATTAAGACGGGCGGCACCCTCCATGCTACCGCCAGCGCTGATGCCACAGAACTCGAAGAGGCCGTCAAAGACGGGACAATCATCTCCGACATTATATTTCCCCTGTTCCTTCTGGTAGGCGTCCATGTTGTCGGGAGTGACCTTCTGGAGGAAGTCGATGTACTCGTCTGTGTGGAACTGGGTCATCTCTCCCCTCGTCGCAGGTTTCGCGCGCTACATTCGATGAGTTAGTAGCTACCCAGTCGCGAGGACTGAGATACAGAACATACATATATCTCCATGTTCTTGAATAAATCGTAGTGCATGATCAAGCTGTGTGCGAGGCGTATGCGATGGGGCTTCATGGGGTGACCGGTAACATAGGCATAATTACCAATGTCGGAATCGTAGAAGTAGGCGACTTTCTTCGGCGTCGCAGAGCCATTGGCCAAGGCCACCGAACCGAGTTGTGACATTGCGTCGGTCGGCGATCTATTCGCGATGGTGATGTCGTCGGCTAGGTGTATATGGGGACCGGGCAAAACCGATTGGGGTGGGTGGTGGGAGGGAAGGATTGGGAAAAAGGTCTCTGATCGGCTCGGCCCCAGATTTCCCAAGGCTGCGCGGGACACAGGCGACAAGCCAATCAGCAGGTGCGATGACATACAAGGGTACCTGAGTGGAGACCCACCACAGTCCAATGAGGTTGGTGCACGCGGATTCCGGCAGAACTGATAGTCCGTTATGAACCCGCTCGGAGGCGGCAAGGAACGGCTTCGCCGGGTATAGGTGGGTCGACCCGGGGGTTACCCGGCGTACTGTGGGGTTGAAAGCCGGAATACGGTCGACGGAGCCCGAGCCAAAAACGTGACTGAGAATTGCCTCCCAAAATACAATGACTATGTCTAAGGTGAATCTTGGAAGGATCCAAGATCGTCAAACGGGGCACTAGGCACACTGCTGCTTGTCATCACATTCGTTCTTTTCCCGATTCCTCGATGCTAACTGCCACGGACTAAATGCACGCAGATGAAAGCCGCAGGGTCTCTATTTTGGGTACAATTGAAGTCAGATTTCTTAATACGATGGCCGCTTTTCACTCCATGAAGGACAAGTCCAATCGGGGTTGTGCAATTGATTGCGGCTGAAGCCAGAGCAATGAGATGAGAGTGAGACTGTGTACTCAAGGTACCTAGATAAACAACCATTACGGAAAGAGTTTGATCAATGGCCACTAGAGATACGCCCTCGGGATAATCCATCAGGATCCTTACGAGCCCCTCTCTCATAATCAACTAACGACGAGGCAGGCCTACTGCTTTCCTTTCAAATTCAATGGCACCTCTTACTTTCAACCATTTCTGCTGATACCCATTTGTCGACCCTCCTTAATCATCGTCTCCGTGGTCACCATGATCTGATTCTGATGACTTCCCTTAATTCTTCGATCTCTGTGGCCCAATTCCGGGTCGGCCGTGATGTGTGCGTAGACCGAAGGCATGCTACCTGACTGACTGGCGTTCATGTCTTCGAGGACGGGCTCTTCGGTGCTAACTTCGCGTTGTCCACTCTTGAGCTCCTTGAATGTTCCGCGTCCCATGCCCGAAGAGGGACCGTATCGATGGTACGCACTGGTCTTGGTGTGCGCGGACGAGAGGCCCGCACCCGGAAGCCACTTGGCGAGAAGGGGTCGGGTGGTCGGCAGGGAGGCGCATATTGTCACGAAACAGGAATGGTATCAGCACTTGTCAAGCATCTTGCCACGTGCTTTCTCACGTGGATATCACACTCTCTTAGTATATAGACTGCTCTCATGTGCTCATTCTAGATGGGTTACTTCAAGCCACTTTAACCCACTTCATATGCCCATTGCTGCGTGCCATAACTCGTGACACATATGATGGAGGTGTTGAGCTCGATGGCGGACCAGATTGCGGCGCCGATATTTTCCCACGGCGGTTTATTGCTGGAGACCGCTGTGCGGAGAGTGAACATGCGATAGACTGAGATAATACAGACACTGTAGCGAGATCCCGAAGGTCAGCCTATAACCCCGAATGAAGCCACAAAGCTGGCTGTACTAGTGTAAGGTAGGAGGGTAGAGGGAAAGGTGGAAAGGAGTTTGCGGGGTTGCCACTCACAAGAAGCCAAGACAGAAGATACCAAACAGCATAGCCTTCTGCTTTCTTGGAAGTTGAAGCCTCAGAACAGAGGGCAAAGGGATGCAGAAGATCATGAAATTGGTTGCTAGGCTCATAGCCGATGAAAAATACCAGATGGGTAGGGTGTCGAGACAGAACCCGGCGGTACTGGGCACGATGATGGCCATGGGCAGGCAAGAAAGCCCGAGAAGGGTGGCCTGGAAACACGCCCAGACCACTACGTATACCATTGCCCAGAAGCAGACTCTTTGGACAACTTTCGAGACAAACACACGCCGATACTGGAGCAAGAAGGACACCTTGACGACATTCATTCCCGTATTGTAATGGAGAATGACAATGAGAAGATACTACATCCTTCTAAGTCAGTGGTCCTTGAACAGTTGTTCGGTCTGGTGCTGGTGGGGGCCTGGAAGATGTGCAAACCTTCAATTGCTCCATGGTCTCCTCTGCTGAAACATTTCAACATGTCTGCCCATGCCATATTTTACTTCTATGGAGCTCGACAGTGTTAACATATTGCCTCGGTGCACTGCTTGGGGTTGACATCGGAGCGAAACGTACCAAAGACTGTGCCAATTCCGACCACAAGAGCAAACAGCTTGCCAACATGTTAACATCGCTGTAAAATGGTAGAATAATTCCAGTCTCTCTTACCATGGCGATCAACATAGTCCAGTCATTTTTTCCAGCGGTTTTCAGGAGAACTAGGCGAGTATAGAGCCGAAGTGAGAGGACCGCGGCCGAAGCAACAACAAATCCAATGGCGATACCATTTACAAGAGGGCCATTCGACTCGGCTTTAATATCTTGGGTTTCATTGTCGGCCATGGCTGCGGGAGATGTTTGCCAACAGGTCGGTCGGAACGAGCAGCGAAGACCAAGGACACTGACCGATCTTGATCGGAGACTCCCGAGAGGATGGGCAGATCGGCCCTCGAGAAACAACTTTATGATATATTTTTCCAAGGATGAAAAAGAGGAGCAAACTGTAGGCGTACTGAAGCTCGAACGGCTTGAACGGATGCCATTTCGTGCAGGAGGCGGGACGTGTGTGACTGTGACCAACTCTCCGCTGTAGCGAGGCTCAAGAAAGACTGGTCCGCTGGCTGCAGGGGTGGTGTCTGTGTTGCTGAGATAGCAGAGATCATTGAAAAAGGAACATGCAGGGTCCGTTAGAGGAAGTTCGTCTCATCAATGTTGCCTGGTAGGGTGACAGTTAGTTCCTCGATACCATGGCCAACAGACCAAAAAAACCAAGAAAGACTGACGAAAGGTCCCCCCGTTGCAGGTGGTGCCGTCTATGGTAGCTTCAATGGATTTAGCCACCGCAGAAACCCGACAATTACACCACAACTGATACCCTTGCATCGAACATGGTTCTTTGCTTCCATCGCGGCCGGGCGGGTCTTGCTGTGCCGGAGCGATGCATGTTTAGTCCTAGAAAGGGATGATATCTCGGCCCCTGCGTCGCTATCCCGAGGCTTCCTCGCCCCTGGAGCGAGAGATAGGGGGTATGCCGAAGCCTTTCCCATGAGCAAACATCGTGTTAATAATCTCATCAATTCTTTGAATCCGTCATGCTCTGAGATAGCCCAGGGGGTTCATCCTGGAGACCAAGACTGCTCTACTCTAGAAGCCTGAAGACATTGGCGATGGAAGTTTCCTCGTTTGATAAGCCCCTTCATGCTAAAATGTGATTCAGTATCTTGACTTCTCAAGATCATTCAGATATCTATCACAAAGCGAGGTAGCAAGTGGAAGACTTGTATGGTAGAAAGTGGCTTGATTCCTCTAAGTGGAAGACCCGTATGAGGGTCCTATCTATATAATACCGTACAAGACGGGTAATCGGCTTGTGGAAAGCGGTATCGTACGGCAGTAACCGGCAGCGCCACGTGTGGCGCTGCGACAATATCTGATATGGGAATCCTGCTTCGCGTGCAAGTTTCTAGTTGAGACATGTCGTCTTGCGAGGGAAGTGGCACGGACGAATTGTGCCCACATCATCGACACGAGCAAGGGCTCCGCGCCATGCTCAGTGCCAAGCTGGTTGGATCACTGTCAACTGAAGAAATGGTAGCACTGTCCGGGGAACGTTACCCCACCTAGGCCTTTTCGTAGTGTTCCGCGGAAGATGTTGTCCTTGGCCCCCGTTCCAAGGGTACAAATGCACTACACTAGCAACGGGCATGCAGCGATGGCACTTCCCTAACTCTGGTTGTGGTGTTGGTGTCCCGGCTTGGCTGTTGGAACCAATCGTTAGGTAAAATATCTGCAATATCCAGGCTAGGACCCTGGCCCTGGAAACCGGGTCAAGTTACCAGATATGGATAGAGAAAAAACGGCCCTCGTAAAGCAGGGGACTTGATCATTCTGTATGGCATGAACTTAGCCTAATACGCATAAACTGTGATTATTCTTTGGACAGTCTGCTGAAGAAATGCAACGGCATCACAAGACCTGAAAGGACAGCATGGGCGGAAATTTCACTTGCATCAAAGCAAAGACTCGATCTTCTGGCGCAGTCATTCAAAGTGAATGGGCATGGTACTTATGTGAGGTAGGACGTAACATCATATGAGGGGAAGTCTTTCCCCGGACCCGCCTTTTCAGGATCGAACGGCGGTAAGTCCGCATCCGCTAGCCAGACCTTAGTATCAATCTTATTCGAACTGCTTGCGCATCCAGCGCCAGGGCTTGTGGGGAGAACCACCAAGTCCCAACGCCGCCTTGTGGGCGGCGGGCGCTTTTCCCCACTACAAATCGGTCCCACTGGCAGGGTCCTTCCGGAATTGCAAACCCAATTTTCTACGGCGTTCTGGCATTAAAGAGCTGCTGTGTTGTTTGCCCTGACATGATGTTTGTGTTGGAAGAGGCGCACAGATGAGCGGGACGCTCTCGGGGCCACCCGCCTACTCTCGGATCATTCCCGTGGATGGGACTAAGAGCACAAAGCCAAGACTCCTATTTCTGTGGCAATTCTTGTCAGACGAACCATGACTTCTCAGAGACCATCGATGGTTGGTTGTTCAAGCGATACCTGTCCCGGCGTTCTTTGCACTACCTATGTCGGCCATCCAACCTGCTGGCGTTGGAAATACAACACAGCCTACCATCATGAGCATGATCTTTTGATTACTTGATTCGTTCGTATTTTGAATCGATCCCACAATCATACCATTTCGTTATAGCATGCGCGATTAAGTTACCAGATACGGTGTAGCAAGGCCATCGTCTCCGGGCACACTCAACTGAGCACACCCAACTGAAAAATCAAGCCGGGACTAGGGTCAACTTACCCTGTCTTCGTCCGTACCATTCCATGGTACGTACACGCAAGAGTAAGTAGTTTGCGCTTTTCATTGCGCGTCAAGATTGATGGCTGAGCACTCATTCCTGGTTGGTCAACGTCGCATCCGAGATTTCCAGGACTCTGGAATGTTGGTTCAGGATTGTGTTTTCCATCACCCAGGATCTGGGTCGCGGGCTTCGGTCCAGCAAGGGCACGCATGAATAATCTCTGCGTAATGCGAAAAAGCGGAGGATTTCCTACGCCTAGAAGTTTACTACGCAGAAAGAGGTGAGCTCCCCGGTTAAGAAACCAGAGCTTGGGAGTTGCGTGAGGGCCGCAGTTACAAAATAAGGCGATTTCCCGCCTAATAACCGTCTCTTCAGCACCACCAAGAATCGACACTTCGTTGATCTCAGTCAAGTGAACGGCTTCCCTCGTTATTCTTCCACTACACAGTATGTCGTTTCTCAAGGCGTGGCCAGTGCTGGTCCTGCTCAGTGCTGTTTCCTGCACTTCTGCTCAGTCCTACGACTACGTGAGTCACAACTCACGTCAAGCTTCCCGAGGAGGTACTCGTGTATGCTTACACAAGAGGATAGATCATCGTTGGCGGTGGCACTGCAGGTTCCGCTCTGGCGACTCGCCTGAGTCTTGGCCTCCCTGATGCCCAGATCTTGCTTCTCGAGGCTGGCCCATCTGCTCTGGACGAGCTCCGTATCAACGTACCTGGTCTGAGAGGCTCGATCTTGGGGACGGAATATGACTGGAACTTCACGTCGATTGATCAGAGTGCTCTCGGCGGTCGCCAAATTCCCGTCAACCGCGGCAAGGTTCTGGGTGGCTCGTCTGCCATGAACTACCTTTGCTATGACCGTGCCGCTGCCGCCGAGTACGAGGCCTGGGGTGAGATGGGCAGCGAAGGTTGGTCGTGGGATGTCATGATTGAAGCCATGACCAAGTCGGAGAACTTCACTGGCTCCGACAAGAACCCTCGTGGTCGCTCCGGCCCCATCCGTAACACCTACAACCGTGTGGTCTACGACGTCCTCAACACATGGCAACCAGCCGGGACGGAGCTTGGTCTTCCCATCAACGAGGAAGGAAACATGCATGGCAACCCCATTGGCATCATGTTCCAGGGCACCAATATCGACAACACCGACTACTCCCGGTCTTACAGTGCCAACAGCTATCTTCCACTTGCGGGTTCGAACCTCGCGGTGAAGACCAATGCCCAGGTCGTCAAGGTCAATCTCAACAAGACTTGCGACGACGATTATGCTGCCACCGGTGTGATCTTGGCTGATGGGACGGTCTTCAACGCTGCTAAGGAGGTTATCCTGTCTGCTGGTTCTATCCAGAGCCCTGGTCTGCTCGAGTTATCTGGTATCGGCCAGACAGCTGTGATTGAAGCGGCCGGTGTTGAGCCGCTTATCGACCTGCCCGGCGTCGGTGAGAACTACCAAGACCACATCCGCACTTCCAACGTCTATCGTCTGAAGGATGAGTTTGACTCTTTCGATGCGCTCATCTTTGACTCTAACGGTGCCAACGCCACCGCTGAGCTGCAAAAGTGGATCGACGGCGAGGTGTCTCTCTACGACTACACAACCGCGGCTTATGGGTTCCTGCACTGGGGTCAGATCGATAGCCAGGCTCAAGCCGAGATCATCGCGCTGGCAGAGGCGGAGTTCGGCAACAGCACCAACCCCATCGACAAGAAGAAGCTCGAGTTCCTGAAAGACGACTCCGTCCCAGACTATGAGCTCATCTTTGACGCAAACTACGTCGGCGCGGCTGGGTACCCTGGTTCCGGCAAGTTCATCACCATCTTCAGCACCGTCATGCACGCCTTCAGCCGGGGTAATGTGCACATTGATCCCGCGAACCCCACTGGCAAGCCCATCATCGACCCTAAGTTCCTGAGCAACGAGCATGACATCAAGGCCGCCGTCGAGGGTGCCAAGTTCGCGCGCAAGATTGCCGAGGCGGGACCACTCAAGGCCGTCTGGGATGTTGAGACAGAGCCTGGCCCGGATGTTCTGACTGACGATCAGTTTCGCGAGTTCGCTGTCAACACGGTTACGAGTTTCTATCACCCGGTCGGAACCTGCTCTCTTCTCCCCAAGGCTGAGGGTGGTGTTGTGGACGCTGATCTGCGGGTTTACGGTACTCAGAACTTGCGAGTAGTCGACAACAGTATTGTTCCCATTATTGTATCTGGTCACATCCAGACAGCTGCGTACGGTGTTGTCGAGGTAGCGGCTGCTAAGATTATTGCGAGTGCTATATGATGGGACTCGTTCATTCCGGGATTTTGGGCAGCTTCTCATCTTTGCCTGAAAGGAGATTCATCAAGTTATCAATTTGGGCCGCGCGCAGAAAGCACGCGAACCTGAAAGCCAAGGCGAAAGGAACAACACAACGAGCAGTATCACTTGGCCCGCAGACCCAGAGGCCGTCTCAGTTTGTTGGAACAGCAAAGGCTGATAAGGAGTAATAGGCAGGTATCATGGGCTGGCTGGCACCTGCCCTGGGCGAAGTGGGACAACTGGCTTAGTCATCACGGCCGGATAAAGGTGGGACAACCACCCAGGCCGTCACTACCTACTTCGACCGACTCCTGCCTACAATGTAAGATAGAACAGGAAGAAGAACAAGCAATAGGATCACCAACAGACGAGTGATAATTGCTACCACTATTTGTCGTATACGACCCCGTGAACCAACACAGACTTAACATGTTTGTCCTCACTGTCAATCTTCTGGGTCTCAGTTCTGAATCTCTCTGACGCCTGGAGGACCTGGTCAACAAGGAACTCGTCCCGTACCGCTCTTCCCCGACGGACACTAGGTCTTAGCCCAATGACTGACCATGCAAGCTTCGGAAACCCAGTGATTGCTACGCCACCAACATTTTCTGCCGACTGCAGCGTTGCATCCAGGACAGGATGGATAGGCGCAACTGGAAAGTCCAACACTTCAGTGCCGAGTTCTGAGTTCTGTTTGGCCCAAACGTCGGCAGCGGACATCGAAGCCAGCAATTCAACTTGAGGAACAAGAGTCCTCATCGGAGCAGCATCGCCGAACCCGAAGTCTAAGACAGCGTCTAGAGCAGCGTAGAAGACATCATGCTCTGCAGAAAAGGCGCTCCCGTCAGCCAGCTGCGCCTTCCTTTTCCAGAGATCCAGAAGGCGCAAAGCACTTTTGTAGATGTTAGGGGCCGCGACTCTATGAAGAAATGCTGGCGTCATCAAGTCCTGAAGTAAACGGCGTTGGGCCTTCCAATCCGGCCCGGTCTTCAAAGTAATGTGTCGCAGCGCCACACGTGGCGCTGCCGGTTACTGCCGTACGATACCGCTTTCCACAGCCGATTACCCGTCTTGTACGGTATATCCCATCGAGTGCCAATTGGCAACAGGTACATGCCCTTGAGGGGAACTGACCACTCAGGAGACAGCCAAGACTTCTTCTAGCCAACCAAAAAGCCTAGATTATGGATACTTCTGTTGTCTATATACTCTGACTATGAAAGAGGTACCAGCAATCATCCGAGTTACAAAGCGCTACTCCACACTGCAGGCACCCTGACCTCGTCTTTTTTCTGTGGGATCGTGAGTGTTGTTGAACAGGGCCTCGTACTGCGGCTTCATTGGTCCACTGTACCCACGATTCAACCAGCCTCAAAGGCACATACTGCTGAAAAAGCTCTAAAGGGGTAGTAGATAGACCCCGTACTGTTGCGGCGCGGTAGGGCACGTCGAGGGGGTTGAATTGGCCCGGTGTGCCCCTTTCTAGCGGAGGCGATTCGTGTGGGCGTACAGTTGCGTTATCACACCTCTCGGGCCTACATTGAGCTGTACAGGCGCTATCAAGGTCTTCGGGAAGTACTGCGACGGTGATATGTGAAAGCGCTGACGAATCAGACGCATCAGAGTCGCTTGAGGACATCGCGACAGTTGCCCATCTGTAGAAATGTTAGTTGTGGTGGTGAACGCAGCTGGGAAAATATAGGGGTTGATGACGTACCGTCATGTATTCCCGCGGTGAGGGGGCAAAGGTGGGTCAAAACTGGGCATAATGTACCTGTTGCCAATTGGCACTCGATGGGATAGCACGATGCACATAGGTCTCTATAGTCGCAAATATACACGCACTTCAACAAATAGAAGGGATACAAGGATTGAAGGCCGGTGATGCGATAGCTTGTGCCTGGATATCCCATCAACTGCTCTTCGCGTCACCACATCCGTCTCCAGTCTTTCTCTAAGTTTGCTCCATTTCGAGATTATTATAACGTACCAAAACGCTCCACCTTAACCTCAACCTCCGCCTATTCAAGGCCCAAACTCAGGGAACGCTGGTACTCTATACGGGATATAGTTACCTTTTCTATTATCCTGTTTTTTACCATCCTCTTTTCATCAACCAGCTTCTATACCGATGCGAACTTTTTAGTCGAAGAATTAAAGTAATGGACTATGCGAAGAAATGGACGAGGTTAACATATTCTACGCGTCAGAGAGTTGAAGAACTAGACAGGAGTCGGAATTCATGCAACTGAGACGCGACTGTAAAAGCAATTGATACATTCATGTTACGGCCAGCTAGTCGTAGGGGTAGTTTGCAGAAGTTGAGGCTGCGGAACTGGTAACAGTAATCGTAGTCGTGGAATAGTTTCAAGGAAACTATGTCTGTCAATCGTAAGGGTAGGTAAGGCTTCGGTGATCAATCGTAGTCTTGTCAAGGTAGTAGCTGAAAGCGGATGTTAATCCTGATACGAAGTTAATTGCTGAAGAAGCTATGGGAAGTCTGTCCTAGAGCCCGGCTCGAGTCCATCCTATATACAAGTCCTGATCCTGAACATATCCTTTGTTGCCTGATCACCATGTTCGTTGGTGATCACTAAGTGGATACTGGTGAGCGCTCACTTTGGTGATGATGATGATGATGATGTATTTAACGTCTGGTAACAAAAGGACGTGCCGGGCGCTATGCCGACATAGTCTATACTAATCTAAACTATATTACAGGCTACCGTCTTCACCTAACGTTCCTGTTCAATAACTCGGGCAAATTTCGGAAAAGAAATTGGTCTCCTCTATCCATTCGCATAGAAGAGAGGCTCCCTTAGCAGAACCTAACAAGAAATCAATGCTTGCTTTGGCCATACGTTGGCGGAGGTAGCGCGGTGTAGCCTTACGTCCACGCTTGCAGAAGTAGAAATGGACTGGTGTCTTAGGTTTCCCACAGCTGCAGTTGAGCAACGCATCTTGATGAGCGAATCTCTCGTGGTATGCTGCAAAGTCTCCATGATGGGATCTTGCTACGTATAGCCTTCCTAGTAAGTGCCGAGGGAGGCGGAGTTCGGGCGGCTTGGGATGAAGAATTATCTCGAGGTCGGCATATGGCCGAGGGCATTGGGACAGCCATTTTCTGGCAAAGGCTTGGAAGGCAGCTGCTTTAGCTTGCCTTTCTAGGTGCGCTAATGAGGGCTGTGGTTGTGATTTTGGGATTAGTTTGCAGGCTTCCTTGGCTAGAGCATCCGCTTCTTCATTTCCTGGTACTCCCGTGTGCCCAGGGCACCACCAAACATAAACCCTGCCGGGGGTTGTCCAGCTCTCTCTTTGTCTCCGAGTCCAGGAGGAAGAGAGGCTATTGAAGGCCCTAAATCTAGCCTGGCTGCTTCCTGTGCTCTGGGAGTGCTCACTTTGGGTGATCACTGTGATCACCTTATCGTGTGCTCACTTTCCTTATCGTCACGTGACTTGTTCCATAGTTCTTCCGTTCCATGAGGAGTCACCTGCACCTGAGTTCCCGGATTCTCTGCGTATATCAGGTAGATAGCCGCCGCAGGCCTGTGGGGCGGGCCCCCCTGGCCTTGTTATGCATGTTGGGTTGTAACAATTCACCGCGTGTAAGCTCTATTCCTACAATTATCATGATAATTACTGTTACTATTGTTGTTCTTATAGTTATCCGTATTGTACTTGCCTAAATATATTCTATACGGAATATACGAAAAGCAAAAAGTTTTGTCCTAAACCTGTAAGGTTTTGATTGATTTGAGGCTGACAAGATTTAATATCTAGTTGGCCCCTCACAACAACCAGAATCACAAGGCCCTTCGGGGCAACCAGATCTTCCAGAAGGATGAGATCTTCTTGGTCCCTTCCCCCGCCGTCACCGGCGACGTGTAAGTTTCACCATCTTCCGCGATTCATCATGCAATCAACATTCAGTTCATGATGCTAAGATTCTATCTATATTTTAGTCCCATGGGCGATAAGAACTGTGTTGGTTCACGGGGTCGTATACGACAAATAGTGGTAGCAATTATCACTCGTCTGTTGGTGATCCTATTGCTTGTTCTTCTTCCTGTTCTATCTTACATTGTAGGCAGGAGTCGGTCGAAGTAGGTAGTGACGGCCTGGGTGGTTGTCCCACCTTTATCCGGCCGTGATGACTAAGCCAGTTGTCCCACTTCGCCCAGGGCAGGTGCCAGCCAGCCCATGGTACCTGCCTATTACTCCTTATCAGCCTTTGCTGTTCCAACAGTCTGCAATCGACTTGATGGTGCGAAGGCTGAACGGGGTTACGGAGAAGGAAGGTCACCTCCTCCCCAACTGGGTTGAAACCATGAGAGCTGAGGTAAGATGAACCAAGAAGTAGAAGTTTTAGATCACTCGCTGACCTGATAATCTTTTAGTCTGCTGGCTTCGTTGTGGCTGGCCATGATACGACGAGCACGACTCTCTGCTGGGGCATCAAGTTCATCGCGGATGACCAAGAGGTTGAGCAAAAACTCTTCGAGAGCATTCGGAGCTTTCACTCCGCAGCGGTCACTGAGAGTCGTCTTCCTACACATTCTGAAATTTGCGACGCGAACATACCGTACCTGGACGCAGTTATTGAGGAGATGCTTCGACTTGCTCACACAGCAGCGAGTCAAGATCGAGAGTGTAAAGAAGACACCGTCATCCTGGGCCATGTCATCCCGAAGGGCACCACCGTTATTATCCCAAACAAGGGTCCAAGCTTTACTGAGCCGGGGTATGAGATTGACGAAGACCTGCGAAGCCCATCTTCGAGAAAAGCAGCCACAGATTTTGGAACGAGGGTCTGGGGCAGCGACGAAATGGGCAAGTTCAAGCCGGACCGCTGGCTTGTACGTGATGAGAAGGGCGGTGATGAATACAATGCTTCTGCTTGACCCACCCTACCCTTCGGACTTGGACTCCGCGGTTGCTTGGGACGGAAGCTGGCATACATGGAAATGAGACTGTTGATCACCGTCTTGGTGTGGTCACTTGAGTTCCAAAAGTGCCCAGAGAACTTGTCGAGTTGTGGAAGTATTACAAGTCTGACGCGAAAGCCTGTTCAGTGCTACGTGCGCTTGAATTTTCGTTGAGATTATTGTATGTTATTATACGCAGAAGGTACTTAGTTACACCACTACGAATACTTGACATATAATCTCGTCTTTGTAATTGAGCTGCTTATCAACATCATATCATCTTGTAGCACTTGACTATCTACGACTCAATAGACTAATACAATCAGCTTATTGAACTAATGTTTGAAAAGGGGAGAGGGGCAGGATCAGGGTAGTTGACATTTGCTAAGATCCAACAATTTACTTGACCCGAAGGATTGGAACTTGTTATTCCACCAAGGTTAAAGAGTTCCCGGCCATGTATCAAAGCAGGTAATGACAGAGTGTAAGCGGTCGTGAATCCGAGAGGTGGGCGGGGGTCGGGCTGGGGTCGGGTTTCGGCTCCGCAGAAACACCCTGGATCCGTCTTTATCCGAGTTCACCAGCCGCTCTCCGATGCCGGTCACAGCTGCCGCTTTTGCCGCTAATCCACTCCGGAACAGCGACAGACCAAGGTATTCGTCTTGGAAACCTCCAGTCGGTTTGCAACTACGATGAGATTTCAACACCCTTTTCTCTAGGCCCGGCTTCGTAATTATGGGCAAGGACGAATCTTCACCGACTCGATTGCCCGTGGTTGAGCCTTTTCCGGCTGGTCCTCGGGAAGCCGACGGATCCAAAGATGAGCGCCAGACTACGGCGCCTTCGTCACCAGAGCCTGGAACTGCGGTTAGAAAATTGCCAGCTATTGATGGAGGAATGGTCGCCTGGCTCCAAGTTTCGTCAGCTTTCGCGCTCTACTGGAACAGTTTGTAAGTCTGTGCCTAATCTTCGTGAGGCTTTGTTCCCCCGACTCCCTAACACCTCAATCACACTTGGCTGACGCCGCTCGACACAGGGGTCTGCTCAACAGCTTTGGTGCTTTCCAAACATACTACGAAACCACACTGCTCAAAAACGATTCATCTTCAGCCATCGCGTGGATTGGCTCAGTCCAAGTCTTCTTCCTCATGGCTGGCGGTGTCATATTTGGCCCGCTCTATGACCTTGGCTACGCTAGATCCATGCTGATAACCGGCACATTCCTTGTCGTCTTCGGCTTCATGATGACCAGCATCAGCACACAGTACTATCAGTTCCTACTTGCGCAGGGATTCTGTGTCGGAATCGGCTCCAGCTGCCTGTACATTGTCGCCATCACCTTGGTTCCTGCCTACTTTACAGCCCGAAGGGCTTTAGCAATGGGGGTTGCAACTGTTGGAAGTAGTCTGGGAGCTACCATTTCTCCTCTTATTTTCGAGAGTTTAAAGCCTCGAATAGGGTTTCCATGGACTGTTCGAGCCATTGGTTTCGTCAACTTAGCCATGTCTTGCTATGCTGTGATAGTGGCACGACCTCGAACCAAGGGCGCCAAAACCCTGATAACAAAGAACAACTCGCTGAAAGAAATCGTCGAAATTGCTGGCCTTCTGAATTCTCGATACATGGTTCAGTGCATCGCCATTTTCTTCAGCAATCTCGCCTTTTTTCAGCCTCTCTACTAGATTCAAAGCTACGCACAATCACACGGTATGGAGGGCGCGTCTTTGGCCAAGTACCTCCTTGTGATACTCAACGCAGTCGGTATCCCTGGACGCATTGTGCCGTCCCTCGTTGCCGATCGATTTGGTTTACTGAATACGTACATTGGAATATGTACCGTGACCGCCATTACCATCTTTTACTGGATCAGCGTGAATAACACTGCCGGGAACATGGCGTTTGCGGTATTGTACGGCTTCTTCTGCGCTAGTGTCGTCACTTTGGCTCCGGTCGTTCTAGCAAGCATAACCGATGATCTTGGAATTCTGGGAACGAGACTCGGTTTCGTCGCTGTATTAAAGGGAATCGGTTCACTCATTGGGCCGCCAATTGCTGGCGCTATTTTGGGATCAACTGGGAGCTATCTCGGTGCCCAGCTATTCACTGGTCTGTCGATGTCGCTCACGGTTGTCTTTGCAGCATATCTTAGAGTCTTGATATCCCGGAGGAAAGTAGAAAGTCTAGAGACTGATTCCTAATGTTTGAAGACAGTTTAGGTAAGACGAGAACCTCTCAAGCTTCTCATTTGAGTATCCGGTACTTTGAGTACTAACTAATATAGTCAGGATAATTAGGAATGTCTCTAGTCTCTTAGTGTCAGTTCAAATTTCAGAAGATAACAGTTGACATGTATTACATTTACTACTTCTGCTGTCATCTTTATCTTTCCTATCTCCTCTTTCGACGTGTATTCCTTCAAGTATACTGATCCCCTAATAAATAATGTGCAGAAGGACCTCATATTCCGAAGGCATGTGCATAGTCGACAGGAGGCAATTTGAAATATCGTGTCGGGACACAGACCAGCCAAGTAGTCATGGCAAAAATGATCATCGTTAACGTCGCAGAAGGGGTCGTAATGCAAACGTCTTAGCTCGCGGAGTCATGATTCTCAGACTACCAGCTGGTAAAGGTCAACACATTCTTAACTCGTCTTGGAGGCAAAGATGAGATCAAATCCGTATTTTTCTTGAATACCTTATTGAATTCACCACGCATAAACCAAGCCTTACACGAGACCATTTCGACTACAAATAAACGTGTACGCCTTACGGAGGGGACGCGACGCCACCCCGAAAGGCCAAGACGAGCGGCCTCGGCCTGCATGCTAGGCAACGTCTTGGTCTCTTAACTTCCTCAAGGTGTCAGGTGTTGGCAACGGCACCCGGTACCGCTAGTACAGTGAGATTAGTGTTATGCTTTTTGTCATGCGTGCAACCCCTCCTTGGATCACGGCCGCACTTCCACCTTCGAGGCAAGGTACCCGGGCTGATGGGTGTGTCGTTGGCGAGTGCCCCATTCAGGCGGCTGGGTGAAGAAATGTAACAGGACTGCGACGGATTGTGGAGTGAGGGTTCCCGAACAGAAACCTCCAGAGCAGCCTGACTTTACGAAATGGTCAGTCCGCATATCGTTTATCCCAGTTCTATTACACCGTAGGCCGAACTTGTTCAACCTCTGGCGTCTTCCAAGCGGAAGAGCAGAAGCCCGCCTGCCCCTACGATCATTCGCATTGTCGCAGCTCAAAAGCCTGTCGTCTAGGATGCTGCGCAAATTGTCGACATGTACATTGGCGAACGCCGAGAGAGCGATCCCAGAATCGCGGATCCAATTAAGCCACCCACACTTTAGGTGGTCTGGAGGGTGGTACCCCGGTCTTCTTCCAGGAAAGATGTTCCGTTAGCGCCGCCCTGTAGGAGCTCCAGTCACAACATTAGCATCGAAGGTCCTCCTGCACCAGAGCCCGATGCGAACTGGCTGGCGGGAGACCTTGCCGTGGAAAGCCTCTCATGTCTGTGTAGTATGCCGGAACCCCGGACAAGACACGAGTTGAGGCTGGGTACCATGCAGCAGCCAGTCTCCGGATCGAAGTCTGGGGCACATTGAATGGTAACAAGCTGCATCCTGCCATCTTTCGCTTACCTACTGTGGAAGAGTTAGCGCTGAATGGACTTGCAAGCTGCAAGCTTACAGTTTCGCTCATAACGAGACGGATTCGGTGCAGACATGAATGAGGACCAGACACCTCAGCTGAGACTCTCTCCTCTGTTGGTTTGTTCTTCGCCTACTGTGGCTTCCTATGATTCTTATTCCCAGTCTGGTCATAGGTGCTGTGCCGCTTTGCGGCATCTCACTACCCCCCAGAGGCTCCGAGATGCGTCGGGTTGTCGGTGCGGATCTTGCAGCGCCAACTTTCCATCCCGGGTGCTCGTCTACTTGGCGTAAATCTTAAAGTTGGAAAGAGGTATCTACAACTGTTGCTGATGACAAAGATAGAACATCTAACAGGAGTTGCCAATTTGCAACTCAGCTCACACTCAAACCAGTTGAAGCTTAGCCGAGACCGACATTGACGGATCGCCAGAATCAGTGATCAACATCATGTATCCTATGTGTCCGACCCCCCACATCACCTGCCCGTAGGATCTGCGCATCGCTTTTGAAGTTTCCGCTTGTGTTGCAATTAACATGAAGAGACCCTGTCATCGGCTGAAGGTTGCACGTTGCTATCGAGGCTTCATTCAATCTCTCCGGTGGCTTTCAATAGCTCCTTTACACTTGTTTACTGATAGATGGAGGCTCGGAAAGCAATGAGCTGCGTATGGTCCCGGCCATCTACGCGATCGCATATCGTCCAGATGCCTGAGGTAGCCTTGTTGATCCTGCTATTTATTCAGTCACATCCAAAACAGAGAGTAAACCCATTGGCCACTAGGCTTTCCCGAATAGCGAATACATTGACACATTGATCAATGTGGATCGCGGAGCACGTTCGAAGCCGCTCCTACGGTGGGCCCGGCCGATCGGACAGTGCTCAAGAGTACTCACCAGCGGCGCAGCGTGGACAACGGCTTTCGGATCCGTCACCCTTGCGAAAGGTCACAAGCGAGCTTTTCACACCGACCACAAATCTTCACCCACAGCATGTTGGAAGAGCGCAGAGTGGCGTTGAATCACGGCCCGCTTGACGCATCAAGGAGTTCAATGTGAGAATACGCACCACAGTTGTGGCTGAAATGTGCGACTGTTCGACGAATAGATTCTAGCTGGTCCCGAGGCCCAGGTCGACAGTTGGCCATACCGACTGAGTAGACACGGGGACTAGTGAGAACAATGGACCGACTGACAGACCAGGATGATAGGCAAACGAGATCCGCATCGATGGGTCGCGTGCGCCCATGTGCCTCAGTTATCGCCGTGGGTCATGATTCCACCACTTAGTGTAGATCATCACGAAGACGTCGAAACGACTCTCATACGCTGGAACTCAGGAGGAGGAATGGGATTCCATCGCCGGTGGCTTGCAGCCGCGAAGACCCATCAAAGGAGCCGACGCTGAGTGATCATTCTTTGAGTGCGTGAGTACTGAGCCACGCATGTGCATGTCCGTCCGCTTCCTAGAGTCGAGTCTAGAGAGCATGATACTCCAATTTCTCCATCCCGAGCCAACGGCGCAATATGCAAAGTCCAATATGAGAATAGAATGGCTCCAAGATGACAAGGGTGGGTGGGCCAGCGATCGCAGGGACTGGGTGCTTTAGCTCCGAGTCTTAGTCTAGAGGCGTTTCCCGGACTGGGCTGCCACATTGAGGAAGATTTTAGCGCGGAGGAAGGCGGCCCGTCTACCAGATAGGAATAGCGTCCGGTCGAGAGAATGGAGAGAGGACTCGGAGGGCGCCAGAAAGTGAAGATGGGGCATTTGTGAAGTCAATCATGATCCTTTTCGCCGTTTCCTCCTTTCCAGGAATGCTGAGCTTCGGAAAGTCACTAAGATGGGAATACATGTGCCCGTGAACTTGCTTGGTTTAGACTGATTTCAGTTCCAATGTTGTAGCCCCAGCTGGTGACTTTGTTGGCAACCGCATCGGAAGCCAGGCACTCCGCTATCGCGAAATACTTCGGCTCTCTTGCAAACTACCGACATGAAATGAGTATCAGTCCTTAGTAAGATACATCCCTGGCGGGAAAGCGAAAGCTACGACAGGGGGGTGGATGAGCACTCAGCAAAGTCCAGGACAGTCCCCGGAAGACACAGTCCTTGGTCACTTCAATCATTTCCAGTCTGCAGAGACAGCAAATGAAAGTCAGCAGGTGTTGCTCTCAGGCCACATGGAAAGACGGCCCGGCTGAAGTCGAGTGTGAATCCTCATATTCTGAGCTATTGTGACCCAGTTGGGTTTGGCGTCCCATTCTCCAGATCTACCCTCCAGTTTTTCTTCCCCATCTCAATCCTCCCCAGCCAACCCAGACGCCACAGAACGCGTTAGAGTGCGACGGGCTCGTGTGTCTTCGGCTGCGTGGACTCAGGGACCCGGGCGGGCGCGCCATGGACTACTGCTGGTGGGCAATCGAGGAACCTGGACTGGCTGATGATGATTCGATTTCCGGCCTCGAAAGAAGCGACTGCCAACAGCGACAGAAATATCTCCGATTAAATAACTGGGCAAGCCGTGAATAGGTTACCTTGTGCTCGAATCAACAGACAAACCTGGTCGACTCGAGGCAAGACGGCCAGCATCTCCACAAGCCCACACACTCTGCCCCAGATTCAGCAAAACCTTCTTTGGCGTTTTCTCCAGCGCAGCCCCATCGAGCCGGTACCAAGGCAGCATAGCATCCGCAAACATCCTGGCAGGGGTACGGAGCCTGTCGACCCGCTGATCCGGGGAGGGAGAAAGCAGAAGAGGCCGGCCAGGACAATAGACGCTTCTGCTTCTCCGCCTGAGAACCGTTGGTGACCACGCTCAAAACCCAACGCGCACGTCGTCAACGCCAGACACTAGCCAAGCTGGCCCATCTCGTCTGCCGGCCCGTTTCCTCTCGTCTACTGGGATGGGCTTCTAGGTTGACACGCCTTCATTAGCGTTCCTTCGTCAGGCCCTGCATAAGAACCATATTCAGCAGAACTCGGCACAGACGAAGCAGTGTTGAAGAGTAATTAGGGGGTTTCTCTCCGCACTAAGGCAGACAGACAGGCCAGAACCATAAGCCGCCCCCAAGGTTTGCTTGAAGGACGCCTAGACGCCTCCCATCTCGTTCACATTGATTGCGACGGGATCAAGAAAACGGATAGCTAGTACCTGCCAAGCAGTGTCATGTCTTGAGATGTACGCCTCGAGGTCGGAAAGCGAGCATAGTGAGCTTGACCCAATAGCCAAAGGCGAGAAACGGTGACTTCATGTAGGCAACGCCTCAGTGCATGTCCATTGCCTCAAAGTCGGATGCTGGTGGACTGGCCCATTGCTCAAGTGGCAACCCAACACCCGCAGATGTTCCTCTGGGAATTCTGAAAGGACCAGGGGTCGGGAGGGGGGTGTGAACGAGGGTGGTGCAACCAACGATCTGCCCAGCCAGCACAAGCAAAACCCAAAGACCATTCGCCCTAGTCCAGCCGCCCTTTCGGTCCCATGTGGGAATGGGCCGTCCTTCCACCCCATGCAAGGGTAGTAGGCTCGAAACGGCCGAACTAATTGATGGG